CATGTGAGGGTTGTTAAAGTTTGAGAAACTATCATGTAAGTTTAAATTTGACTTTGAAATAATAATAAATAAAAAGTTTAATCTATGCATTGTATACTGTGTTATAAGCTTTTGTACATATGCAAATATAGTTTGGTGTAAAGATTGAAGACCAGAAACAAATTATGAACACATACGGTGGGGATAATATAAGTCAAAAACAAAACATGGACACGATATACACTTTGAAGGGGCACATAGTACCCGGGTTTGAGTCAGAATCACAACACAAAAGAAAGAACAGCACACATCACCGTCGGGAAGTCAGCCCAGCGACGCTGACTCCCGACTAAGTGGTTATGATATGGTGACCGAAGGGTTCAAGTTCTGATTCCCGCCGGATTTGATAGATTTTCGACGATTTATCTTTTATCATGATCTTGCCGTTAGTAGTCCACGTTTGTGTTATGTGGTTGGTTTTGACCAAGTTCCTCGCGATGTAGGCTAAACGTCCGCGATATTTGGTGAGGTCCTCATTTACAGAAATACGCTTGAATTGATCATTAGAGCGAAAACCGCGACTGGATTTTAACAGGGTAAACTTTGCGTCCACGGAACTCAGACGCGCGATGATTTGGCGTGGTTTAGCTCGATTCTGGTCCGGTTTACCGACACGGTGAGACTGTTCCAGAGCCTGGGGAGGGAGATCGACGCCGGAGTCCTGGGCTGCCTTCAGGATGATCGCGGAGGTGTCCTCTCCCGTCTGCTCCGGGAAGCCGGAGAAGCGTACGAGGGTTCTCCTCCCGTATTTAAAAAGTTTTAAATGTCCATGTGACGATAAAAAGATATTTAAAACAAAACACGAAGAAATATATATATATCTGTAAACAGAGATCATTGCCGACATGTTTCATTCATATGGAAATACTTAGATGCTTAGATTATATTTTGAAAGTATATGTCACTGAAATGTGCATTGTTATTGGTGAATATATGATGCCTGTATAGAATTGAAATAACTATCATTTTATATCAATAAGTTTTATTATAGGTGTTACAAGAAAGGGATTAAACAACGGGCCTGGCCTATATTATTTCTCTCCTAGTCAAAGTATATTCGTATGAAATAAATTAAATTTAAGAAAGCTTGATTTACAGTGACTATATATTATAGAGTTGTTATATTTTTATTGTGTATAAAATAGATAGAATCTGTCATATACACATACTGTCGTCATTAATAATTACTAATTGATACAGATTGTTATAATTCCATATTAATATTGGTGACATGTGCACATATAATCTTGTTAACATTAAGAATAGTTTTGGTATTTAATAGGTATCTATACGAACTGTTTTAGAATAAAGATTAAAACATTTTCTAGTATATTTTATAGCCGTGAATATCTTTATCGTGAAGAATGAAGAGCGAGTGATTTTCCTTTGGTTAAGGCTATAAAAGTAGTTCTTTCCGATTGTTCAATTTGGCACCTTAAAAAAATATGAGCGTAAAAACCAAGCCGGAGCACTCGAGTGAAACTTATTTTTGTTCAGTGTAAAGGTAAAATCGAGCATAATCAGTCTTGCTTTGCGCTGAGTCGTTATATATCCAATGGAATTAATTATTCTGGGCATTTACATATTTTCCTTAGAGGTTTTTTTCCCCCAAAAAGTCACGACAATGTTATTGACATATCTATGTGTTATTTAAGATGTCATTATATGTATAATTAAATAACTAAAAATGTATACTTCCGTCATTTTAAAGAAGAAAACTAGAATTATGTCAGTGTGACATTAAAACCGCTCACCAATTTAAATCTAATTGCTTCAGTAACACGTTGAGCATCAATATCTACTATAATACCTCAGATCTGTGTTCTGTATTCTGCTAATTGAAAATCAGGTCATGTGATGATGTTGCCTTCGGAATTTCCAAAATCAATCACCTCTTAAATAATGCCTTACAAACATTTCTCCCTCTCCTCTTTTTTCACCCTCTTTTGTGACGCATTGTTGTTATTTTCAATAATTAGCATCCTCCAATGATGTGACATGAGCATTTACGTGCAGAGTGGCAATCGGTGAATGGGTAATAAGGAATAGGTGCATTTTGTGCTTGTGAAATGAAGAAAATAATTAACAGTAGTTAATACATGCATGGAGAAAAGAGACATTGTACTCCTTTTATTTTTATTTATTTTTTATTCATCTTGATAATAATTATTAATATATGTAGCGATTTGATTTACTGCCATTGAATATACAATTCATCACAAAATCTCACAAATGTTCTTGGAATATATTTGAATTATATTTCTTAATGCGACTTTAACAACGTAAGAGTTATTTCCCTTACACCGGATTGGATAATTTTTTGACACAGCCCGAATTCTTGTCAAACAGCAGCGGCAGTTGTGTCATGTTCTTAAATTGTTACATTTTTATAAATAAATACACCAGAAATAGCATGCTGTGTTACAGAAATGTTTGATAAGCATGCACAGTTCACATATCGTCTCGTCTCAGGGCCACGTCCGTGGTATCAACGATGGTTTATTACCGTTATCAACCTAAGCACGATATGTCATATTACGTTCCCGTTTGAAACATCAAAATAGAGGTTATACTAAATCACTCATACGGTTTATAAGTATATATATTTACTTCTTCCTTGTACTTACAAAATATATAAATCTAGACCGTACCAGAGACGTAGTATACGTCTCTGACCGTACAGACAGCGTCTATGCTTGACAGTCTCACACGGGCTTTCTCGAAACAGTCACGAAAACAAACACTCCTCAGACCTCAATCCGAATTGCTAAATCGCTCAAACCCAGTGCACGAATTTTACCACCACAACACATGAAGAATGCACCGGAGATAAACATTTTGTTTTCAGCAATTATTTAAAGTATGGATTATTATTTGGAGAAGAGTATTAGAAGACTTTATGTAACCCACAGGTGAGTGTCAGAGATTCTACTTTCTATTTACGATAACGAAACTATAAAGCGGAAGCATGCAATACTGAATTATGCGCACGCAACCTGAACGGAAGTGGGTCCGTCATTTCGTTCTCTGAACAGAATCAGCGGCTTAAAATATCAACTATACCGTTTTTTCTGATATGTATTATTAAAAGACATTGTAGTAAATTAAATTGCTGAGGAAAATTAATTTTTCTCGCCATGATAAAAAACTAGGCTGTTTCTAAGTTCTCAAATATGAAATGTACTGGAATTGAAATGTTTATAGCGCTTTGATCAGGTGGATAAAAAGTGCCCAATCTGGGTATCAAGATTAGGGTAGATTGACGTCAAAGTCACAAAATATGGATAAAACCCCCCGACTTTTAAAGAACCTGAACGAATCTTATCAAAGCATTTATTGCAATCAAATGAGTTTCGTTGTTATTTATATTTAACAATGCTAAATAGGAAGTTGTTCATCAATTACATGGATATTCCTGTCAAAGGGAGATACTGTAATGTATCAGTGTCATGTACAACTCCATGCAAGTTAAATCAGACATGTACTCTTGATACGTACAAGATAAATGCATTTAACTGTATACCGATTTAGACATTCGTGGATGATATATAGTAATTATGTTAGACTGTATAATGCCATTGTCGTTAAAGAATAACCTAAAATATAAAACTGGTATATGAACTGACTTTAATTCAACTTGCAGTGATCACCAATTTGTTGTGTACAGTAGTACAAACATGAATGTACATCATACACAAAAGTGATAAGTTAGTATGTTATGAATAGCAATATTCAAAGTTGAACCATCAGTGGGGTCCTTTGTGCAAAACATTGTATCCATTTTACTTTGAAGATACAAATCTTTGATGTAATCTTATGTTTAAGACACAGATGTTTAGACGTTTTCGTTAAGTAATGTTGAAGTTTTTCCTTTTTTTATTAAACGAATCAAAGGTCAAACAGAATTGATATGTATATGTATGTATTTCTGCAATTAATCATTAAATACATTCTCGAAAATGAAATATAATGTACTTACATTGCTCTAAAGTCCAACTTCATCATCTTCTTAATGTTTGCCTTCGTTGAAATACTGGAACACAAATAACAACTTAAAGCTCACCAGATTCCTCCACAACTTTCGTTTTTAGTGTGTTACTTAGAATGGTATAGTGAGCCAAAACGTATTTTCCACACGTAAATGGATTTTCCTACTTTCATTTTCGCTTTACAAAACTGCAATACATGATTAAAATTCCTTAGCTTATAATCAGATTAAAAAATGGGAAGCATGAAAAGGATATTACCTTCGCATTCGAGAAGTTGATTTTAAAAACATTTTGGGATCGAAAGTATAATTTAAAAACAAAAATCTGTTCAAAAGGGTTGTTTCATTATGAAAATTTTCCTGTATATTTCACATTCAAAAATAGAAGAAACAACTGACCATCATGTTTTTATGGAATAGCAGTTTATTTTATGAATAATGTCTCATAAATGTATCAAATAATGTATAACACCAATATTCAATTTTAAAATTGTACTTAAGTTTCTTTTAAAGTACCCAATGGAAATAAGCTCTCAGCTTTTGGGTTATCCTAGGTAAAAGGCTGCAATTTCTGTGAAAAAAAATTAAACTTCTGATCTCATATGCATGTATTAGTTGTACTGAATGTTGTTATGTTATTGTACAATCTAATGCTGTACTTTTACTCTATTCTGTGATATTCATGTATTGTTATATGCCTATTTTTTACCTATATTATTATTATTATTATTATTATCTTAACATTCTCTTTGGATCGTTCATCCTTCTCTTGAATTAGACAAGTGGAACATGATATACGTTTTTCACGTAGCAATGTTACCTTCCTGGGTGAGTCAGCCTGATTGGTGTTTCCAAGATATATATACGTGTGTGACTCATTTTCGATATGCTACTTTCGCTTTCGTTTTTGACAGTCGTATGTTACTGTTTTTACACATAATCAGGTTATGCATTTTTATAAATTCATATGGAATTACATTGCTTAAATACATGTTTTCCTATATATTTCATTTTGGAAACATGATAGTCTGCAGATGGTGGTAAGTAAACTATTTCGTGCTTCGATTTGGAATGATTTTGAAGTTTGTTCCGTGCAACATCACATTTAAATGCTCTTATACATATTGTTCCATTCCATGTCATAGGAATGGGTTTCATATAAGTTCAATAACTTTTGTCCATCATTTTGATAAACGTCAATAAAAATGATTAAACATTTAACTATATATATGTTAGTAAGAAAATAACTAATGTTTTATGTTTACTTTCGTTTTCCCTTATCCTCTGTATCTAAATCGTACTCACGAGGAGGCGGTATGTCACTGCCATAAATATATGTTTTAAGGAAAATTAACATCACAAAGATTTATTCTTCTTTTTGCAATTATTACACCACGCTTCTTTCCTTCTTACAAGCATTATGCATACTTAAGTCAATGAAATATGACGCAGTAACGTTGACAACAGCTAACAATTATTTAAACATTAGATACTACTCTGTTAACAATATTTATGTGCATAATTAGCCCTGGTTAATATAACACGGTATTGTCAGGTCATATACATGTCAGACTAACAATTATGGTAAACAAAGTTGTTAGTCACAAATAGGATGGTTGCCTGAGATAAAGTGCACCCGGACTTCTTTGTAGAAAACATATCGACAAATGAATATGGATAAAGCTATGATCTGATTTATGAAGTAAATGTTTAGTACGTTGAATGTGGTTGTGGTCATAATAGTACTTTCCATAACCTTTAAGACAATTGAATCCAAATAACTAACATGCTATGAACTAAGGAAAGGCATATTGGGAAATAGACATGAATGATGTGAGAATAACGTGATTAAGAATGTTTTACTCGTAAAATAAGAAGTTTATACTTGGAACTAGTAAAAATCTTAATTACGGTTTAGTTCAGAATATTTTTTCTCTCTCTTTACTTAGTTCGATTCTTCACTATTCCAAATGTGTATATTAGCGTAATATTAAAGTTAACCAGTGTTCAATTATGTTTGTATCAACACACTTCAATAACACATTTCAGAGTTACATGTTTGTATTGGAGGCAGCATTGATTCAATATGGTAAGTGTTTCAATTTGTAAGTTTATTTCAACATGTTAGAAAATGTTAACATCATAATACATATACTCTGACAATGCTACGAATACGTTTTTCACAATGTTTCAGATATGATATAGAATAATCTTCATGTATTTTACTTCCTGTGCTCAAATGAAATCCATCAATAATTACTCAAATAAAACTATTAACTTGATCGATATTTATGATTCATGTAAAAGAGTTATTTTTTTTTATTTCCAATAAATACCTTTGCTATTTTTCAAAGGGGTCAACACCAGCTAAACAACCTTCGAGACACAACAGCATCAATCAACCAGCACAAGCGGCTGATAACATCCAACCGTTAGAAGTAGTAAAGAGCACTGGAAAACTACAGGACAATGGTAGTGTATGCTAGTATAGATATTACATTAATTACGTTCTGTATCACTTGTAGGTGTCGTTACGTTAAAGATTGCATTGCAATATGAAGAAAAACATATAAAGTTCTTATTTTTATCTTCCTTTATAATAAATGTATATAAATCTTGACATACAGAATCAGTCGAAGAGCTCAGAACAGACCGCTTGAAAGACAATCACAATCAAGGAAAGGTATCATATGCAATTATAACGTTATCATTGACAAGATGTAATCCCTTTCACTGGAAAAAACAATTCTTTATATGTGAATAGGAACCAATTTGTAATTACATCAAAATAAAGTTGCTCTTCATAAAAAGTAAACTAACACATTGACTAACAAACCTACAGTTATGTTGTTTATATATATCTAAATCGAATCCTGACCTAAATGTTTTACTAAACAGATTTTACTGTCCTCTTGAGAACTGTTCAATCTTAGGTTGTTTTACAACAGGAATTGGACGTCCATGAAGCTATTTTTAAACAGAAAGAAGCAGGACACGTTCCTACGGATGACAATAGTAGAGGTAAACACTTTAAATAATTGTATACAATAGCATTCAATTACAATTATGAAATAGTTTTATATGTTATAAAACAATAATAAAAAGTCAAGGAACAATCCTTAATTCTAATTTTATATGATATTATTTATCTTAATTTGCTTCCGCAGACTCAAAAGAATTTGGAGAATCAATATCAACTTTACCAGCAAAAGATCATCCATCGGACAGAAATGACGAACAAAAGCTGGTATACTTTCTTGTAAAGCGAGAATGTTCAAAGTCTAATTAAAGGGAGATAACTCCGACATGCTTACTCACTTACACGTACAATATAATGCCCATATAAAGACACACAAGAAGTTGTGCATCATATTGCCCTGTAAAAATGCGTTTTATTTTCCTATTCTTGTGTTGAATAGTTCAGAAAATATTTCTAAACAAATGATTTTTTGTGGACTATATCAGCGTTTTTCTGAAAGACATGAACCTGGTTATTCGCTATATTATTGATCAGTTCAATCAAAAGATATGTTTCCTTTACCATGATTCACAGATTTAGCAATGTGTTCCTCATTTCATGATTTACTTGCATTATTGAAAGGATTTCTTGAAATATTCATATTACTATAATATATTTAATATCTTTCGACCATATAACAGGAAATTTCAGAAAATGTACAGAATATGCAACAGGCAAACAAAGACATTACTTCCGAAGACAAAGGTATGTTGAGATGTGACACGGTATCAGAAAAAATAAGTAATACCTAGAACACAGGTTTACTATGTAAAACAGAACATTTTGTATTAATGCTTTATTGGAATTCTCTGAGAAAGGAAATGCTAGCTTTATATTTCACAATTAATTTTTGTCATTAAATTTTAACTACATCGCGATACTAAGGAAGTGAATACGATAGAGTGGTTGTGTATTTAAGGAAACAATTATAAATAACTTTTCTGTCTTATTTCAGACTTACAAGTACTATGTTTCTACAGTGACAATGCAAGCAAAGAGAAAGACGATTCGGACAAAAGTGATGGAAATCTGATAAGAGTATCCTTTTTTTTCGCCAAAAATAAATATGTATTTCAATAATGATTTTAATGTTTCCTTCCTTAACATTGGTACAGGGCCTTCCCAATATAAAGGCAAGCTCATGTTACATGTCGACACTCGTCCAGGTATATGTTTATTTTGCTAAAGAATTCGGGATATAACGTACTTTGAATATGTTTTGTAAGAAAATGTATCGACCGTGAAAATTATATCTATATGATAAATATAACTTTGACAGTAATATTAATATTGATATATACATAGTTATAATTTGGAAATGATATTTACATGCTCAGCTGGATGTCGATTCATTTTACTTTCCTTAAGATTATTTAATTGATATGTCTACGGATAACATATAAGTGATTACATCATAACTTTCCGGTTAAATAGGTATTGGCACAGACACCTGGCTTCACCGACAAACTTCTCCACAACAACCAGGTAGGATACACACGATCCTCATTTTATATACCGTGCTTCTCCATTTTTACAATTGATGAAGGTATTCTATTTTCTGAAGTTTAAGATTAATACTAGAGGTCGTGATCATGTAAGTTAAGTTCATTATCTAAATATTACACTGATGATATAACTACTTTACATATATTTTTCAAATACATTGATATCACATGCAATCAATGTATTTCATCAGTTCCTTTAAAAAAAATGTGGCATATTTCAATTGATCTCACAGAAGACGTATTCTTGGGGTGATATATTAATGTCGTGCTATAATGGTATTTAATTCTAAATACATCTTAAATCAATGTACATTTATTATAATTACAGAACTGCCACGTGGCCAGTACCTTGATTAAGCTATTTGTTGAGATAAATGATACACAACAGGGGAGTTGTGATACAGAAGAAGATTTACACTCTCTTGTTTCCGACTTACAAAACAACATGTCCGAAAGGTACCTGCAATTATTGTGTTTAAGTAACTATTTATAGATAAGAACAACGTGTTTCAGTTACTTTGGATATTTGATATATTTATTATTTTGTCATTTCTATTTTACAGGGATGAGAGTTACAAGAGTGGAAATCAAAACGACTGTCACTCCTTATACCTGTGTTTAATGGATGCATTAGATGAGGAAATCAAAGGTATTCAAACGTGTTATTAAGCTTATATATATAAGTACATATATTGGTAATATACAATAATGTAAAATAAATATAATTAATAACTATACAGGTAAAAGTTTACAATGGATACATAAGATTAGGAAATCAAAGGTATTCAAACGTGTTATTAAGTTTATATATATATATTATATATAATAATATGATATGAATAAAATGAATAGTTTGACAGGTTAAAATTAACAATAGTTTAGGAGACGTGAAGTCTTTACAGTTTCTATGACTTTTACAGGATGCACGTCATTATTTGAGGGACATGCTCGAAACATATTCAGGTATTCAACGTGCGACCACGTAAGTATCTCTCCCTTCGATTTCATAACAAATGATGTATTACTGATGGGTCTATATTTATATTAACAGTAGTTGTTATAAAAACAAAATGAATTCTTTGTTTCTATAAAAACGATATCAAACCCTAAACAATCTGTTTATAATAACATTTACCTATCATTAAATAGTTCACAAATTGATATGATAAATCGAATAGATTTCTTTTGCTGTGATTATTCAATCCTTTTAATTTTCAGGTTGAAGAATGTCAGCCAGAATGTATAAGGTCTCTGCTTTTAACAGTGGATGAAGTATATGTAAGTTTAATGCATCTTTAACTATGTTCTACTTAATTACTGATAAATTTATTATGATTTATTTATATAAGAAGCAATAATTATGATAATTAAAAGAAAATAATAACAATAATGAAAAAATAAAGAAACTGGCTGTGGCGAAAATACTATATGATACATTTAGTTAAGATTTGCATCATTAACTTACAAAACAATCTAATTAGTGGCAACATAATAGCAGGTTAAACTTTGTTTCAGTCTTCCGTTGAAGACAGTCTTAAGCTTTTAGAGGAGATAGTGACGTTTAACGACGCTGAGGTACCATGTAGAACATGCCTGGATGAAGAAAAGCGTTACGAAGGTAAGCAAGGTTATCCTGTATGTGCGCGCATTAATAATCTCTGTTTACGTGCACTTTTAATTCCAGTAACGAATCATTATAGACAGTAAATATCAAATGCATAATTAGACAGTAATGACTATCATTCAACAAAATAATCACTTGAACTTTTAATATCGTGAATTGAAATTACTTAAATTGTATTCATGTAAGTAATCTGTACATAAGTTTGTATAATATAACTTTGATGGGAACGAAAGATAACTTTCATATGTTTTTTTAATATCCCGCATTAAATATGCTAATTGAAATAAAATAAACAAATGCATGCTGATCGGGCATATATTTTGCAGACACGTCAACATACAAACAATACATAGTTGCGAAACCACCGGAGATACTTGTTTTACAGCTGGCAAGATTTAAACAGGTAAATCTTTATATCAACACCCGGTGTAGACTGTATTTTAGTCTCTGTGAATATTTTCTTGTCTAATAAAGTAAAGTTAATCTAATATGTTGATAATGTAAATTGTCGAAAGCCTGTATACTTGCTAATATCAATAAATAGATAGGAATAAGAAATAATCATAGCGGCTGACAGCCAGACTATAGCCGGTTATATCATGTTTCATACGTTAAATTATACAATTTGTCTAAATTTATGTTGTAATAATTATGAGAATATAAGTGATTCTAAATTGTTCCTCATGTGTCGTTTAGGTAATTGAGCTAGATATGACTCAGTCAAGTCATCAATGTTTGAAAACGAAACTACAGTGTATAACAAAGTGCATGTAGTGTAGTATTAAGTATATGAAATATAGATCAAAATATATATAGTGTATCACAAATTGTATAAAGTAATTATTTCAAATAGCATATCGTGTATCAGTGTATTAAAAAGTGTAAATTATGTGTTTTGCAATTGATACATTGTGTATAACAAACATATACAGTATACAGTATAGTAAAATGTGTTTGCTGTGTATGTAGTGTATTACAAAGTGAAACTAGAGATCTAAAAATTGTTTGGAAAATCAAAACTTATTATGTATGTTTTTACCAGGATATGGTCTCAGTGAACGAACCATACAGAAGACTGTACAAGTACCAGGGAAATGTACATTACCCTTCTGACTTATCCCTTCCCACCAGCATAGAGGTAATCAGACAATCGTTTGAAAGTGAAACAAGATTTAGTTTTTTATTGAAACATACTTCTTTCCTGAGCCGTGTTTGAAGATATAATTTTAGATAAACACGTTGATTCTTTTTATTCAGGGACCGTCTGGCCGGGAATGTGTACATGTATGGTACGAATTATATGGCGTCATCTGCCACGAGGGAAGCCTTGAAGAAGGACATTACTGGTGTTATGTGAAGAAAAATGGATGGAACCCAGATAACTTGTACCTTTGGCACCTTTGTGCCGACTCCTACGTCAGAAGACTTGACGTCAATGAGGAGTGGCCTCACTCGCCGTTCGCGTACCTGCTATTCTACAAACGACTGAAACTGTGATTTTGTGATATTGAAACACAATCTTTTGCAAAATCATTATTTTTTAATGATATTTAAAAATGGCATAATATGATTGATAAAAAAGACAAATTCACATTTAAATAAAATCGAATTAAAAAGATTAAAGATTAATGTTTCTTGTTATACATAGTTTGGAAATCAATAAGCCCTCAAGACACATACCTACTGTATTAGGTTGTGAATATGTTATTGAAGCTTCATGTTATTAAAAGACTCTTAAATTCGTTTCCATTTTATTGTTGAGTTGTTATTGAACTCGCCCTGATGTTTTCATGTTAATTCGGAAAATCCTCAATAAAATGAAAGTCTCAAAATTCGTTTCATATATATATATGTATATAAAATAGAATGTTATTCAAGATCCTACATAATTTAGATACCCAAATATTTTATGAACGCTCTAAATATTCAACAACTCAAAATAATTCTTCAATGGTCATGACATTTATTAGAACTTGCTTGCGTACACAACGTTGAAGGGCCATGGTGAAACTAGGATTAAAACCTAGTGTTTTTTAGATCTTAGTTAAGTTAACGATATTTTAACGTCTTTTTTCATTTCTTTTTTCTTTTATTTAATATCTATTTTTTTAAGTTATTGCGTGTCTCATTGCTTTCTTATTCAACTAGTAAAACATATGAATTCAGGTAACTACGGAAGGTCATTATGTAGCGAAATCTTTATATTAAAGACATATTTAACTGTTGTTGAGTTAATTCGTGCTAATACATACCGTACTTGTTTCTTCATTAGCAGCTAAAGAACCCTATGAGACGTGATTTAGTTCATTACAAGGAGATAATTCACTAAATAATTATGAAATAAATTCAGGTAATTTTTTTGTAATACGGCTTCATTAAGTCTGTAGACAAAACAATGCGTGTTAAAAGACTATAACACAGCTACTTAGATATTTATATTTGCTCTGTTATCTCCCATTTCAATGCATAGAGAAGGTAATACGTGTTATGAGAACATCACACTATGTAATCAGCTTGTCGCTTTTGTTACGTCACCGATCTAATTTACACCACTGACGGATTTTTGACACACCTAACTAAAATCGTAACTCGACTTACGTCTAAGTTTACGTCTACGTTTACGTGTGGACTTACGACCTTCAGTAAAACTGGCGTTCAAATCTGAAACATACTCTCTCTATCAAAATCTAATAACAAGGAATTAATGAGTTAACACATGCCAGACTATATCAGTTTGCTAATGATAGAAAAGCTTATTAAAGAGATATACCACCATTGGCTAAAACAGTTATTGCTATTGGCTATATGGCAGGCAATACAGAGTTAAGGCCTGGCGTTTGAGATTATACTTTGATGATAAAGTGAAGAGAACAAAGAAATGTAAGATTGATAGAAAGAGATAAGTGGTAGATAAGAGATGAACAAACTGAAGACATTTGTGATAGAATGTAAGAGAGTATACGTGTGCTTCAATTGTACTGAGGTAACTAGGTAAGAGAGGAATAAGATATAATGTTATAAAATGACATACTAAGCAGAGTAAATTTATAGACACATGTACCCTCTTCAACACACAATCTGTTTCGTGCATATCATTACAGTCTAACTACATATTTCGTCCTAGAAATACTTACCTTTGGGCACTTTGAATAGGGTTTAGTGAACTTCGGTCATTCTTGAAAAATGCTTCTTGGTCTGCTTTCACGTCTCATGTTGATATGATGCGAGTATTAGTGCTTATGGGAAATTACGCTTGAATTCTGCAAATAAAACGTGTCATTGAAATTCCTACTTTCACTTTCGTTTCAGCGTTATCTGGATAAAATTAGATATGACAAACACGTTTTCCTAAACCGCGAGTAACAAAACGAAAGTACGTTCCGCGAAACCTAAGTAAGAAGAAGGGATAGTGTCCTTATTTGAGCCTACAGAGAGGAGGTAAGCTATGAATTTGCTACGCTCATGAACAATCCCGCAATTCATTATTCCTTAATGATTACCAGTAAATGCATATGATTAGTAGATCACATGAGTTATAACAAAACCGGGTATTTGTTTTACTACCAGGGACACAACTCAAAGGCAGAGCATCAAACGATGTAATGTTGGCCATTTGACGTGTACTGTTCACGAGGATTTAATGGTATTGTAAGGTTACCTTGTAAGACTCAAAGACCGAGAAGAAAAAAACCCACTTTTTTTTGTCGTGTAACTAACTCGAAGTTTGGAGATTCTAAATCAAACTTTCGACTGATCATCTCGAAATTACTTATGTAATACCTTTGCAATACCTGCATGTGAAACATATTGCAAATACAGTATCATTCTGCGATAGTAAATACATACATGTGATACCTATGTGTGACAGCCAATACCTATATGTTATACCAGTCAGCGATAGTAAATACATATGTGATAGCTGTGTATGATATGTAATGCATTATTTCGAAATTTCTACGTCATTGTGTTGTAAACTCGTGTTAGCGTGGGGGCATATTATTAAGCATGATCATATAGGCATATGTAGTCCTTATTATAACTTGTATATTTGGCCTTCAGGGTAAATCCTGCAAACTCTATATAGCGAGTAAAAAGGGTTATAACATTTTTAATATAAAAATTATCTTTTGAAATGTTATTTTTGTATGTGTTTCATTGGTTTTGTGATATGACAAATAATATATCTTTGTTCGCACAATTATCTCCAATCCATGTCTCAACAATGAAAACAATATTACAGGTGACCGTAAAGCCCTTAGAACTAATACCTTATATTATTGATGGTAAAAATGAAACACATTTTTCTGTACTGTACCTTTTATTTTATGCAATATGAGTTCAAAAATATATCAAAAATAGTCTAATGTAATGTGATAATTGTGTTGTCTTTGTTTCCATATTTGAATAAATATGTTATTTGCAATGTTCTATTTTCGCACACTATTCAGTAGCATTATGCTATTTTAAAACCTCTTTATCATATTTGTACTGAATACACATTACCAATAATAATTCAATGTTGATATTTTTTCTTCACTTCGAGTGGGATGTGTTAAATGGTGTAACATGGCGCCGAAAATACGCAAAGTCAGCAGAGGCACACCAGAAGGTAAGGACAAGTTGAGTACTTAAAAAATAATACTTTAAAGTTCTCTACAAAATGTTCCAACCACCAACAAGGAGAATGGATTGACTGACAAAGACTACACAGTGGTAAACATGTTACATTGATGCCATATAATTTGTTGTTTATAACAATGGAATGGTTTTATTAATGCAGTAGAGCAGAATTTCTCTCATCCAATTAATTTTAATTTGGGGAAATATCGGTATAAATATAAGGAAAACTTAAGAGCAAATTAAAAGTAATTTTCTGTGAAATATGATTTTCTCGTCATCAGACCGGACGATGAAAGGGTATGGCAACACTATAAATACCGGGAGGACATCAAACATGTTCGATGAGAAGCTTACAACTTCTGGTACGATATGATTTATGAATATTTATTCTTACTATCGATCTATATTTGTTTATATGTAATTTAATATTTTAACTCATATCCAATTCAAAGGAAATTAATCTTTTGATCTGTTTCCATGATATCCTATTGTCTATTAAATACAGTGTTACATATTCATAGAATTTAGAATCATTCAGAAATATACTATAAAGTTAAAATTATCATAAACTTATAAATATTAAAAAAAACTTTTGTCCATATAAAACATTGTAGTAAATATATATTAAATCAGTATGTATGACAATTTACAGCAACTGATGAGGGTTTTATGTTTTTTCGATCAAATTATCATCCATATCAAGACATAATTATCTTTTCGCTAAAGACTACTGTATAATAAATTAAATCTTTTTCACGACTTTCTCTTATACAAATACAAAGCTAATATTTTTGTCACTAACTTTTGAATACAATATTTTTTTGTTTTAGATAGAGACTTAGTTATTGGCTACAGCTTTACGTTAAGAAAAGTTAACATATTTACCTCGCTTGCTTGTAAATTTTTACATTTCTTCGATTGTTTTGAAATCGTTTCACTGTCAATGTTATTTATATTTAATAATGCAATTTCCTTATAGAAACAAAGATTGGAGATACGCGTCTTTTCAGAACCAGACCGGAAACGGTAACAGAGTTTTTAATGTTATATATATTACAAAAGACTGGTAGCAATAACCGTCCGATCGTGTTCATTTGATATCGAAAACAATGTTTTTTATGACATATCAAAATTAATCAATTATAATTATTTGTTGCTGTTTCCATAACGGGATAATTCTTTTCCAACAAATCTCTTAACAAATTTTATTTTTCGAGGCTTGGCAATGTGATGGAGACTCAAATCAGGTATGCCTAAACGGAAAAAGGAAGAAGCAAGAAGACATCACAAAATTGTTTTGTGTGAAAGGTAAATTGCCAAGAAATTCTTGTTTAGATTATTTTATAAAGTGTTATATTTTCTTTGTCTGGTGGTTTTTGACAGCTACATTACGAAGTAAATTGTCATTTAGCAGATATAAGGAAATGAGTTGAATGAGTGCATAACTATCATTATTTTTTGTTCACCTGGTTTACGTCGTAGCGCCTGTTCATCCGTTCGTCTGTCCGCCATATAAAATGCTACTCGTCCAGAGCGACTTTGATTAACTTTGGTAAAGGGGTTCCTCGAGGCAAACAGGGAAAATTTGGCCACGGGGGCGAGGATGAGTACGGGAAACGGGATTTAATTTATTTGTCCTGGAAGACATTGGAGTAAAAGGGACATTATACGTGTAAACGAAGAATTTGGCCCTTTGAGCAGAGAAGATAGATCCAAAGGGGATATATTAAATACACTAACCATTTTTTTTATTAGAATTACAATTTTATTTGAATATAAAGTGTATCCCTACCCGCACTCACACCACCTTCGGGACAGAGGATCAAGCGGGGAACTACATGCTAACTATTAAAATATGAAAACCATTCAGTATGAGCTTGATTTAACTAAATGTAGATTTGAGCATGACGAGGAAAGGGGCCAAAAATCTAAATTTGGGGATTTTCTGTTTTCTGTAAAAATGGTAAAAGTTGAAATATAAATTAAAGTTAGTGTGATTCCTGGATACGCTGGACCTCTACTGAGGAATAAAGGACGAACTGTTGTACTACTTCAATGGATCCAGACCTCACTATATAACAAGGAGACCAACACGTTCGTGCTATCATGATTTGCCCTATCACGCAGCCACATCCCAGAGACTTATTTCCTGAATCCTAACTTGGAACGGGCGATATTCTCAGGATAAAACTACATGTATATTTTGCTAGGCATAAAGCCGTCAAGACAACCACGGTACTATGTTTAGCCTCGGGGTCAGTCCCCTTCCCCTTTAACTTACAATTGTAGTCTCTGTGTCATTACATCCCTACAGTGCGTCGTTGTTACACAATTCCATGATAATATTATGTCCCTGAGTTTGACACAAATATATCTTACATCTCACATTGCTCACCCTCTATTTATGCTTGTATATATTTAAAATACAGGAACTATGATTAAATAAGCTTAAAGAAAATAAATAATAAATCGGAGAGATACATCATCTTATACATTCCCAGGCTATTTCTTGTACATATCTTTTCAGACTTTTTAGGCAGAGAATCCTTTATCAGTTGAAGTTTAGTCTACATGTATATACGTTTTCTGTTTTATTTCATGACTATAGCTGTTAATAGGACGAAAATTACAAATAAAAACAAAACATATTTATTCTTTCGAAATGATGTTCTATACTATCAAATGGTTGGATTACCGTACATATAATGTGTAAATTGACATAAGTTATTCTCGTCGTAAGCTTATGAAGATACCAATTTTTACTAGTAATTTTGTAGACATGAATTAGATTTATTTATAATATCCGTCTTTCTTTCATCGTCATTGTGGTAAAAACAAAAATCAGCTGATGATACACATTTGATCGTATTTTCTAAAGACGAGAGGTCTGACATGAGTAATGGCATTAACCTGACTGAGGACATGCAATGCGGTTTTGAGAACAAAACACACACGGTAAGACTGACTAGTAAGCTTGCAAAAATGTATTTGTCTTTGTTTGGACACATACCCGCTGATAATACGTATGTTTTTTAGACGGTGAAACTTTGGCGTATTAATAACGCTTTCAAGAAAATTTGTGAAATTTTCACATACAAATTTTAGAAGTGCCTTATTGACTTTGTTTGACTTTGACACTATTAAGTGTCAATGCATGCTTTCAAAACTGTGTACCTCATAAATAATGGAACGGACATTGTATAAGTACTTAGTACTTGTTTCCGAATCGTTGTTGATTATATATTGAAAATATAATGTATTGAATATTACCAGAAATAAATACAGTTTAAACTAAATAATGGTAGTAGAATTTAGCTAGGTCTGACTTACACTTATTCATTATAACATCTTCATTTTACAATGCAATATTTACATTTACTCTGCATCCTTCCATTGCAATACATTGAGAAGGCAAATGTTGTTGTGAGACTATAACATCATTTGCTATTGTAGCGTCGTAAATCTCTATGGTGAAGTCATCGATTTCATTGTTGTCAAGACTTAGTTTGCTTAACTTAATAAAGCGCCACATTACTCTATCAAAATGTAAAGATAGATAATGAATAATTTAGCAAATATTGTTATGTCCTATCACACACATTTCTATTGCTGACAAATATAAATAAAGCCCTACCGGGCTTTAATACGTTTGTCATCAATAGCATTGTGTGTTATAGGACCATAACAACATTGCCAAAACACTTATTCATATACATACTGTCCGCTGGAAACGTAAGGCATATGTAAATCGGTATACATTATTTCCTCGAATTACTTGATATATCACAGGAAGCAAGGCAGGACCCGGATCTTGGATATTTGTCATTGAGTGCTAGTCATAAAAAAAGACTTGTCAAGATGGAAGACATCCGTTGGACACTACCTCGTGTCTCGCCTGCAGTGCAATTTCGCGATGTGTACGTACGATAAGTGTTCAGTTCCATACCAAACTATATTAATTATAAATACTCCTTCTTATTTTAAAGGAATTGCCTTCTTATTTTTTGGGTTTGTCACGTGTGAAAAACTTTCCTGGTGCTCCACTTCAAATCCCCTTAAAACTCAACAAAATATAAGGTTATTACTTGTATTTACATTAATAAACACATATCAGATAGGTCAATGTATGCATATTACAGACGTATTTTTGGATGATCTGTTCGATATAGTAAAACCAGGCAAATTCATTCAAGCAAAATACGATTAAACGATTCTCTAACGTATGTTCGATCACTTTATTGTTGTCAAATATTCTTAAAATAATCAAATATGCATTATTTATCAGAAATCAAAAATAAGATTAAGCGTATAATAATTGTAAATCTTACCTATTAAACATACTAAAATAAACCAATGATAGTGTCCGTGGACAAAAGGAGGCAAAATTGTAAAGATTCAATATATGCACGTTATACTCTGAAAGGTCTTACAAATAATGTCTTCTAAACATAATTATTGACTTCCGATTTACAAGTGTATTATTTTGAGCAAAAACAATGGACAAAAAGTTACAATCTACGGTTTAAGACCTCTCCCGCTCACCCCTTAATGACCCCCTCCCCCTCCAACCACCCCTTAGGTTGTCTTTATAGTCAGGCGTGACGTACTATGAGTTTGTAAATTTGTCATTTCATTTTAAATATAATAACATTCCAGATGGGTCCAGTTGAAGATATTTCAAAATGAAAAACAAGTTGGAAAGGTTGTAACAGCAAAGCAGAGAACAGATGTAGTAAATTGTATAAAGTTTAGAGGTCAACTCAAGGTAATAATGTATATTATATTTCCAAGTTCACTACAAGGGGTCAAATTTCCAGTAGTCACATTGCTTATTCGGCCTATGATCTTTAAATGACTTAATTTCTTGGCAAGGAACTTGTTCCATAAAAAGAGAAATGTGACGCAGATCACTCTGAAGAAAGGGATAACATGTTTAAGAATTACAAAGCTTGTCGGGCCAATAAAGATACTTGTCTGGATTCATGACTATGCCCTGAAACTAATGTTAGTGTGGAGGTGAAAAATTGAAGATTCAAATATTAAAATCATATTATTAAAATGGTTGTATCATGGCAAGACAAAGTGTCGTTGATAGTAGGAGACATGTGTTAATATTTAGCCTTCCAGTATTCCTGTTAATGTTTAACCTTTGTTTTTACAGACAAAGATTGAAAGAGATTGTCCAAAAACCACTGTATCGCTGTGTGTCTGGACTACCAAAACATCCAAGAAATTTTTTAGAAAGCCTGATAAGTCACTCGGTCGAGTAGACATAAAACTAGACTCATTTGACGAAAAGCTGCAAACTAAAAATATCTACCTACATCCATGTGAGGTAATCATTCTTATTTGTATGCTTAATTCCCTTACAGATGTAACATTTGATGGTATATGCTTTATGTAGTATGCATAATTGACTGATAAAATTTACTGTATAGTAAAATGAGGTGGAACTGCCATGGCGTCAACTCACATGAACAATACTGGAAAACGAAGTCGACAGGAAAAGACATTAACAGAAACTGAGAGGATAATAATTTTTATTCTGACAGTTTTATATAATTAATATGCGTTCCAGTTCGATAGATATCCTTTAGCTAAATGGCTTAAGAATATGTTATTTTATGTTAAAATCTTGCTCAAAAATCACAAAATGAACGTTCTGTAGTTGAATGTCGTTATTATCAAGTATACTCAGCTACAGAGAAAAAAAATCTTAACGGACTTTAGTACATTTCATTTTAATTTAAACATCCCGTTGTATTACACGTAACTAAAAAGTAGAGTGTTATGTTATTGCGCTTTGACTTGCCACAAAAAATATTACTAACGGTTACATTTACGTTAATCAAATTTCCACATCAATAGTGTGGTGAGTGAAATGAGTTTCTGCAGGCTAAAGCTAATTGCACACTTGTGTATATTTATTCGGGCACTCAACTTTTGTGTATTTATGTACTGTTTAGAACGTCTATGATTCTAGATAAAGTTAACCAAAACTCTTTCCTTTTTCCATTCTTGAAATATGACCAAACATCGGCAGGTGCTCATCTTTAAGCAAACACTATCGTTGAAAATGTCACGTATTATCGATTGTTTCATAAATCGGTTGCAAACGCGAAATATGCGAAAGTCATTATACAATTTTCACACGAAACCAGCTTAGTGAATACAATGTTATCTTGTTAATGGAAAATGAGTAAAAGCATAGTGTCTATACACATGTAACAATAGAGCGGCAGGAGAAGACATATGCCGAAAATAAATAGATAAAAAATATCCACATACGTGTGGAATAGGTGTTGCTTGTTCCCCACATGTGGTGTCCTGTATCATGGAAAGTGTAATGATCGCCAACGAAACATTAGACAGATTAACCTCAAAATTGGATATTGTATCATAATATTGTTCGTACTCAATCATAGCTTTAATCCTCCTCTTCTGCATAAGGAAGGAATAAATAGGAAAAATTATGAAGAACATATGTAATGTTGAGTAATCGTTAGAGATACAGAGAAAGAACGCATATATACCTTTACAAACTTGAGTAAGTCGATACAAAAAAAAGTTAAACATAGTATTTTTTACTGTGTCATTATATATGAATCGGAAGGGAAAATAAAACATATTTTCTGTCGTGATATATCTAGTTCTAAAGATGATAAACGAATTTCAAGGAACCTTTGAAATATTTGTATTTTATTCGAGGAAAACGCATCCTCATGGTATCGGAATGTGGGGTTATCGTATAATTTCAGCTGGCTATTTTGAATCAGATCGGCTAAACGTGGTATGCCGTTAGTCTCCAATGGGGTCCACAACTTTTTTCCAGGCCTTTTTCTCTATCCTTTTTCTTGGTGCTTGCATAACGAGTTTAAGTAGTTTGTATTTATCTTAATTTAAACTACAAGAATGAATCTAAGGTGAAGTTTTAAGTGCATTTACTTTGTTTCCTGTAAACAGGGAGGTGAATGGAAGCAGAGTCCTTCAAGTCCAAAACCAGCAACCGTAGTCACAGTTAAGTCAGTGAGTAAGCGGCAAACAACGTCAGGGAAAAGATTGTCGATGGTTTTGAAATTACCTTTCTTTATTACGTCTTTTAATGTTTGAGGTTGTAATTTTGGGAAGCGACACAAATCTTTTTATTAGAAAAATAACAAAACATTTGTAGCATTTTTCCCTTAATGCTGAATTTTTACTTCAATGAAAATGTATGATGCAGATAATATCATATGCGCAGTCGTCAAAGAAATCGTATGCTTGCTTATGTTTCCATTTTGAACAAATAGCTTGAATTACATAATGACTTTGTTTATATTCCAGTGTTTCCCCTTTGACAGCCAATCTGAAGTAAATGACACTTCGTTGTCTACTCGAGTTAAATCGCCTAATGTCCCAAAGACTACAACATCAAGGGAACAAAACGTTATCAGCTCTGCCGTGCCTAACTTGGTTTGAATTATTTCACTACCGGTGTTTAACGATAACCGTATAATAAATCAATTTAATTTATGTAATCTTCTAGCAGAAACATAATATTGTTTTAATGTGATGGATTTATCTACCTAAGTAATATCTTGGCAAAATTGTGGACCGCAACCAAGCATTAAGACTTGCATTTTAACTATTTAGTAATTGTTTATTTGTTTGTTTGTGAGAAAGGAAAGGTGGAAAGGGTAATGAACTACTATTGCTGAAAGTTAACGTTACCAAATCGTTAACTCTGTCCATGTTGATGAATTTTCTGTTGGATTTTCTTCTAGATCGACATTGGTAAAGCAGGCAATTCTTCAAAAAGGTCGACAAATAACCACAGCACAACGCATTGTTCCACTGGTGAGTTTTTTCATACGGCTTTATCATCCGGAAAGCCTTATGTTAGGAAAAGCGTCGACAACATAAATACCTGCAATACAAAAGGAAAAGCACCAGAAGTTAAGACCAATTATCGAAGCACCAAAGAAGGATTCACCGAAAACAGAACTCGACATCTGAATATTAAAAATATTTCTGAAAAAAGCAAGTATGGCATATGTAAAGATATATATGCTGAGGACAAGCAGCAAAAGCAAGATAAACCTCCAAAATATACTGCGAGAGAAAATGGAAGCACAGCAACAGCCGCTGAAGATGAACCACATCGTCATTTAATAAAAGAAACAGTTACAACTGTAAGTTAACTTAAACATATGTATATGATTATTTTTAATACTCTTCTCGAATGTATGATTTTATGTATACGCTTGCGTTGGAATTGCATGAAAGGATATGAATCAGTACTTGGTTTATACTTGACGTGATTGGAACAACACTGTCATTGTAATGGTATCAATGTATCAATAAGGTTCATCGGTTGATATCAGTTAGGATTTGCTCTCTTTATCGAACTAATACACGCGGAGTGTGATTTTCCAATAAAGAGATTTTTGTCTACTATTCAGCAACATTCCTCCCTAATAATTCGTAATGTCGTAGCATTTCATATTTTTTACAAAAGAGATTGACATGGCATCTTATCCACGAACTATATTCATGAAGGAATAAGCCTCATCGTCTTTGTTCATACTTAATTTAGTTTGCTATGTATCATTTTGATAACTGCAGTTCAACATATTCCACTGACATATCGAAATACCAATATTTAATACCGGCTTCCAAATTTTACATATCATGGGAGAAATTTACGGTGACCGTATTTTTTTTGGCAAGCTCACTGTTTTATCTTTCTGTAAACAATGTGTGGTTCCTCTGACGAGGGAGTATATTCTTAATTTTTATTTATTTACGTGTTTTAACCGTCCTATCAATATATATGTCATATGCAAAAATACCAACATCTCTAATACAAAATTGATATAACAGGATATTTAAAAAAAAACCATCATCTACCATTATAATATTTTAAAGATTCGACTGCACTGCATATATATGTGATTGCATGTTGTGCATTTCACAGACAAAAGAGACGCAGAGCGGAAAGATTCATGAGAACGACCACAGAAACAGTCGAATACATGATATAAACAAAGAAGGTCCTTCTCTTCAACACCAGCAAATGGAACAAAAACTGATAAAGCAGTCGATTAATGAAGCAATACTTTATAATCATCCACAAACAGCTAGAATCTCCAGAACATCGGAGGTTGGTAACAAAACAGTAAGATCAACCTCTATTGTGTAATAGACAAAATTCCAAGAAAAAAAGTAAGTTAGACTGCGATTACAAGACAAAATATAGAAAAATAAAAGAGGATAAAGTGACACTATTTGATCATAAGTACAATGCTGATCTAATGTTATTACGATTAATATTTAAGGTTGGAAACGAAACTTTTAACCAAAATAAGTATGTATATACCCTCTATACGTTGTGTTTGCAGTCGGAAGAAGCCGATTCAAGAAAAATGAAGTGGCAAACAAGTATAAATTCGACACAAAATACAGGTACAACATTTTTATTTTTTTATTTTGTTATTGAGATGGTACACACATATTTATCCTGTGACGGCATATTGTCAACGTTAAGGGTCAAAAAGAAATAACTTGTTCAAACTTCTTGAAAATTAATGGTAAAATATGACACCTTTGTTAGCATCCGGCCTTTGTTTTTTTCTTCAATTATTTCCAATAAGGTCCTGACAATGTCTTCCCATTGATATACAGACAGTATGTATTTCCTAATGACGAATAATTGTTAATTTACAGCTTTAAATTATTATTTTTTGTTTTGTTTATTCAGCGAAAGAGTCCGGCGACCATGAGAAAAAGAGTGGTAACCTCTGTACTAACACCGATATTGAGCTCCACGAGATCAAGGTATAAAAATGAACTTCAGATAAAGCGTCATTTCATAGCACTCAGTTTGTTTACAAAAGCACATTGACATGTCTTAATTCAGACGTCATTAAATTTAAATTTGCTTTTGTTTATTTGAGTAGCTAAAATCAAAAATTTATTCAATTTATATCTCTCAATGCAGATATTTTATTGTTGTCTAAAACATCACAGGGATTGGAATTTGTGGTGACCTACCACCTTCCAGCAAGCCAGTTGTAGCTTAATGAATAAATGATATGTTGAAAAAAGAGGTATAGAGGTTTCAAATCTATAATTATGCAGTACCGCCTATTTTCAGAGAATTCGTCTGTTTCCTTATTAAGAAAAAATCACCATCCTATCCATATTAATCAATGCTTGCATCTTCCAACAAGTAAAAGTGTTTTTTTTAATATTGATTGCTACTTCAATATCAACATTTATACAACGATGCACACCAACCATGGATCTTTTGTCGAGATAAGAAAAACATTGTCTGCCATTATACATACGACTGTACTGTTAATACAATATATGCCATAAAATGTTGTCCGTGTCACAGACACAAGAAACTCAGAGCGGAAACAATGATCGGAATGAACAAAGAACGGAACCAAAAGCATTCAGAGAGCAAACGATTGATGTAGAAAAACTTTGCATGCAACCACAAACAACGAGCAACTCGAAAGCATCGAAGGTTTGTGATTAAGCTTCAAATCATCCGGCTATTTTTTTCCTCCGTAATTGAAAAAAATCGCCTAGAAAATATGAAAAAAGAATACAAGGCAAATTAATTATAAAGAAAAGATACTATAGTGACACCACTTGATCAGAACGTAGTTATATTTCTGATGCGTCAATATTACAATAGCATATTACGTCAAGGGTTATAAATTTAAAAAAAGTAAAATCTTACACGATCACCATTTATTTCTTAATTGATAAAGATTCCAAGAGAAACGAAATACAGAACCTCATGCAAATCAAAACATAGAATGCTGATTTTTAGCCATATTATAATATTATAGTTCATATTACTACATTCCTATGCTTTGTGTTCGAAATTAAAGTTCATACTACAATAGATATGACTTCTGATTTATGTTGTGTTTGCAGTTAGAAGAGGTCGAATCCGAGAAAAGTAACTTACAAACAAGCACATACTCTACAAAAAACACAGGTAAAACAATTTCAAAAAATTCGTTTTGTTTTCGAAATGGTAAACACCCTTTTCTCTTGTGGTTACAGTTCGACACAATCATAGTATGTTTACAATTTAGACCGATATTGGGTAAGCAAATTACTTTTGTAAAAGTCTTGAACTTTAGGGTCACTGTCGACACCTTAGTCACCATCCGGTTTTGAATAGTGTGTCTGTACCAGTACAAATCTAAGTACTAGAAATGTCTTCTCGTTGATCATGGGACAGTTTCTATATAGTAATGAGCAAATTGTTTCAAATTTGCAGATTAGTGTATGTTTAATTTTTCAGAGCACGAATCCAGCTTCCAAAACAAGAACAGTGGTAACACAGCTGGCAATAGAGAAAAAGACCTCACCATGGGCAAGGTAAGATGAAGTCTTATCTCGTAGCATTTAGTTTATTCATAAAAGACATGTACAAACAATAACGGGAATGGCTGAATACGCAATGTTAAGTAAGAAGATCACTTTCTGAACCAAACACAATGAAAAAGCAATCGATCAATGTAAAATTACTTTACAATCATCCGAAAACAGATAGCAGAGCAGCAGCCAAGGATAGAAACAATACAGTTAAATCCGACCCATTCACATATATTTTGTAATCGATAAAAACATCCCAGAAAAGATAGATACCGGTTGCAAAGCAAATTCCTTACAAAGAAAAGAAGGCTATAGTGACACCACTTGATAAAAACATAAAATGCTGACTAGGTTGGAAATGAAACTTAAACCAAACGTTATGCTGCTTTTTGCAGTCAACAGAAGCCGAATCCCGGAACATTAACATGCAGACAAGTAGGTATTCGTCACGAAATACAGGTACAACAATTTGTTTTCCACCAATTTCATGTTTGATTACATTTTGTCAAAGTTATAGTATTTTTTCAATTCAGAACAATTTGGTTCAAATGAGAATACCTTTGCCAAGGTCTTGAAACTTAGGGTCACTGATAATTTTTTAATGGGACAATTTAGTGAAGTAGTTTTTTTTGATTACCTGAAAATCAAGGCGATACCGAAAATATGTATTTCCTAACGAAAGATTACGTAGTTGATATAGACATGACATGAAGCCAACGTCCAGTGTGGTCAGTTTCATCTTTTGGGAAAGCCGGTGATCAAAATAGCTACGAAGCAAACATGTACATCACTACGCTCTCGACCGACAACAGAGTGGCATTTATACGAGTCTGAGTTCACACATAACTCATTCTTGAATTTGCACATTTGGATTTGAATAAGGACACACAGGTTCAATTAGAGCATGCACGCATTGAGAGGGTGCCACAGGGAGAATTTCAAACCGCAGAAATTACGATATCAAAAGGTTTAAACGTAAAATAGATCACTTACTTATAACGATGTTTTAGATGCTGTTGGGAGATGCTTTTGATTCAAAATAGATGTATATACTTCCATTTAGAGAGGCTAGGCGAATAAAGCGAGAAGTTACCTTCTCTCCTCGACTGCAAAGACATTTTTGTTAGCTAGAAATTCACCGACAGCTGCCGCTAAAACGTACGGTTGTACAGTTAAGGATTTCTCTATTGCGGATTAAAAACGCCAAGAAAACATTGTCTCTTGTCAATTTCTCGCCATTAATTGTTCATAGTTAGTATCAAACTATATCATCATGAAGAGTTTTGTGACAAAGTTATGAATAAAACTTACTTCAATAAATTGTCCCTTTAATGTGTTTTTAATTTTCAGATAAAAAGCCTGGTAACACAGCTGGTAGTGAAAATGAGCTCAGCATGACCAAGGTAAATAAATGAGCGTAAAATGAAATGTGATTTCGTAGCATTTAGTATGGTCGATAAATGCTTCGAAATCACACCATGGATAGACCATAATTTCATTTTAAGAATTTAGAAATTAATTTTACGTTAAGGACTCCCGAACCACTGTCAAAAACTGTGACAAGGAATTTGAAACAGGTTGTTTTCCAGTATGACTATAACATTGATGAACCATGTCCGAAAAAAACATGATACCACGCGGGACTTATACATTAAATATGATCAACAACAGTGTTCTTAGTACAAAACAAATCAGGAGATCGAAATCCTATATTCAGAATGTTATACTATCGCTCCAACTCTACTACAGTTAAATCCAAGCGGAAGTTAAGGGTAGGTTATCTTCCGTTAATGGTTAAGGATCCTTAAAGATACCTGACCCACTGAACTGTTGTTTTTTACGAAAACTCAATGAAGCAATACCTCCTAATATTATGGAATATGTCTGTTAATATTCTATGAATAATGTACCATTCTGTCTTTATGTAAACAACGCGCAGACGTACCAAAGAGCTTGTGTAGATATAAGACTAAAGGGCAAGTAATCTGCAGTATTCGAAGTGATTCAGTAACTGAAATGCCAAATACCAAACTGTTTCTGCTATTGTACGTGAATTTACTATCGTTACCATATGTGCATATGTATCATATACCTTAATACAAACATCGGGAATAATACCTATTAAACGAGATATCCGCCATTATATTTTTACTGCGACTACATTGATAATACATTATAAGCCTTAACTTGTTGTTCATGTCACAGACAAAAGAGACGCAGGGCGGAAAGATTGATGGACAAGGCCACGGAAACAAACGAAAACATCACGATGAACATAATGAAGGAGTTCCTTTTCAACACCAGCATACGGGACCAAAAGCAGTGAGAGAACAAACTATTAATTAAGAAAAATCTTTTCGATCAAACACAAAATTCTATCAACTCCAGAGCTTCGAAGACTTATAACAAACAGTAAATTCGCCACTTGATCAAAAACATACAATGCTGACGTAACCATATGCTGCTGTGCTTCTAACGGTTCATGTTTGAAATTCAACAAACCTTAACAAAAATGGTAATGATTAATCCCTGTTATTATTCTGTTTGCAGTCAGAAGTAGCCGAATCCTTGAACATATACTCGCCCAAAAGAACATCTTTGAGTCAAAACAAAGGTATATCTTTTTTTTCGTTTTGTTATTGAGATGCTAATCAACATTGTAAATTGTGAGGACATTTCAACCCAATCATAGTACGTTTCGAATTTAGACCGATCTTGGGTAAAAATACCAGTATAAAATCTTTAACTTTAGGGTCAATATAGCTTATCACCATCAGAGTTTTGTATTCATCGGATATCGAAGTACTGAATATATCTTCTGATTGAAAACGGGAGAGTGTCTATGTAATGATAAGCGAATCAGTCAAATTAACATATTAATGTATGTTTAATTAATAGAGGAACGATCTGGCGACAAAAGCAGAATTCACAGAACGGTTAGTGTGCTATTTTGTTATGAATGAATAAATGTAAGATGTTCTAAGACTTTTGAAACTTATCGTTTTATAATAAGCTTATCAAAATTACTTCGTGCATGTTTCAGGAGATGTTTCATCAGAACTATATGGTGTTTTTTTCTGTGAAATTTATAAATTGTCTTCAAATAAAAAATACAGTTCTTATATAAATTACGATAAAAGTTATAGATACTGATATAAGTTCATTTATTATATTGCAGGGTATTGCAAACCTCGGAAACACTTGTTATGCGAACAGTGTCCTCCAGGTAATGTTTATGCATTAAAAACGCAATAAAATGTTCAGGAAGCTTTCATAGCTAAGCACTGACATAACTATCGCTAATATAGTTTCAACCTAACACCCATTAAAATTATTCAAACTCAGTTAGAACTATGATGATGGTATTGCAGGTTAGATGCCTAAAAAACTCAAATATGTACCCATTTATTGAGCCTAAGGGTAGCGTCCGAATAGGGAAAGTTGGCTAAAAGATGTCAAATCCTCTTTGTATCCGGAATAAAGTATAAGTTAATGCATTTCATTCATAGTTAAATAACATATTTTGAAGCTTTGAACATGTTTTGCCTAATTTGGTAATTATAATGATCATTTGATGGCAATTTGATGGTATGAAAATAATGATGGAAACAAAAGTTTATGGCGAACTGGTCATTCATAGGGGCCTACCAAATCTGTGTAGAGAAAATGACTATGAGAAAAGCTGTTATTTTTCGTTATTTCAATAAATCCATTTGAGCAGTGTTTAATTTGGCATTTGGTCCCTTCTTCTATTTTAAAATACAAATTTATTTTTTGACAATAAATTTGATCTGTTCTGTAAAATATCATTGAAATGACTCATGTGTGCGTATGCCTTGTACATATGTAAGAGCACTTTTTCCACTTTCATTTCTCATCAGTAAGGTTGAATCAAAAGGAAGTCTTTACGATTAATTGATTTCAACGAATCGCTCTATACTGACATTAAGAAATGTGCAGAAGAAGATATTCGCCAATTTTGTCATTTTTTCCCCCCGTTGTTTTTACTGAGAAATAACAATAATAGTGTTTTTATTTATTTGGTATTTCGTCAGTTTCCTTAAAATAAGACGACAACTTAAGTGATACAAAACAATAAAGAACAATTTGCTTCAAGGTCTTATGAAATAAGGATAGTGATAAACCTGTTTAAATCATGTACCATTTCCCTCTTTATCTACAGGTCCTCGGAAAAACGCCTCAGCTAAGTAAATGTTTAGGAGGAAACGTAAGTTGAGAAAAAGAATATCATCTGAAAAGAGTTATAAGAGTTTATTGTACAGAAGGTTTCATATTATTCTGAGAACACTTAGAATAAAACATGAAAATTACATTTGTTTCAGTAACCACTTTAATACTGAACTCTATGACAAACGTAACGACATATAATGCTTCTCTCTCATCCTTCGTAATGTAATTTCAGCCTCTTCTACCTGGTAATCTGTCGCAGTTTAAATGCTACTCTAGAGCCTGTTCTAAGACCATTGAAGAAATATCAACTACGAGATTTCACTGTGTTCTATCATTAACGATTTGTTCACATTGTCTTAGAAAATTGTAACCTCCGTGATTTACTCGATTTGACAGACAGCTGTCACATGTACAGGTAAAGGCTACATTTCTGGAGCACCAACCGTCCTGTCCGGATCTTATCAAGAAATGTTTTCTTGTCATGCGTTAATTTTCTGTATTAGTTCAGTTGAAATTACATTTTTGTGTTGTATTATCTCATGTGGTTATCATTACAGCCCACAAGGAGTGCATCCCTTTTAAAAGCAATTGTGGACGAACTGAATACAGACGACGGTCAAGTCAACAGTCAAAACGTCCGTTGTTTGCTCCGTTATGTTTTCAATAGGTATTGTTGTGTTCTTTATTGTCAATATGATGCACATATAATCCGTAAATAATACAATATCAATGATGTGCTTACAAAACAATTCAGAACGTTTCAGGTTTGAAATTGAATTTATAGGAAAATTTGCCTTTTTCAGAGGATATATTGTAGACGTGAATGAGCAATTGTTTTAAGTAAATGATAAAAATAATGAGTCAAAGTTCATTTTATAAATTAGTTTACTTCATTTTAGGGACGACTCATTCGTTTTGGGACACCAGAATGACAGTCATGCATTTCTTCTTTCCCTACTTGACTGTGTAAACAACGATTCAGGTAATCAAACTTAAACATTTGTACTTAAAAAGTGAGAATATGAAACTGCAAACCAATGTTTCAATAACAAATCTTATGTTAGATTTAATTATTTAGAGTAATTTACATTCGATTGCAAATGTAATTTTATTTATGGCCAAATGTATTATATTTTAAAGATATCCTCAGCTGAAATATGCCTTAAAGTCAAAATATTTGTAGTTACTTCATAAAGGTTTGAAAGACCACCACTTATTTTCAGCCATTGCTTCCAACGGGTACCAACATGCAGTAAATAAAAACATCTGGAATGTAATAAACCCGCCGAATCAAACAGACATAGTTCAGTTACATTCGGAATCAAATTATACCAGCTTAGAAATAATTTCAGGCGGAATTTGAATCAGCGGAAATGCCCCTATAGTACAATGCTTTACTTTGACTTTATGTTGAGGTTCTCAATAAAAAATATAAAAAAATATGTACCGGAGGTTCCAATTGTCTTTTCGTATTGATATTATGTTCCGACTTTGTGTTTTAACATTCTTAGATATATGTATTTCTCCACTTAAATTATTTAGGGAAACAACACATGAAGTATAAGATATAAAGCCAATGGTTGAACCCAAAAACAATCAGTAGTATTCAATGAAATTTTATCTACCAGTGTTAAAATAGGCATAATGAAGTGGAACTTAAATTACGGTGGCACAAAAGCCGAAGGTCGATGACACAAAGGAAGAGAGTTTAAAATTGTTGTGTACCTTGTAATGTTTTAGTATAAATCTTTTCTGATTTTCTCCAATTAAGGAAATTCATATGGGTGTAGTATGGTAATAATCCAGGTTGGTGTGTAGATTGTGTTGGTATTACTCTTAAGTTAACCATTCGCCGAATATTGTTATAAATGACAATAGCTATGTAAATATTTCGTTTTGCATTATTGTAAGTTGTAGATACATGCCGACTGTTTAGTGGCAAGATGACGAGTCGTTTCACGTACAACACGTGCAAACACGTGAGTAAGCAATTTTTCAGAAAAAAGTTCAGCCAAAAGTATGTTAAGCAGAAGGAAAAAAAGTAAAGCTATCCATTAAATTTGACACTGGAGGAAATAAATTTCATTTAAATTTCTAAAAGGCGTGTTGGTTTTCTAAATCTATATACCGTAAAAGAAATTAAAAAAAAAAATCTATTATTGTATTCATGTCCTAGCTTTAATTTACACAGGTGGAGTATTCAGGCGAACAACTCTTTTACAGTCTACTGATGCCAATTAATAACACACATGTAAGACATTTCGATTACACATTTGCTACCAGGACAAACTTTTCAAACTGAACATACTAGCAGCTAAATGTTTGTGTCGTTATAATTATATAAAGGTGCGACGGTACTTACTAATCGCAATGTGACATGTGTATCAATTAAATTTTCCAGAATGTACATTATTAGATAAATGTTAAAATCGTCATGCGATAATAATTTGAAAGAAACAACAGTTTAGATTGTATATTTTTAGTAATGAACTAATTTGCCAGTTACCATTTCAAAACTCAATATTCCATCAACGTGTCTTTTTTAGACGTTGGATGATTGCATTAATGCATACTGCGAGGAGGAACATTTCCCTGACAACCTCCTTTGTTGTCGAGAGTGCCATGAAACTAAAGCTGGTATATATTTCCTTTTTTGTCGCTCTTATATTTTGATTCCCAGTTTTATACTTTCCTGTAAATGATATATCAGGAAAAAAATTGTGTAAATTCTTCAACATATTTAAAATATTTATAGTACATTTGGATGCTCATTTAAATGATTTCACGTTACAAAACATCCCAAATACATTTTTTTTTTTTTTTTTCATTAATTAATTTTGGTAAAAACGTATTTTATAGCAAATTCGATATTGTGTGCATTCAATCATGTTTTAATTTCAAAGCAAAGTAATAATGTTTTGTTGATTATCCATTTACTCTTGGTGTAGACACAGTTACATCCAAGAAGTTTGTTTTCACAAAACTTCCCGAAGTATTAGTCCTACAAATGGGCCGATTTGAAGAGGTAAGTAGGCATTTAGATCACGAACTCAATAATGTAGAATGAAAGATATACACCTTCTAAAGAAATTTTATGAATTTAAACGGCTATAAGAAGCATCGAGATCATATTTGAAAAAAAATATAATGATATTACTTTCTTTTATTTATATATTAAAACCTACCTACCTTAAACATTAATCCGTGACTTGATTTTCGCAAAAAAGGACAATGAATTTGAAAAATAATTCTAAACAAACGTTTTTGTTTTTAGTACACTGATGAGTCAGTTCTTAAATAGACAAAATTGCCATATGATGCCGTAAAATGTTGAATTTGTTTGACTTTCTACTTAAAATACGATTTTTCAAAGGTGTTTTCTTTCCTCATACCTCGAATGACTTATTTTCTTCTGAATTATTCTTGCATTATAAAAGAACCATGTTAGTAAAATTCAAGTTCAAAAATGATTTCACATTGCGGTGGTTAACCTGTTGTCTGTTGGTGTATAAAGAGCTTAAGTGATGCATAATAAACTGTGGGTAGATGGATATGGTTCCTCAATACATTTCTGAAACGAACATGAGCGAATTCCCAAAGGTATTGTTTTGACAATTTTAACTTCTAATTTAGCTTTTCTTGTCATAGATTTCGACCCATTAACATATTTATGTGTTATTAGCTGTATCTATATGATTTAAACCAAAGTACTCCAATCATAGTATACTCGTTTTATTTATAATTAATTACAAAAGCAAAAATAACAGTAAATGTATCATGTTGTATAAATAAAAGTAGTACCTGTGGTGGCGTAGGCATATGTTCCCATGATTTTGACAAATCGCAGCACCTTTAGGGTTAGTTACACATTTGTAGTACCATATTTATGACATGGCCGTAAGACATAGTAAAATCGGTCAGTTATGTGATATAGACATATAAAATCACATTACGCAGAACTACAACACGACAGAAAATAAATAAGCACACAAAGACTGATATTAATCTGTCATAATCAATATTTCGGCGATGATGATAGCTTTGCATGTTTGTATATTTCAAGCACATGGAATCCCATGGGACGATTATACGGAAAAAAACCACAAGGATCAGTTTTGAAGAAAAGATTCATTTTGACCTAGAGAAAATAGAGGAATCTGGGGTTCGTAAAATGTTACCTTGTAGTTATTATTTAAAACATACCTGAAGGTGTTTTGTTCATTTGTTCATTTTAGAGAATCACAATAAAAATAAGCCTCGGGAAAGACTAGCAAAATATATTACCTGTAACTGAGTGAGATCAGGTTATCTCAGTCGAGGGTTAAGATTCTTACGCCTCGGTTGGGATGTTACAGAATCTTAGCCCGAGACTGAGAGAACCCGATCTTGCTCAATTACAGGTAATTGATTTTTTTTCTCGCACCTTTAGTTCGAAAGAACTATCAAATTTTGCTAAAAACTAAAAGTATCCTTCGTTGGGCATCAAATGATAATGACCTCTTCACTACTTAAGCTACATTTCAACGCTTCCGGGTAAAAATGTTGTCTGTCCTTACATGGATTACAACGTATTTCACAGTGTAGATTATATTTTATCTACAACATCAAATATATAACAACATCAAAACTACATATGTAACAACAAAACAGAACATTTATAATGCAAATTGTCAATTTCAAGCAGTTAACGCGCGGATGAATACTTTGACATCGACGATCGAGATAGAAAAATCTAGCATGGGGTATGACGTGGGATATCTCTGTCTGAGGTGCGAGTAAGGTTTATCTTGTCACGGGTCAATACCTGTCTTTCACGGGCAAATATGGGAGAACACCTGGTCTTACTCTCCCTGTAGTTTCGCAAAGGTATCCATGTTAATCTTAGCTTAATTAGTATGAACCTTGCTGGGGTGTTTTAGAGTTTGAGCTCGAATTATAGTTTTGTTAACACTTCGGTATTCTCTTGTTGTCCTCCTAGTATAGTTAAATTAGCGATACAAGAAACATCAGCCTCTTGTTGTCCTCCTAGTGTAGATAAATTAGCTATACAAGAAACATCAGTCTCTTGTTGTCCTCCTAGTATATATAAATTAGCGATACAAGAAACATCAGCCTCTTGTTGTCCTCCTAGTATATATAAATTAGCGATACAAGAAACATCAGCCTCTTGTTGTCCTCCTAGTGTAGATAAATTAGCGATACAAGAAACATCAGCTTCTTGTTGTCCTCCTAGTATAGATAAATTAGCTATACAAGAAATATCAGCCTCTTGTTGTCTTCCTAGTATAGATAAATTAGCGATACAAGAAACATCAGCCTCTTTTTGTCCTCCTAGTATATATAAATTAGCGATACAAGAAACATCAGCCTCTTGTTGTCCTCCTAGTGTAGATAAATTAGCGATACAAGAAATATCAGCCTCTTGTTGTCTTCCTAGTATATATAAATTAGCGATACAAGAAACATCAGCCTCTTGTTGTCCTCCAAGTATAGATAAATTAGCGATACAAGAAACATCAGCCTCTTGTTGTCCTCCAAGTATAGATAAATTAGCGATACAAGAAATATCAGCCTCTTGTTGTCTTCCTAGTATATATAAATTAGCGATACAAGAAACATCAGTCTCTTTTTGTCCTCCTAGTATAGATAAATTAGCTATACAAGAAATATCAGCCTCTTGTTGTCTTCCTAGTATATATAAATTAGCGATACAAGAAACATCAGCTTCTTGTTGTCCTCCTAGTATAGATAAATTAGCGATACAAGAAACATCAGCCCTTTGTTTTCTGTTTGAAGGAGTTTATATGTTCGATTGCACTATCTTACACTTTCTGGGTGATGATTTAGCAACATACTATTAAGAGATATATATCATATTCATTTGATGTAATATGTCTGTCACTTACACTTCAGTAATACTTACGTCTTAACGATATTTGAATCATTTAACACTAATCACCTTTATTTCTCACTGTTTCGTTTTCAGAAAAATACAAAGTCCACTTCAAACAAGACAAGATACTCCTATGAGTTGTATGGTGTTGTCAACCATTACGGAAGTATGGCAGGTGGTCATTACACAGCAACTGTCAAAATGGAACGAACTGACCGCTGGTACTTCTGTAGTGACACTTGCGTTAGATCGGGCTCTAGCCCAGCTAAAAAAATGGATGGGGGAGCATACCTGCTCTTCTATCATTTACATCATGTACTGTAGAGAATAATGATAGTGATGTTTAGAAAGTTTATTGATATAAGTTCTTAGATTCTACTTGTTTAACGGAGCTAGATATATTCAATTATAATCAAGTTCAAGTTCTTTATTAAAACATTCTACTCTTCGTCTATTTACTTTAATGCTTGATATATAAAGGAAAGCATTTGGAAAACGAAATTTTATTTATGTATTGATTTACATACTCACCTTTTACATTTTACCAGTCACAAGAGAAGGTTTGGTTACATAAATCAAATAAACAGAATAATGATTAGTTCTTTTAAACAATATACGAAACGGAAGAACTGAAATATAAGCTTTCTGCGTCGAAAAGCCAATGACGTCATTAAATAGCAATGATTGATGACGTCACAACAAAGCTTCGTAAAATAGTACGTCACAGCACGTCACAACTATCTCTCTCCACTCCCCACTTTAACATTCCAAACAGATATTCAGACCCCTATCAAAGTCACCAACAAAATTAATAAATCTCAAACACTAATTTTGTCGTACTCTATATTGCAAGATATTCCAATTTGTTGGTACTTAATGGTTGATAGGATATTAGTTTGCTTTCCCATAACACTGTTCTTTCTTTGAAGGTCACGTTTTATGTATAGAATTGTATTGCAACTATGTCACATCTTTATTATATTACTGTAGTGTAACAGGGTCATGTCTTTATATATAGTTCTGTAGTGTAACTGGGTCGTGTCTTTATAAATAGTACTATGGTGTAACTGGGTCATGTCTTTATATATATTACTGTAGTGTTACTTGGTAACATCTTTATATATATTACTGTAGTGTAACTTCGTCACATCTTTATATATCTTACTGCAGTCTAACTGGGTCGTTTAATTACAAATCTTTATATAAATTGCTGTTGTGTAACTGGGTCATGTTTTTATGTATAGTACTGTATTGTAACTGGGTCATATTTATATATAAATAACTGTAGTGTAACTGGGTCATGTCTTTATATATATAACTGTAGTGTAACTGGGTCACATATTTATACATATAACTGTAGTGTAACTGGGTCACATCTTTATGTATAGTACTGTAGTGTGACTTGGTCACATTTTTATATAAATAACTGTAGTGTAACTGGGTCACATCTTTATATATATTACTGTAGTGTAACTGGGTCACATCTTTATGTATATATCTGTAGTGTAACTGGGTCATGTCTTTATGTATAGTACTGTAGTGTAACCTGATCACATCTTTATATATATTACTGCCGTCAGGTCTATCAAGCAACACTAATTATGTATAAGCGGTAACAAATAGGCAATGTATTATAATATTTAGCTGATTCATCAGACAGAGAAGTTCGGAATCATTTCGCCATACCATTTTGTATATAGCAGGTAGAATTAGAAAGGACTAGATAAAGTAATTAGTGAGTATCAAAAGTGATGTCTCCAACGCCCATATTAATAGGGAAATACGTGATAAGGTTATGACATTAAAAAATACACCGGATATGTAATTATCAAAGGTTCTGGTATATTAACGCATGAGAGATTCAGGGAAATCATTTGTATTAATTTGTAAATGGGTTGTGTGACTTGGATGCATGTATGAATTAGCGAACGAAAATGTAAAGCACATGTGTATGTTTACACATATGTATTTAATAGGTTGGTTAGCAATGTTTGTATATTTATGAATTGGCCTATGAAAATGCACACATTAGACAGCATTGATGACAAGGACAACGGCGATGCTGCTGCTGCTGCTGCTGCTGATGATGATGATATGGAGGCACGGTAGTCTAGTGGTAGGACGCCGGGTTCGTGACCGAAGGGTTGCGGGTTCAAGTCACGGCACGCACTGTGTTGTATCTTTGAGCAAGATACATTACTCCGCTTGTTCCAGTCTACTCAGCTGTAAATGAGTACGTGGTTGGGCAGTGCTAGAACTGTAGAATGCTAGCTGTGATCGCCGAAATGACAGCACCGGCTGTATGCTCCCCATGGAGTTGAGAAAGATATTGGCTGGTTGCAAAGGCCCTATAACCACGGATAATAATTTGTGAATCGCTTTGAGACGACCTACGAACTAGGTTGTTATAAAGCGGTATATAAGAACCTCGAATTATTATTATTATTACTATTATTATTATTATATGCCAATGTGTAGGTTGTGAGTGAGATCACAAATGTATTGAAAACATATCTGTAAATAAACAATATCAATAAGCATTTTTTGTTTGATATTTCATATTAAGTATAACATAGTTAGAATTTTGATGTAGATGAAAACAATTTTGAATTGCGAAAATCAAATATAAACATCCATCCTAGTGGTGCATTCCTGAGACATCTCGGTCTCGAGTTTGATACTTAATATGTCAAAGACCGTTATTCTATGGGTTTGTTAAAACGAAGTGGAAAACTTATATATATTTATTTTTAACGATATGCAAAACTAGCAGATCTGGTACCTGCAACAAAGTTGAAGGAAGTATTAAGAAATTTCACCAATCGTAATCTTTCTGTAAAGAGAAAAGCGCCACATGGTAGAATAAATGTTTGGCTACAACAACGTACTAAATGTTTCAATTATTTCATATTTTTAGTGATTATTTTATGTAACATTGTGGTTCACTGTACTGCTGACCCCAAGGAAGGTCAAAATCTGTCATGGCTTACATAAAATACTAGTTCAAACTAAACCATCTGTTGGGTTCAAACATTGTTTATTGGTTAATTAGTTATATAGGTTTTTAAAGTCGCATCCCTCCCTCCTTCTTCATTGCAACATATTAGACATGTTTCCTCATTCTCTAAGTTCAAACTTTATTTTATTTTTACAACAATATTTCATGATACACAATATATTCCATAAGGATTCAGAAAAAAAGTAAATAAAATTATGTAAATCCGTCTCCTTTTAAACATAAACAAGCATTTTTTTAACCTTTAACAACACTGGATAAACTTAAGTAAACGAAATTGCAATATAGACAGTGAATGTTTGCTTTGTTGTTGAATAGGTGCATCTAGTGATAATTGTACACGTCAAAATGTTTGACAGAATAATTAAAGACATCATTCAGTTTAGTTTACCAATAATCTTTATCGATTACTATTACATTGAAATAGTTAGTGTAACGTAAGAGAACGAAGACTTTGAGGTGTAATAATTTATGAACGGAAACAATATATGCTTTTTTTTTTTTATTAACATCTGATTTTAATGAGATTGCTATACTACTAGACTGTACGATAAGCAGGACAGTTTCGATTTTTAAATATTGAACTTTTCCTTTCTTAAGTGTAACATTTCTACTTCCCAAACCATTTCCTTTACATGCTAAATTTGCTTCGGTATTCACCGGCTAGCTTCGAATGTCATCATTTTTTTTGTTAGATGTCGACTGCTGATGATACAAGTAAATGAAGACTGGTTTTATAGTCACCATCACGGTGTCATTTAGAAATATGTCGTTTCTTTGCGTGATAAGAAGGCCGACGATGTTTTTATTATGCTCTTTAGTGTGCCTTGTGCTTGTGTTGTCGCTACCCTGTTTCTCGCTATGAAGCGTATCATTACCTGGATATTACCTGGCATTACATTTCGGATGTCGTCGATGAAGGAGAAGACGCTTACCCTTCAGAAACACTTGGTCTTATTTTCCTCATACTTTTACCAATGGTCTCCTTGTTCATCTTTCCATCGTCCATATTTTGTTTTAGTTTTATTGACTTTGAGTTTGAATTACTTTTTGTTGAAACTCTTCTCGTTATGTGGTGTAAACCAAACAAATGAAAAAAATAGAGAGAGCTGATGAAGAGGCGTCTTTGTTATATATTTTTAAGTGTAGAAGAATATATATAATTGAACAAATTTGAAACAAAACATTTTCAATATATCTGAAAGAGAAAGCACTAGTACCCCTAATGATATAAGGTAGCCTCAAGCTGTAGTTATTTAATGCTTGTGTATCATATCATCTGAAGAGCGAGAAGAGATAAATTATTAGATATTCATTTAGTTTGGTAAGATATACGTATGTTTTCCTTATAAAAGCTGCCACGTAGCACATCAGGTCAAGTGACGTGGCGAATGGAATCAATACATAAATTCCAGATAGATACGAATATAAATAGATCCTAAGCAAACCTTGACTTCCGAGAAATCCTGGACAGTTGGCGTTATTTATAATCACAAATCCCTATATGACGTTGCATTAAATATAGATCGATGACGTGTCTGCATTTTCCGAAAATCAGCGAAAATATTTTTAACACATATTTCTGTCCTAAGTAATACTTTTGGTTTCGTTTTGCCTTAAAATATCACTGTACTTTCATTTTACTATAGTTTTCTTAGACAACAAAACAAAACATACGTATTGTACACATGAATTCCAAAATGACATCCTGTAAGCTGCAATGTAATGTTTGCGGAATAGAAACTGGACAAATGGTTAGTATATTTTTCCTGATGAGCTTTATTCATATTTCGTTTAATCAAATTTAATACTTGCTTCATATCACAGGTAAACTAGTCTGGACTATATAGAGACGTGCTTAGGATTATAATTACTTCAACCACTTTGCAAACAACAAATGCTAAATTGTAGACTTCACGTCACAAAGATGTATACCACAACTTTGCCCTTGTTCAAAGGAACCAAAAGTATGTCATATTATTTTTTGTCTTCAAATATCACTGCATATTTATTAATTAATTAATAGTAGTGTTTAGTTTTACCATCAACTCAAATTAAATCGTGCAAATTTGGTTTTTTATATTGATACGTTTTTTCTGTCCATATCTATTGTGTAAGCTTCGCCATGTCCTAATCGTTGACAGCCTGCGATAGAAGTCGAAAATTGTCATCATATCCATTGCAATACCTGTGCTGAAAAGATGGTAGTAAATCGAAAGCTTCACAGAGGAAACCGAATACCGCATTACAGATGTTTGGTATGTGGCCGGTTTGGTAGGAAAATGCTGGTAAGTGCATGCTTTCTATTTACTTAAAAATGGACATGTTACAGCTGTATATGGTCATCAAAAACACTATTTTAAACCTTGCTGTTCGTTTTGATTAATCGGTGTATTATCATTATAAAATTGTCCAACTATCTTTATTCTCATTTCAAGGTTTCCCAACAATCACACGAGTATTACCCAGCATCACCGCAACATGACCACTCTGCAGGTAAGTGCATATAATCGTTGAGACGGGTGCTTATTTTAAACATTGAGTGACACTTTTTGTTATAAGCTCTTAGTATGGCACCCGTAGTTTTCCTACACTGGTATACTAATAGAGAGAAAGAGAAATGTGTTCTAAACAAAGCAATAACAAACCTAGTTATATATGTTTGTGGTGCTGTATAAGTATTATAATCAACATACAGTATTCTATCTATTTCATTATGCATTTTCTGCTCCGATTTAAACTTTTCAGCACAACAATCCTGCCGTGTACGTAAGGTCAATACATCTATACGGGACCCCGGAAACATGGATCTTAGTCACACATATCCAAGGGTAGGAATAATAACATCTGCTATCATACAAAGATTGAATTACTCATAGTTCTTTCTCTACATATCTACGGGTCAGTAAGAATGTGTCAACTGATTAAATCACAGTAAATGGTGTGTTTTTTTATATATGAAGTCAGCGCCGCTATTAATATACAGTGACATTTCTAAAGGGTATACAAAGTAAGTTATATATATATACATATATATACATCAGGTAAAAGTTATATATATATACAGATAATTACATCAGATTAAAGTTATATATATACAGATAGATACATGAGGTAAATTATCTTTAATTATTGATCATTATATTAACGCCATGTATACATTATTTATCATATGTATGCCAGACCGATGTAAAATTAGTCATAAAGATCCCCCCCCCCCCCCCCTTTTACACCAACCAGATATGTAGTTAATTTTCAAAAGGTGATATTTATTATCTTACAAATAAATAGACTGGCTAACGTCAATAGCGGAAAAGACACGGACAGAAATATCTAACATTTTGGAGACGGCTGACTAAATAAAAAGTTGTAATACATAGAAACTTCACTGTTCTAAAGAAGTATTATCGTTATATCTGTGATACTGGATTTCCACAGTTTTGTTTTCTCGTTTTCTGCGATTTTTAAATGTATATATGTATACGTTTATTGACTGAGGAGATAACGGCAGAAAGAAAACGTGAGTTTGTTTGTATATCGAATACCGAGTATAATATAAAATTGTCGAGATAAAGTTTCTAAAACATTAAGTTGCCAATTGATATGTAAAAGTGTTCACATTGGAAATAAATCGCGATACGATGCCTATCTTCAGTTTTTTTTACTTATTTTGACGAAATCGACCTTTTTCATCACTGGTGAATATAGCGTCTCTTTCTTGAATGATCAAGCGTTGCCATGATGAACAGATACAATCTATGTTTGTGTACTTTCCTTATCAGGAAATCATACCAACTGTACTCTCGTTATGGATTGACTGTCGGTGTGGTTCCGTGAAATGAACGTAAACGGCTCATATAAACTAGCATATGTCAGAGTAGGATGAAGTCCCGCTTAAGCTTAATGTCTGTTTCGTATGATTTAAAGCACAGAAACATCACTATTAAAACTTAACAGGAATATGTCTTAACAACTTATATATCAAGCTTATGATAGCGTTTCTCTGTCCTCATCTCCCCTGATGTGAAACTTGTTGAACTGATTTATTAAAGTCCAGAAACAAACCTATTAAAATCCTTCACCAAAGGAAATATTGGCCAGTCTATCAATCCTTTTCTTCGGTTTATGTCCAATATCTATAGTAACGATAAAACTAATCTATTTCGAATTTTGTGCTTTAAACCCGCTTGTGAAAGCCCTTTATTTTGTTAGGGACAATCCATGAAACTCTTGACTACAGCGACAGAGATATTTTTCATATTTTTTGATAATGGGACGTAATTACAGTAATTAAATTTACATGTTTTCCAGGGACTACAAAACTTTAAATTGACATGTGCCATCAACGCAGTTGTTCAGGTAGGAAAGTTGTTTCCTTTTATATGTGTACTTATGTGTACATACTGTTATGTCGCCAATAAGATCTTGCTCAAAAGTAGTAATGATTGTCAATACAATAAATATAAATATATTGTATAAATAAAGCATTCACTGTGTGGAGTTCTTTTTACTTTGAACTACTGTGAACGTAAATGTAGGCACTGTGGTTGCTTGTAATGGTTTTTTTCTTTTGCAATGTAGAATTGTTATCTACTGAAATAATAATACAACGTGATATTGTATCCAACTTAATTATTGCATCTAAATGTAAACAACGTTTGATTCTAATTTTACATGTGGAGTAATACATTGATAATTTCTCTGTATTTAAAGGTCTTAGCACAAACTCCAGGATTTTATGATGCAGTGTTTGATTTTTGCATCAAGGTAAGAAGACGTTTTATAAAAACATACACCAGAGTGCAAGGTGTGTGTATTTTAGTACGTGAAAACTGTAAATGATCACTCCATTGTTCTCTTTTAACTCATAGTATAATGGGGATTTCAACAAGGGTCAAATGGTGAAAAATACAACAGTTTGCAGTAGACAAACAAGGTGTATTCTACAAATTGATTATGTTTTATCTTCTTCTTTAATATTTCAGAGTAAGAAAACGGATTTGGCACACATTCTTTTAGATATCATCCTAAATGTAACCCATGCACCAGGTCCAATCAGTGCCGAGGCATTACAAGCAGAAATCAGTGAAAGGTAAAAATAAATTAGTGAGCAACTCATGTTATATCAAACTATGATCAGTGTTACATGTATCAGTACCCAATGTACTAAAGCATGACCAGTATTTTCATGATCTATTGCATTTATGTATGATGATTCTTACCAGTAGCTAAAAACTAAGACATATTTATAAATATGAAATTTTAAAAAAAAGTACATAAAAGTATGCGTTGAAATAAAACCAGTCAGCCAACATGAGGCTAACGCGGAGCTCTTTAAGTCAACAGGTGGCAAAGTAATGTGATCAAAAAATTGAAATGGTTCTCAGCCATTTATATGACAACAAATGAAGCATTCTTCTTCCGCTCAGTAACAATCAGGCCACGTTTACTAATTGTAAGCTGTTTTGTGATAATTTTTCTTAAATAGGGAGGATGACTTTCACTTCTGGAGACAACATGACTGCCATTCCTTTCTCCTGTGTCTTTTAGAGACTTTGAGAGAGGATCTGGGAAAAGGTTAGACACAGTTTTATAATTTAGTTCTACATCATCCACTATTTGATATTAATGTATAAATAGTTAATAGAAATACGAAGGCAGAAAGCAGCTGTTTAAAAATTTAGATTCTATATGTAGAAAGCAAAATAATGTTAATATTGTACTGCACTTCATATGATTGTCTGTATAATTTAGACCACTATATTCTTTATCATTTTGATTATAACTGGTTACTGAACGATTGTTATCAAAGGTTCCGTCGAGTTTTCTTGTTTATTGAATTTCTTTTTCTTAAAAGAAAACTAAGTAATAAACGCATATTTATTGATATACCGTTTCTGTTTTTTAGAGAGCATGGGCTTATTCACAGGGCAGATTAAGAACCAGTTTGAATGCCGGAGCTGTTCACATGTAAGTTTCGAAAACTGTGTCCAATTTCTGTCATATGGTGTTGATGATGTGGTATACAATTATTCAATGCAATTTTCTATTAGAAATGAAAACATTTTATACGCTACACGATAAAAAATATATGTATTTACGTCACTTTATGATGCTATCTCTGCTTTATTATAATGTTATATGCCCGATATCTAGTATTTGGTCAATCCACCATGTCTTCAGTTAATTATAATATACTTATATAATTTTCAGATGGAATGTTCCGAACCTCAAGACTTTACATCGTTATGCATTCCCTTAACTGAGGTAATTAATACAGAATTAACATTGCTATAAAAAGCGGAATACACAGGTTGCATTATTGTTGCCCTTTTTTATTATTTATATTTTCCATATATCTTTATGGTTCTACTCACTGAGAGTGTGATGACATCATGACTCATATTTAAGAGATAGGTAAACATTGAAGTTATCATTAAAACAAATAAAGTAGGTTATTTATTCTCTTTACTGTATTCAATGTTAATGGAAATTTTAATATTGTACATGCAGAGATTGATCCATTTCACAAAGGTCATTAGACAAATGCCTTCTCGCATTGCTAATACAGAATACATTTTGCCAATAGCTAGTGTGGACTCTTTTGATGCAAGTCTGTTGTGCAGAATTTCATATTTGAATGACTGAAACTTTACAGTAATGCCACATAAATTAAATAAATCCAAATTTCGCCTTCGAACAACTATTTACAGAATTCGGTGGAAAAGGGCTTAAAAGTTCTGTTTCAAAAGGAAACACTGACGGATTCAAAGATGGTATGCCGATCTTGTGCTAAAGGTAATAGAGTAAGCTTTCACACGTTAATAAACTTTCCAAAAATATTATTTCCAGAGACCACCTTCAATATTTAACAGCATTCTTTCGAGTGTGACTTCAAATATTGTCGATTAATATCTACAGGCATATTTCGCGAAATGAAGTACACGAAAAAATATGGTGGTTTACAATTATTAAACTCATTGCGAAGTCGTACTTGTAATATAATCATATGTCTAAAGGTAACAAACTGTGTCGCACACAGTTAACTCTACATAATCTGCAGAATAAATAGATAAAACAAGTTTAATATTCATTTAAGAATTTTAAAAATGTGTGTTTGTTTCGGTTAATAAGATATTGTAAAAACATAGGACATGTTGTAAAATTCTACGGTTATTTTATGTTTCCTTTCATTTTATAAAGGTGAAAATATCTTGACGTTGTTATATATGATATAATTATAACAGATAAAAGAATCCAGAGACGGTATTTGTGTAATAAAGAGCTACTGATTGCGAGAGCTCCCGACGTCCTTGTTCTTCAACTCGCCAGATTTAAAGAGGTGTGTTTATATAGATTAGGTAACTTAAGGACACTGGTGTAAACCCCATTGAATGAACTTTTATCGTCAATCCAGAAATATCAAGCTAGCTTTTTTGTCACCAGATTTCAGTACAAATGTGAAAAATATGATAAAAGGTGTCGGCTAACGCAGGGACATTGTATACCAAAACAGGGTAACAGATTTTTTTTGTTTAACGATGGTGATTTCCATTTTGCTATAACGATATATCAAAGTAAACTGTGACAAGCGTCATCGTCATCTGGAGTTAAATATTCTCCAGTTGATGAGTCCATGCTATATATTTTTCGCCATTCCCCTTTCGCTGTACATGTTTCGGAATACATTAGACATGGTATTTCATTATTTTGTCATTTAACAACAATGTTGAGTTCGAAATAGATGAAACAGACATATGGTGTAGTAAAATGTTTACTTTGTTCGGATTTCTGCATCGACAATTTGTTTTTAATTGACTCCTTAATACGTATTACAAGTGATTATTCTTCACATGTGCCACGTTATGGTTTTATTTGTGTTTTCATTGAAGGTGAGAACTACAAATGGACATGTAGTAATTCAAAAACAACAAAGCCTGTTCCCGTACAACGATAATATGCATCTGAATCCTGTAAGTTATTAATAGATACTACAGTAGTAAATACAGTCCAACTTGCTCATGCGACCACTTTCATTAAAAGATCACTTGTGTTTGGAGACCATTTTGTCTTTTTAACTTTGTGGTAGTTTCACTGCGAATTGAATCTGTATTATATCCCATCTGCATTTGGAGATAACGCCTTCAAATTCCTAATGGCGGTCTCGTTATGCAGATGTGACTGTAGGTGGGGTTAACAGTAGAAAAGAACTCTTTTATTACCAGTGATTTTCCCCCTTGCACTCTGATATCAATTACTCCTTTACTAATTATTTTACGTTGTTAGAAATATCTGTGTAAGCTCCCTCCTTCCTTAGTCATGGCCGGTTTTCTGTTTTATTGATTTATGATTCATTTTCTCTCTTGTTTTCAGTGTGGAAAATCTCCAGTTAAATACAAGCTTTTCGCCATCATCTCTCATCTGGGAACCATCGAAGGCGGTCATTACGTATCCTATATACGGACATTACAGGGCCAGCACGATATAACTAGGCCTACCAATAAAGACAAGGACAAGCTTGGCCACGAAAGTCACCACTCCAGTACGTGGTACCACTGTACTGACGACATTGTCACGCGATTGAAGCCAGACGCTGGGTATCCTATTTGTTCCCATGCCTACCTCTTGTTTTATCACAAACTAAATTGAGCGTTTTGTATCAGGAAAAGATCTTAACTAAACGCAGAACTTAAAATATAGACTATTAAAGGATTTTGTCAAGCAAAAATCGTTTATATTTTGCCTTTTAATATTAAGTTTTCTCGATTAATTACTCTTCACAGACGAAATAGTAAAGTAAGCTAAACTAAAAATTATTACCTTGAACTATGATTATTGCAAATAAAACAAATAATTACGTATGTTAAATAAGTCATACACAATCAGGAGATCTTTAAAAATATGAAATCTTATGAAAATATCAGATATCTCATATTTTTTAGAAAATATATAATAGCTTAGGATAGCTCATAACCTTTATAACTATTATAAAAAGGTAATGTTATCCTTTATGCGTACAAGATTTCGTATACAGTGATATCTTAGTAAGATTTATTTTCTCCGTGACAATATGGCGTTTTGAATCGCAAAAGACAATACATCTTTATTGAAGATATCATATAAAGTGTTTATAAGATCATGTTTATTTTCAAGACATCTGAACTTTTCCGGGTATTTTGTTCATTTTTCTTTTTAGGATACTTATAATTTGTAAGACATCTTATGAAGTTTATAAAATATCTAATTTAGTTTTAAAGATAACTTAAATAGTAAACAGTATACAGTTGACAGATATCTAATAAGTTTTTAAAATATTATATGAAGCGTTTACCAAATAATTCATACCTCCATGAATAAATCATTTTTGCTTGCCATAAAAAGAAAAAATACTTCACCTGTGGTGCAAAATATTGGAAAGGCAACCTTTATTCATTTATAAACCACGTCACGGGCATACTTTTACCGAGACGCATCTTGACACCTTATATGTCACCCTTTACATCTATAATAAAAATATCTCGAATTTCATTATGTCTTCACCTTATGCGGGAATATGACTTTCAGTCTGACAAACCAATAAACCTTCGCCGTATTAATGAAATCTACCTGCGAAAAACCCTAAAGAATTTTAAATGGAATACATTCACTTCGATTCTTCTACCTGGTTGGACTTATTTGAGAAGTCTGTACACAGAGGGTCCTTTAAATGTACGACTTATGTAGTTTTAGGTTTCAAACCAGAGAGAGAAGGTGTCCTTATCTTGGCTGTAGATATATTCCCGTCACGCACCTGCAGGCGACGCCATTGAATGGTAGCGGTATATATCACCGCTATCGAGTAGCCGGTCCACAAGATTAGGTGTGCGATACCATATAAATAAACCCGTCACTCAACCAAATCTTATTCAGCTATAGATAAAAAAAAATCTAAGTAGGCGAAATGTTTTCTTTAGAATTAAAGAATGGTTGTTTACCCGATCTCTTACGTGAAGTGTTCAGCGTGTCTCGTACAAACCATTTACTGCGCGGAAATAGTCGGGGTATCACACTCTGCTGATATTCTACATTCAACATTTAACATTTCAACATTAGGTGAAACATTTCGACATTAGTATATGGAGGATGGAATTACGCCGTTAATGAGAACAGGTGAGATTACGTATCATTGGGTCAGGTAATCGAGCTAAAATAGTGTATTTGTCTGTACCAATAACCTAGTATATCCTACTTTACATCTTGTGTAGTCGGACATTTTACAGAAATTGTTCAAGGACGGTTTATTTAAAATATATCCTAAATCATCTTTCCTTTTGTGACGTATGTTCACTACTTCAGCTAATATTACTTGTGACGAGACTAACTTGACTAATAAAATGTAGATGACATATCGTATACGTGTACATGTAGGTCTTATATCTATACCGTCAGAAAGGCGACAAGTGATTAAACCATTAAAAATATTAGTGACGGATCCAGGGTTACTGTAGGGATGGGGTACAGAACACCTCTTACAAATACATCCCCTCGTCATGTTTAATGTACCCGCCCCTAAATTTGACCACATAAGGTGGTCCCGTTTTCAGTTTTGTTTTGTTTTTCAATCAAAATTGCCAAAACAACAGAAAAAACAAACGATTTTTAACCTGATGGTGAACAAATCGCGTAAATATTAAGAAAATATCAATTATCTAAAATTTAAATTAAGGTGTAATTAAGTTGATAATACTTGATACAACAAGCTATCATATAAAATGGTATATAGAATTCCAACAGGAATATACTATTCCACTTGTCAATACGGTATTTCCTTCGCGTCTGTACCATTTTCTCGTCTATGGTATTCGCCTAGAGTGAATACGACTGTTCCTTCACGTCTACATTTTACCCCTTTTCCGAATTTAACTTTACCTTCTGTGTACGTCATTATACCTCTGTGAATACCTGTAATGACAGGTTTAAATCCTAATTGGATTTTGTTGTATGTTTACAAGTCAATTAGTCACGAAAACGTCTACCTAAACTTCTGAGGTTATCTCAAACCTAACCCTTTAATCGATACTACAAACATTTTAAAATAAATTACACTTTCGATTTTTAAAGAACTTTTTATCCACACATAAACACACAAGAAAAAAACCCACACATACTCACAAACAAAAAAACCCAGTGCATTCTGACCTTTTGACAGATTATATTTTCACCGTAACGGGTACCTGTGTTCTTTTACAAGTCAACGCGGTTTAATCAGAAAGATAGTCAGAATAACAGGTTTATCATTATTCCTTCAATCACGGAGTTACCTTTACCTTAGTGCTGGCACAAACAATATTATCACTGTGTCGCCCTTGATATGTTTTATATAACCAAATCACGTTTGATACGTCGTATTCGATTTATTTAAGAACATTTTAATAACAAAATAAGTGAAGTGAAAATACCCAACTCTCAGTGAAAATTAGGTTTTGTATGCTTAAGAGATTTATGTGAAATCGCTTTAGGGGTAACAACATCATGAGGTATACCTTGTATAACACTAACAGGATTTAACACTGTATTGTGAACTTCGATTGATCGCAAAGAACAACTATTTTACAATCAGATTTATTTATTAGCGGGCACTTCAAGGTCTTAGGTAGTATCAAGTAAAATTGAAAATAAATAAAACACATCGTCAACATGTAAGGACATAACTCAAGTCAAACACTAAAAGAGGAGACACCAAAACATAAGTTATGATACTGTAAGCCTACTGAAAAAGGAATGCAACACTACGTGCTCAGCTGAAAAAATGAGTCCAAACACTTGGCAGTGAAGAGCTGTGCTACCACTTGAATACAGTTGTAATAAACTGGCACTGAACGTTAATTAGACATACCGGAACAAACGATTGAACATGATATGTTTTTACTGACGAAATCGGGATCTTAGAATTTCTACCATTGCTATCACTAATGGAAATACATTACATTACATCTCTCCATGAGAAATGTTAGCCCTCGAAACTTTATACAGTCAACAATCATACTGTGTTGGAGACCATTTTATGTGAAACTAGTTGACCGATATTTTTATTGTATCATAATTGCCCACAAGCTAACACCGATATGATGTGTGTGCACACCGTTTATCATTGTCAGAAGAGGGCTTTTATAATATTACATGTAGCTCCATTCCTATTGTTAGACATATATACAATAAAATATTCTGAAACGACAAATCTATCACCAGAATATGGTGATATGTTTACTTAGCTAGCAAATAACCATAATTTCAAACCACTGCACCAAGTATTTACCAATCCAATTGATGTTTGTATTAAAATCATGCATAACTACTATAAACCTAATGTAAATAAATTAAAAAAACATCACCAAACCCGATCTTTCATCCTAATACATATTTAATAAACAAATACAAATAAACACATTCATTTCCAAACCATGCCAACTGTGTTATGGAAGCCATAAGTGTAACCCTATACTCTGTCAATATTTCGAATTAGTTTCCTCCACAATACTCGTAATACAGTATTTGTTAACCAATCCAATTTGATAACGTAATATTGACAAAACTAAATGAGAAAATTCCTCGCATACCCTATACTCGATAACACAATATATTGCCCATGACCTGAGTTAGGTTGCCCATTTGTATAATAACCGATATTAGAGTTGGATAACTGTCACTCCAATGAACCAAGTCTGCATCACGCTTCTCGGATAATATAGTAACAAACATGATTAGCATTGACCACAATTACACTTCCAAAACTGACGAATAGCTTTAGATGCTACTAAGTAGTAATCAGTTGGTTTGAGCGGTTAGAAATGCGATACAATACTAGGTACCTCTATATTGATTAAGCAAACAATCGTTCATTGTTTATCTTCCCTATCCGGTTCAAGTATGCTACATTCCTATATGGATTACAGAGGAACCTAAATCGAGCTATTGACGGAGTATTGGTTTAAACTTGTGTATATATATATATATATATATCTGATAACTAACTGTGATATTTTCTATGGGTTCCACTCATAAAGTAATGGTAGACTATATTAGATATTGGAGATTTAGTTGACTTTCCCTCTTGCTTCACTTCATCCCGCGATATTCAAGGAATAATGATATGTAACTTGCATTACAGGCTGTACCTAGGATACGTCGATGTAAGCTGATAACAGATGGGTCAATAGCTTGCAAGCATCCGCTCCCTGTCCTGCCAGTGGATGTGAATCGATAGTCATAGGAAAGGTATCTGGGTAGGCATAGTTTGCATAATGGTAGTGCATTATCCAATTCCATTTCACCGCCAACAGAACTGTGTCGTGAATGTTTCTATCGATTAATCAGGTACATTTGGTGATATGATGTAGTCAGGAGGTAGAGGTATACATGGTGAAATGGTTTACGTGCCGAGTCGGAGACTGTCAATAAAACTAACAGTTTACTTCAATCTGTCTATTAGTTCCGAGTGTATAGTGTCCTGATATCAAGTGACGAGTCTACAAACATGATTTTGTTTCGTTCCACCTGTAGATTCTCCGTGCAGACAGACGAAATGATGTGACTGAGGAACTTATATACAAACCCAACAGGTGAGAATTTGTTTTAGCACTGACATTTCAATTCTGAAAACTAAAAATTGTTATGAATAGTAATAACAAGTTGCTTTCAGATAAAGATCTATATAGCATCGATTGCTGATTGAAAACCAATCCGTTCATGATCATGAAAATATCTGGTGTAATATGTATACGTATTATAAAGGTTTAATGCACAAACATGCAGTGATACCTGGTTCATTCTATAAATAACCATCCGTACCGTTCACTTGTAGTTAACAACATGGAAGAGAATGATAATACACCCAGTCAGCGAGACATTCTCGACGTGAATACGGGCGTCCAGAGACACTTCCTCATAACGGAGGTCAGTGGATTCACAACCTCGACCGAGGCCAGCGTCTTGGAAGACGACGTGGAGAAAGCACGGGATGGAACAGGCGTGGAGGAAAGGAGGGATGAGCGTGTTGAGGAAGGGAGAGATGAGCGTGTGGTGGAGGAAGGGATGAATGAGCGTGTGACTGGTACAAAGGACGGTACAGACATTGAGAAAACTACGTCGTCTGAAAGCGATGCAACACAAAGTGCAACACGGCATGAAGAGATGGTGGATGGGCACAGAAATCACAGTGTACAGGCAGATGCCACAAGTGAAAAAAATAACATAGAAAATGTTGAAAAAAGTGGCATTACAATAGAAGGTAATACTACTGCCCAAGTAACACCTCCTCCTCCAGAGAAAGTCCGCAGTAAATTAGCACAAGAACTGGACAGACTCCAGGAACAGGACGACATACGGGAGGAACGGGCCAAGAGGAAGTTCAGACGGGACGTAAGGAGAACAAAGCGGGCTATGGACAAAGCTCTGATTGAAAAGGGTGTCGAACTCTACCCCGATATCGATAAAACCAAGGCAGCCATAAAAAAGGTTCAAACGGACGAGGAAAAATTTGCTTTGACAAAAGACCGTGCTAAATTGGATGCTGAAACTGACAAACTCAAACACGAAATAGACGATAAGTTTGGTATACTTCTGCGAGAAAAAAGACCAGACATAACATCCCTGGCAGAAAATGTGTTTTCAAGGACCCGTGGAGATTCAGAGTTCCCTAGTCATATTACAAGGGTGCTTACAAGATCGGAGATCGAAGATCTACGTCTTGTGTTCGGCATGTTTGATGTGAAAGGAAAAGGGTAAGTCTTCAGAAGGACAAACCGTTAATATGCAAAATTTTGTTGTTGAAACTTTCGATACCTTTATAAGTCGGTAACTCAAATTCAATACCAAGAATTTTCCGATGTGCCTTAAACATTTGCAATGCTCAATTTAGTCTGCAAATACAATTGAGACTAATAAATTAGGAAAAAGATATCGAGTGTTTTACTTGGATTCGTCGTAGATTTGCATGGCGGGTGTCGTCACTGAAGCAGAAGACGCTTACCTTTCCGGAACACGTGTTCTCATTCTCCTTGTACTTTTTCAAAGGTCTTCATAAAATCGTTTTTTCTTTATTTATATGTTGCCTAAATTTTGTCGATATGGAGTTGGAATCATGGCTTTGTTGAAACTTCGGTATTCTCTTGTTGTTTTTGGCACTATGGAATTACAGCAGTAAAATGTTTCTTAGACTTAATTCATATCATCGCTAGGTACATCAATGACAAGGACATCAAGAGGATAGTGAAGATGCTTGGATTCCGTGCCTCTACTAAGGTGTTTGATGGCATGATCAGTAAGTATAAATAGAATCTGTAATACCTTACTGTCGCTTCATTTTTTTTATATTTTTGATGAGTGGATGTAGTCCGATCGTTACGCATTGGGTTTGGTGTGCAACTAGACCGGACCATGTCCACATACCTTCAGTACACGGATTGAAAGACTATTTATCCCTGCCCATACGCCAAAAAAAGTCGACAATAACTTTTAAAATCTTCAATGAACAGTTTTACACAAGTGGGTTGATTTCGACCATTAGAAATAATGAGAAGGTCCGTCTGGTACTAAAAGAAGGGGTCACTCAACTCGTGAAATTCCAGGTCCCATACCTGTGTGACATGACGTAAATTTACCTTTCAGATAGACAAAAAAAATACTATATCATAACAACTGTCCGACTTCTAATATAACTGAAGTGATATATAAATTTACCAAGAAGACTGTGAGGACTACATCTTCAAAATTAAGCCAACCACTATTGATTTCCATCGCGTTATTTGGTCTCCTTGCCTGAGGTTAACGCCCTCCGATTTACGGGAGTTTGTACTTGACAGCTCGATCTCATTGTATCCCTAGGTTTTACATTTGATTATGAGCATAAACCTGAACGACGCTCGTTCAAAATATTCAGTAAGAATTCTGCAGTCTTTGACATTTTATTGAGGTGTCTCAGTGAAAAGCAAATATTCTTTTTGTTCTGTCTGGCCATTTGTCACATTTTCCAAAGGATTTTAATTTGTAACTGCATTATCCTTTAGTAATAATGCTAATTCTGTAATGGACAGATACAGCAGATCACAGTAAATGTTAATCAATTAATTCATTATATTGATCCGATACTGAATTTTCAAGTTGGTCCATTTATGACATGTTGACGACCAATGTTTATTTTGAAAATGAATGAGTTGGGATCAAAATGGCTGAATAAATATTTTTTTATGAATGTGGCACTTCAAATATTAACGTATTCTTAATAGAGAGATGAATACCCACTCAATCCTGATTCGTTGGGTATTTTCCTGCAAGTAGCTTTCAAGCAATGAAAGCGTTTGTTACATCAATTAAAATGCAAGATTAAGAACAAGATTTCAACTAATTCAGTTTTAGCACGTCTAAAACCATCAAACAAACAACTTAGTATGTCAGGGGGTATATACTTTATCTTCTGTAGGAGAACTGGCTGGTGACACAGGACGAGTGTCATTTGTCAACTTCCTGGAATTCATCATAAAGAGCCAGGGTGAGGGACCAGACCCATTTGATGAGATTAAACAGGTAAGGAAAATAAACATAAAGTTATAGTCAGCTACGTATAGAACAGGTAAGGAGAATTAACATAAAGGTACAGTCCACTACGTATAGAACAGGTAAGGAGAATTAACATAAAGGTAAAGTCAACTACGTATAATACAAGTAAGGAGAATTAACATAAAGGTAAGGTCAACTACGTATAGAACAGGCAAGGAGAATTAACAGAAAGGTAAAGTCAACTACGCATAGAACAGGAAAGGAGAATTAACATAAAGGTAAGATCAACTAGTATTGAACAGGTAAGGAGAATTGACATACAGGAAAGGTTAACTAGTATAGGACAGGTAAGGAGAATTAACATAAAGGTAAGGTCAGCTACGTATAGAACAGGTAAGGAGAATTAACAGAAAGGGAAGGTTAACTACGTATAGAACAGGTAAGGAGAGTTAACAGAAAGGTAAAGTCAACTACGCATAGAACAGGAAAGGAGAATTAACATAAAGGTAAGATCAACTAGTATTGAACAGGTAAGGAGAATTGACATACAGGAAAGGTTAACTAGTATAGGACAGGTAAGGAGAATTAACATAAAGGCAAAGTCAACTACGTATAGGACAGGTAAGGAAAATACACATAAAGGTAAAGTCAACTACGTATAGAACAGGTAAGGATAATTAACATAAAGGTAAGGTCAGCTACGTATAGAACTGGTAAGGAGAATTGACATAAAGGTAAAGTCAACTACGTATAGAACAGGTAAGGATAATTAACATAAAGGTAAGGTCAGCTACGTATAGAACTGGTAAGGAGAATTGACATAAAGGTAAAGTCAACTACGTATAGAACAGGTAAGGATAATTAACATAAAGGTAAGGTCAGCTACGTATAGAACTGGTAAGGAGAATTGACATAAAGGTAAAGTCAACTACGTATAGAACAGGTAAGGATAATTAACATAAAGGTAAGGTCAGCTACGTATAGAACTGGTAAGGAGAATTGACATAAAGGTAAAGTCAACTACGTATAGAACAGGGAAGGAGAATTAACATAAAGGTAAGGTCAACTATGTATAGAACAGGTAAGGAGAATTAAAATAAAGGAAAAGTCGACTACGTATAGAACAGGTAAGGAGAATTAACATAAAGGTACAGTCCACTACGTATAGAACAGGTAAGGAGAATTAACAGAAAGGCAAGGTTAACTACGTATAGAACAGGTAAGGAGAATTAACAGAAAGGCAAGGTTAACTACGTATAGAACAGGTAAGGAGAGTTAACAGAAAGGTAAAGTCAACTACGCATAGAACAGGAAAGGAGAATTAACATAAAGGTAAGATCAACTAGTATTGAACAGGTAAGGAGAATTGACATACAGGTAAGGTTAACTAGTATAGGACAGGTAAGGAGAATTAACATAAAGGCAAAGTCAACTACGTATAGGACAGGTAAGGAAAATACACATAAAGGTAAAGTCAACTACGTATAGAATAGGTAAGGAGAATTAACATAAAGGTAAGGTCAGCTACGTATAGAACTGGTAAGGAAAATACACTTAAAGGTAAAGTCAACTACGTATAGAATAGGTAAGGAGAATTAACATAAAGGTAAAGTTGTCTACTTATAGAACAGGTAAGGAGAATTAACATAAAGGTACAGTCAACTACGTATAGAACAGGTAAGGAGAATTAACAGAAAGGTAAAGTCAACTACGCATAGAACAGGTAAGGAGAATTAACATAAAGGTAAGATCAACTAGTATAGAACAGGTAAGGAGAATTGACATACAGGTAAGGTTAACTAGTATAGGACAGGTAAGGAGAATTAACATAAAGGCAAAGTCAACTACGTATAGGACAGGTAAGGAAAATACACATAAAGGTAAAGTCAACTACGTATAGAACAGGTAAGGAGAATTAACATAAAGGTAAGGTCAGCTACGTATAGAACTGGTAAGGAAAATACACTTAAAGGTAAAGTCAACTACGTATAGAATAGGTAAGGAGAATTAACATAAAGGTAAGGTCAACTACGTATAGAACTGGTAAGGAAAATACACTTAAAGGTAAAGTCAACTACGTATAGAACAGGTAAGGAGGATTAACATAAAGGTAAGGTCAGCTACGTATAGAACAGGTAAGGAGAATTAACATAAGGGTAAGGTCAGCTACGTATAGAACTGGTAAGGAGAATTGACATAAAGGTAAAGTCAACTACGTATAGAACAGGTAAGGAAAATTAACATAAAGGTAAGGTCAGCTACGTATAGAACAGGTAAGGAGAATTAACAGAAAGGTAAGGTCAACTACGTATAGAACAGGTAATGAGAATTAACATAAAGGTAAGGTCAACTACGTATAGAACAGGCAAGGAGAATTAACAGAAAGGTAAGGTTAACTACGTATAGAACAGGTTAGGAAAATACACATAAAGTTTAGGTCAACTATGTATAGAACAGGTAAGGAGAATTAACATAAAGGTAAGGTCAACTACGTATAGAACAGGTAAGGAGAATTAACAGAAAGGTAAGGTTAACTACGTATAGAACAGGTTAGGAAAATACACATAAAGTTTAGGTCAACTATGTATAGAACAGGTAAGGAGAATTAGCATAATGTTTAGGTCAACTATGTATAGAAAGGGTAAAGAGAACTAGAATACAGCGTAGGAAAGCCTCCTGATGCAGGAAGGGAAATTTCTAATAAGAGCTTAGAGGATTACCATACCGAAATAGACAAATATTTTGTGTTGATAAGAAAAAAATACGATACAGTTAAGGTAGAGACCCCTACTACTGTATACAGGTCTTGAAAAGAGATTTTCTCGTCAAAATTTATTCTATTTCTTCCATATTCATACAAAGACAAATACAGTTACAACACCTTTCTATGAAGTTAAAATCTTTTTGAAATAATTTCGAGTAATGTTACGGGAAGTTTAAACATGACTGACATCACGACCAAAAGGGCAGTATATCAGCTTCCTGCTTTATGATCATGAAGTCTGTGCAGTCGGTCCCTATGACAGAGATGATGTTTTGAAACTAAAGATGATATTATAACAAATATTAATATATACATAATGATATTAAGAGTATTTACAAAGGCAATGGAACTATTTACAACTAATATAAATATCTGGAGGTAAAGAGAAGAGGTACAGATACGGAAGTCATGATACAGGCAGGGAATATCAAAACAAGTATACAAGTAGAGCAACAAAGGTTTTATCTAGCCAAAAAATCTTATCTAAACAGGTAGATAAATATGATACAAATAAGATAAATTTAGACAGATAAGGAGAATCTCTACCTCAAGTCTGAAAGGACAATCTTAACAGATACGGGGGATCTTTACAGGTAAAGAAGATCTAAAACGGTAAAAAAAAAACAGAACATGTCAGATTATTAAGAAAGAATTTACAGCTTTAGTACACACCTATTAACCTAAATTAGGTAATAACACGACATTTACTGAGATAATAATACATCATTTATTCTATTTATTTTAAGAGTAACATTGTATACATACATGTCATAATATCCTTTTACCTTTCAACTTTACCAACATAATGGGAGACAAGCATTTTATCAACTGTTTCTCAATTCTTTCCATTGCAGGCGTTTGAGCTACTTGATGAGGGCGAGAAGGGCTTTGTGACATTCGAGGATTTAAGACAGGCTGTTGACGACAACAAACTAACGTTTTCTAACCAGATGCTGAAGGAAATGATGCAAGATGCAGACAAGTCTGGAGATGGAAAACTGACATTACAGGAATACACACAAATTATGTTACATACCAGCCGATTCAAGTTCGCCTGACACCCTGACAGGCTTCAGCAGAATGGTGATGGGGATGTGTATGAAAAGAACTCTCTAGTGTTGAAGATCAACTTAGTTCTGGTTGATAGGGGCCAAAATTTGCTGGATTATGTATCAACAAGGAATGCAAAATATTTATCAATTCGATGATGAATTCATATATTATATCTTAACAAATAAAATATTAGATAATTATTGTATTGAGATTCATATATATATTATGAAATTGTCAGCTATGTAATGACACAAATGAATTACTCAATGACATATATATATAGTAGTACTAAGTTTTAATACAAACTGTTCCGTCTTTGCATAATGCAGAGTTATCTTCTCTTGAGAGCAGGTATTGATTGTTACGTCATTGGTTTGTGTGAGAAAATTACGTCCTTTTTTCACAAAAATTGATGACGTTACTCTCACAAACAAATAACGTAACAATCAATACCTGCTCTCAAGAGAAGATAACTGCAATACGCAAAGACGGAATATGTTTATACCTATGATCGAGACCTGAACTGAGAGATTGAGATACCTGTCCATAACAACACAGTTCCTTACTAAATCTTTCTATATGTGGTTACCATTTCCAGCATGTGGCCAAATATTGATTGAAAATCATTTTAGCTTTTCCAACAAAATTCTTGACTTAAAGGGACAAGAGATTAAACTCTAAAAATGTGACTGAAAGACTTAAATAGTAATCTATTTTGAAAACATAACATGTAAAGTGAACAATATTTTGAGTATGTTTATCTTCAGCATTTACAATAGAAATGTAAATATCAACCAACAAAGATAAGATATTAATGTATAGAAACATATAAACATATAATGAGTATTATAAGATATTATTTTTGTGAATTTCTGGTTTGGCCTTTCAATGAGCTATCCTGTTTTATACATAGCTGCACAATTCTTCAGTACAACAATTTTTTCTCAAATTTATATTTCTGGTTACGATGTCTTGTGCGACCTTCATAATAAAGAAGTACAAAGTAGAGAACAATAAAATTATTGATAAATTATTGATAAATTATTGATAATACAGCACATTTACTAGGTAAAGCAATACATTCTCAAGGCAGTGGTAGGTCGGAGTGCTGGTGTAGGAATCTGAGGTGGATAACTAAGTATTCAAGTAGAGCTCCACTTGGTAGCCCTTTATGCCAGTATACTTCTGGCCACATATCATCACCCTGGACCTTTTGGTTATTCAGTAGAAGTTGTTTGAAAGATTTCAATATATTTGTCCCCTGAGACCTTGACTATGGGTGAAGGTCATTCATTTGAACAAATTTGGTAGCCCTTCATCCCAGCATGCTACTGTCTAAATATCATTATTCCTGGATCTTTTGGTTATTCAGAGGTCTTTTAAAGGTTTTATAAGACAATTGAACCCTATGACCTTGAACATGATTGAAGGTCATTCATTTGAACAAACTTGGTAGCCCTTCATCTCAGCATGCTACTGGCTAAATATCATCACTTTAGGCATGTAAGTTATTCAGAAGAAGTAGTTTTAAGGTTTTATAAGACCAATGACTCCTATGACCTTGAATATGAGTGAACGTCATTCATTTCAACAAACTAAGTAGCCCTTCATGCTTCTGGCCAAATATCATCACCCCTAGGCATATTGGTTATAAAAAAGTAGATAAAAAAATATCTTGACGCCGCAAGACAGACGACGGACGCTGCGCCATGGCATAAGCTCAGTTGGCCCTTTGGGCCAGGCGAGCTAAAAATGAAATCCAGGCAGAGCATGATGTTAAGAAATAAACACAAGTAACAGTTTTAATATTCATTTTTATTACACACAGGTCTTTCCAATACTTTAAGTTTAGCTATATACATCGGTCCAAAGTTACAGCTGAGTGTGGGGAGTACAAGCTGGCCATACCTACTGTTTCGCCAGAACCTGAATGTTTTACTAAATGCCTTGGCCATGTGGTTAAGGTCAATGACAGCGACATTGACATCAGTTTCCTGCCATATATATTCAAGGGCCGACTGAATAATTCCATCGTTCTGTGCAGCCGACAGGGTACATGTGGAGTAGACAACAGACCCTCCCTGTATGCACGACAATATACCGGCCCTGAGGAGAGAAAATACAGCCTTCTACAAGATCTCAGATTAAAGTAGACAATCCATACATTAAACAACAAATCAGATTAAAATTTATCTAAGGATGTCAAAATGAAGCTTTGGTTCTAAAATCAACACAAGGCATATTGTAAGGAAAGAATTTAATTACAAACAAAGTAATGCAGATTTGATACACACTTAGTATAGTGAATGTCCAATTTTGTACACAAATAATGAAGTCATTTATATCACCTAAACTTTAGTCTTACAAAGCAAAAATTGAAAACATAAACATAAATTGGACTTTTAAAAGATCACTTTTTATTTTTTATCCATTATAAGAATGAAAAACATAATCATACAATCACTATACATATCCAAAAAAAGATTGACTACGCCAATTATTTCTGACAACATTTCATGGAGTTACATTCGCAAAATTTTAGTTTCAGAAATTACAGCAGAGCAAAGAAAATATATTTGAAATAAATTACCGGTAATTGGTTTATTACTGAATGATTCTTTCAAATAATTATTTTGTTTTATTCTAAATTGGGGTATCAGTTTAACTTTTTTTATCTTTCTTCCCAAAATATGCAAGGCATTTCAATTCAGGAATTGTTATGTATTTGTAAAATCTATTCCCTAGTTAAAGATTGGTTCAATGTGTAAAAACTTGTATATCTTTCTTCAGAATGGAAATGGAAATTCTGAAGAAACCAAACATTGTACTTACACAAGTAGGTCGCGCTGAACTACAGGGAGCTGGAGTCGTTCACCAGTCCGGCCACTCTTAAACAGATTATTGTCTTCCTCTAACAGAACATGTCTGTCTGTGTTACATGGTACATCCACCAGTACCTACAAAACCAACAAATACAGGTAGTTCTACAGTAACTGACACGTCCACCAGTACCTACAACCAACAAATACAGGTAGTTCTACAGTAACTGAGACGTCCACCAGTAACTACAAAACCAACAAATACAGGCAGTTCTACAGTGACTGACACGTCCACCAGTACCTACAAAACCAACAAATACAGTTAGTTCTACAGTAACTGACACGTCCACCAGTACCTACAACCAACAAATACAGGTAGTTCTACAGTAACTGACATGTCCACCAGTAACTACAAACCAACAAATACAGGTAGTTCTACAGTGACTGACACGTCCCCCAGTAACTACAAAACCAACAAATACAGGTAGTTTTACAGTGACTTACACGTCCACCAGTAACTACAAAACCAACAAATACAGGTAGTTTTACAGTGACTTACACGTCCACCAGTAACTACAAAACCAACAAGCACAGGTAGTTTTACAGTAACTGACACATCCACCAGTATCAACAAACCAACAAATACAGGTAGTTTTACAGTGACTGACACGTCCACCAGTAACTACAAAACCAACAAATACAGGTAGTTTTACAGTGACTGACACGTCCACCAGTAACTACAAAACCAACAAGCACAGGCAGTTTTACAGTAACTGACACATCCCCCAGTATCAACAAACCAACAAATACAGGCAGTTTTACAGTGACTGACACGTCCAACAGTACCTACAAAACCAACAAATTCAGGTAGTTCCACAGTGACGGACACGTCCACCAGTACCTACAAAGCCAACAAATACAGTTAGTTCTACAGTAACTGACACGTCCACCAGTACCTACAAAACCAACAAATACAGTAAGTTCTACAGTAACTGACACGTCCACCAGTAACTACAAAACCAACAAATACAGGTAGTTCTACTGTGACTGACACGTCCACCAGTATCAACAAAACCAATGATTATCTGTAGCGTTACAGTAACTGACACATTCACCAGAAACACAAATACATATTTTTTTATATCAAAGTTTTATTTTATGAACAATCAATGTAGGTTTCATGTTCGTTTGTTTATATAGTAAAACTTTGACACAATGTATTTCCAAGCTGATAAATCTTATTGAACATATTCCTTTTTTGTCACAAAGGCAACTTATGTTAGGTATCTCTCCAAATGCTCTTTATTTTCATCCTTTAATACTCATATTTTGGTACCAACTACTCTCCTGAGATCAACAATATTTACAACATTAATTTAAAACTCTGTATAAGTAATGTCCAAAACCTTTGCCCCTGACATCGGGAATCCATCCCACTACTACCAGTACATCAGGGTTCAAAACACTTAACACCTCATTGCCAACCAAGGCTGATTTACGCACAACTTAAATATCTAAGGGGAATATTTAAGATTTATCTTCATTAACATGATTTTGAACACTGACAATAATTACACTTGTTTTATAACTGAAAGGTTTCTGGCTGATTTTTATCACTACTTCAAGATTTCAGGTATCATGGTTAATTTTCCATAATCAAGTTAGTTCAACAGTGAAACCTATTCTATCAATCTTACCAGTTCCAACTCTAAAAAATATAAAAATGATTGTATCTACAATCTCAGACTTTCTGCCCAGTCAAAGGGAGATAATCGGTTTATTCATTGCAAGCTTCTGCATGATGTAACAATACTATAAAGCAACAAACATATTTTTAACACAAACTTTATAAATAAAGATATCATTAACATAGCATTTTATACAGAAAATGAATATGTCATTCAGCCAGAACAAAACATAAGTACATCTATTGACACAAAAATATTTTGTTAAACATTGTAGTAATACCCAGTTTAGCTCCTACTGATTTGAGTGAGACTATAAAAAAAGATAAAAGACTCCCACGACTTTTGAATGTTTGACACTGGTTTTACCTTATTGAACTGGGGGTTCTTCAGCTGTCGGCCATCTTGTTGTTTGAGTGTGATGTCATCAGTCACATCCTCCGGTATATAACTACGCAAGACTTTCTGTAGGCGATTGAGTCTTGATCCTGATATATCATTACAGAAAATACTCTCTGAAAAAAAAACAATTATTTAATTTTAAACATCATTTTGCATCATCTAATAGGAATTATCCATCTAATTCTACATTGTATTTCAGTGTTAGAATTTATTTTCATTATTCTTAGTCTGAACCATCTTTCATTTATCTGAAACACATATTGTCATTTTATTTTTTTATGTACTATTTCAATTATACTGTACTTGATATTATGGAAATAATACACAAAATACAGACAAAAACCTGTCTTAACCTGAAACTATTTGTATTTTGTTTTCCATAGATTGTACAGGAATCTGGTTAACTTATAATCTATCATGACAGATTTTCAAGGTTTCCAACAAAGCTCTGCTAAAGTGTTCAAATGCTACACACAGAGAATTCTACAGTATGGCTTGGTTATTATAGCTCAGATAACACACCTGGTAGATTTGTCTGTTTCATGACCAAAGTCTTTCCTCCTGGAGCCGAGCAAAGGTCAAGGACTTTGTCTGAAGGTTGAAGGTCAAGGGCAATGACAGGTAAAATGGAAGCACCGTCCATCAAGAAATAATCTACACAAAAAGAAAAATACAATTTATTCCAATAACAATTTAAATATAATTTCAATAACAAGCATAAGGTCACATCATTAGAGTCAATTTTAATACACTAATCTAATATTATGAAAACATTTTTCTGAACAAGAACCTTCTTATATGTGCCTTTGATGTAATCATTATTGTCCTTGTTGCTGCACAAAATGAACAAGCCATTCCCTTTGACCATCAATGTACATATATCAGAGAATCTGTATCATAGAAACTAACTTAAACGCAAAAACTTAATGTTGATGGAGATGCTGACAAAGTTAATGGACCATGAAAAGTAGGGCGCATCCAGCATTTAATGCATTGATTGAGATGTACTACCTAAGATGCATCCATGGTTCAAGTTTGGTTTGTCTAGCACTTATACTTTCAGAGAAACTTAAACACAAAAACTTAATGTTGACGCCGACACCTATTAGTCTCACTTCCACTTTGTGATGGGTAGACAAAAGCGCACTACTTTTTCAAATAAGATTCCTTGTACTTACCTAGCTTGCCAGCATTGTTGCTATTCGGGGCAGGAAATTCACCTGTGTCCCCTTTATTGAAGGCATACACTCCAAGGTCCTTGGGGATCTGGACAGGGGACTCATGTATAATGTTAATAGGTACACCTGTTGATTGGTAGGTACTCTTCTCCAAATCTTCTTGTTCAATCAGTTCTTTTTCTGTATACACTCTTTTTACAGGAACAAAATTATCTAAACTTGTATTCTTTTCGTATCTCAATAAAGTAAGTAATTCCTCGTCTTCTGTAGGTGGCTCCTCAACTTCATCATTTTCTGCAGCATCATCAGTTTCATTTGTAGATTTTTTTGTGGTTTCCCTTGCAAAATTGAAACCCTCCCCAGCCTCCGCATCAGGTGACTGAGTGCTTTGTAAAGCTTCTGATGCCTCCTCTAATATATCACAAGCTCCTAACTGGCTTAGCGTGTCTCTAGCTCTTTCAACGTCTCCATAGTTGTTTATTAAAGCACAATATTTATTAGTGGTCAGTAGTGATATCCTGATAGACGGCCAAGTGTCTTTATATACCGGCTTATAAAATATGTCAAAGTGCTCCAGTGCTTTATTTGTACCGGATAGTTCTTTTGATTTTTGTGTCTAAAAATAAAGAATTAAATCATCATAAATAAATTTTGTATAAAGATACAAAACAACCAGAAAGAGATGAAATCATAGATCTACAGTTTGAGGACTTTTTTGTTGTCTTGTAATATTAAAATATCTTCTTATCTGAATTATAAAATGCTGTTGTTCTTAGGGCTAATCTGGACGAACTGGTATTACATAACAATGTCATTTTAACAAGAACACTGATAGGTCAGTAAGGGCCCCGTCTTGTGGTAATATATCACCCATAATCATCAAGAAGCAATCAGACCATAAAGCTGAGATTGACGTTTGACATCTTTTTCATAAAATCATAACAAAATGTTCATCAGGAAAAAGACACAAAATTTGACCGTGACCTTTGACCCAGTGACCTTGACCTTTGGTCAATGACTCCTTGTTTAATTCTGACCAAAATTGCTGCATAATTTCATAACAAAATGTAACCTCACCTTTGACCCAGTGACCTTGACCTTTGGTCAATTGACTCCTTGTTTAATTCTGAGCAACATTGCTTCAAAGTGTCATACCAAAATGTTCACCAGTGAAAAGATAAAAAAATTAACCTTGACCTTTGACCTCATGACCTTGACATTTGGTCAGGTTGACTCCATGTTTAATTCTGATCAACCTTGCTTCATCATTTCATAACAAAATGTTCATCAGTGAAAAGATGCAAAATTTGACCTTGACATTTGAACCTTATGATCTTGACCTTTGGCCTTGACTTTTTACCTCAATGTGTATTTTTGTGAACTGAACATCTTGACTAAGTTTCATGTACATCGGTCAATCAATACCAAAGTTATCAGCCAGGAACAAAAATTGTGGACAGACAGACAGTCAGACAGTCAGACAATTGATTACTATAGGGCACCCGTATCTCCGATATGGGGCCCTAATAAAGAGGACTAAAGATGTCTTTGAAACGTTCTTTTTTATCTTTCAGCTATCAAAACAAGGTGTAAGGAGCATTGAAATACAACAAAACACATTACTATTCATTACTACTATTCATAATGCTTTTCAGTCTAAGGTATCTAGGACACATGAACCCTCAGGCTCCATCAGGCTCCAAAATTTTAGAAGAAATGACGGAGTCAAAACCATGTTTCTGATATTTCTGTTAAGAAAATATATACCTCCATCAAAAATCTATTCTAAAAGCATTTCAAGGCAAGAGAGGACCTACACAATATTTTTGAGATTCAGCCAGGTAAGCTAAAAGTCTTATATAATTTGTGTGCAATGAAAATTTCTTCCATGAATCAATTATTCATCAATAATTTATTCTAAAAGCATGTTGAGGACACGCAGGATGTTACCATTTATATTTAAGTAATCTTGAAGAAATAGGTTCATGTTATGGAAAAAACATCAAAATTTGTGTCGATTTCCAGTACAACAGAAATTGATTATATGTCAGTCAACTAAATTGTGTATAAGTGTACAAGCTTGATTATTTCATTCTAACCCTTTCAACCCTAGGTAACTTTAGTAGACTCTACCAAACATTAATTTGGACGAGTCCATTACGGTATGCAGATGTGAAAGGGTTAAATACACAGGTGTGTATCAATAAATAATGAATCCAATGTATTGTATGATTTTATTAGAATTGAATACATTAAAAACCGCCATGTTCCAGCCCAGGAATAGACGTCACATGAGGGTAGATGTACTTTAAGAGGTGTTTTACTTAAATTTTCTTTGATTACATCAGTAATTTATAATTCTGCACCACTGATCCAGGTCTTATATCAAATGATTACTCTAGAGTTAAACTGAGGTGTTGTTTTTTTAAATTTGAAGGTACAGTGTATTATTTAAAGCTGATTTTTAATCTGTTTGCATGTGCATCAAAACAAACAGTAATACATACAGGGGCTTTAGTTTATGTTATTGTTCTTCAACAACTTTACAGGTTTAACATGATGAGATAATTTAGTTATGACAGATAGCAATTAAATTGACATTATAATATCCTTATGTATAGAAAATTGCCCAAGCAGTGATGGCCTTTTATTTTACTGTAAAAGAACAAAGGGTTCTATGTGCTGTGACCCATGTCAGTTTGATCGTTTGTGTACAGGTATTAGTTGGGAATGTCTTAACATATTTAAGTCAACTACCTGGTACATGGTTTACCTAAGAGAGAAGTACAGCCAACCTGGTACTCTGGAGCAGAATGTGAAAATCTTCACCAGAGGTAATAATTTGTATGTCTTTATGACGAGTAATCAGTCTTTCATAATCAAACTTTTGTATGACTATCATCATAATTGACCGTTAAGAAATCAGAAACTCAACTAAACCACCTGTCATAAAATGCAACTGTGGAACAAGACCTATACTTGGTCTCCATCATGATTTTGATTTTTTCCCTGGGTTTTATGGCCAAGAAACTCTAAAAATGACCGTAAAATGTGGGAGAATTTTCATCAGATTTCCAAGTATAATCCAATCCATTTATGTCCTCTACAAACTGTCAAGATCATGTCACACAAAACTAGCTGAGATGAACACAGACATTAAATCACCTAATACAATGCAGGACCCAACATACCAAAAGACAACCTCACTAAGTCACATGATACTTTGTCTCAGGTAACCGAGCAAAAGGCAGGAATTTTGACAGTTGCGGCACCCTTGAAGAAACCAAATCAATACAAGTACCAGGTCTGATATTCTGAAATCAAAATTCAGGTGTTTTTATTTGGGAAAACTCCGGGGCTATTTCTACTACCAGCTTTGTCATAGCAATTACTTTGACATACAGCATATTCTTGAGACAGAACAAGGTGGAAGAAAACTATAAATGAGATTAAAACAGCACACAGCATCTGTATCTCACTTAATTCTGAGAAGACTAGATACAGAAGAGCTTTTCTCTTACCCTGGACATAACAATGGTATGACATCACATCAACAATACAATGACATCACGTCAACAATCCGTCAACGTCACTTCAACCCCGAATTTAGCCTGTAATGTTAACATTACAATATTTATATGCTAGACAATGGGAACAGGGTAAGAGAAAAAGAATATCTCACTCCCTTGGGTGTGAAATAGAGGAATCTCTACCTTCGGGGAAAGATTCTTAATAGGTGACCATTCCAACCCTATCAAATACAAGCCTCTATCCTTGCCTGCAATTTGATAAAAGATTGTGGAACAGGTCAAACACAACTTCATCTGAAACACGCAGAAAATGATCAGATACTGTCAAACACTAAGGAACTAAGGAACCGTTGCTGGCCTCGCAGGGGGGCAAGATGACAGGAAGTAGATTGACATGATCCTGCTAGACTTTTCTAAAGCCTTTTACAAGGTGTCTCATTAATATCTCCTCTTCAAAACTAAACAACTGCTAAATCCATGACATCAATGGCTTTAGACAAGCAACTTTTCAGTAACAGGATTCGCAACAAGTCATCTGTGAAGGGAGCAAAAATTAATGTTCTGAAGCTGTTGTGGCTACGAACTGCGAGAAGATCTCAACAAATTGCGAAAGTGGGTACAAATAAATTGCCAAATGGGATTTTGAGTGGACAAATGCATCACTGTGCATATATATCAGGAAAAAGAAAAAACAGAGAGAAATCAGGTCTTATTCTATGATGTAGTCATTGAGGAAGACAACAAAAAGATGTTACCATCAGCAGCGACCTCTCCAGATATGATCATGTTATTGCAAAAGCAGCAAGGTCTAAAGGGTTTATGTGAAAGAACCTAAGGGCCTGTCCAGAAGAAGTTTTGGTGAGGGCTCACTCAACTATGGGCTTTTTTAGAATATACTGGAGCAGTATGGGACCACTACCAGCCACAACATGTAGTGACATCGGAGAAAGTAAAGAGACAAGGTGCCAGCTGATTCACATTGAACAGCTACCATCCTAGAGAGTCTGAATGCATCACTGAGTTGTGTTGACCCACCTGGGATGGGAGCCCTTAGCAGTACGAAGAGCTAGAACTGGAGCAACACTTAGGCCAAATAAAAATGTATGTGTGTTCCTGTTTCAGCTCCAAAAGAAATAGGGTAGGCAGGTAGGAAAAACATTTTCTTTTAATTTTTAATTTAATTTTGTTTTCTGGTGAAGAAAATCTGATTACCTCTGTGAATGTAAAAAATATGTATTTTCCCTATGGCTTAACATTATTTTTTAGTATTAAATCCAAACTCCACTGATGGTCACCAATGTTACATTCTCTTTTGTATTACTGATGCTTTCTGTTCTCAATTTCCACCAGCCACCAGTACCGACATATCACAGACTAGACTACAGATGGTAATGGTCACACTAATCTATAGATCCCAACCTATATCATAACCAAATTATCTATGGCTACTTATATTAGCTACCATCTTCAAATAAAAATCACACTGACCAGGGCCAAGGCTAATAAAATTCATAGCAAATCATATGTATACTTAAAACAATTTAACGGCTAATAAATGCATAACAGTGACTGTGAAGAACCAATAAAATGTATAAGGATCAGCATGAAAAAATAGAGTCAGCCATGAAAAAACAGAGTCGGTCAGAAACGGGATACACAGGATTTCATACATAAGTTTGTTAACATTTTTATTTTGAAAGCATTTATATGAAGATCTGCTGGCTGTCATCTCCAAACAGTTTTCAAGGACCGAATGCAGCAAAAACCGGTAAGTTCATTATCATAATTCTGCAGGAAAAAAATACTTTTTTCTATTATTTCTGGTATCACCACAACTCATTCTTGTAAGTTTATCAATATCATGTGACTGCCATGTGGTTGGGTTTAGGAGTTATTATTTTACAAGCACTGGCCAAAGATAATGTCCTTATACATGAAATTTTTTTTGTGAATTTCCTGCATTATTCTTAGGAAATTTAAGTATNGGCATGAAAAAGGCATGCCTCAATGTACCTTTTTTTAGCCTGGGTAATGTCATTAATTTTATGAAGCAGATACAAAAATCAAAATAAGTTTGTAAACATTTTTTTTCTGATGTGTTTCCATAGTTTTGGACTAAGGTGGTATCACAGAATTTATATGTAATGGTGTCATTTAATGACAAAGTCCACAGTACTGTATGCAGTGTGTCAAACACAATAAAACAAAATATATATACATTGTTGGTAAACAACGTGAAGCACATTCAGCTTTTAGCTTTAATCTTTTCAGCAGTTTCCACCTTGGACTACATAAATGGCCACCAAATGCTACAAGAACAACAACAACAACGCCATTGACATGGCATATGCCATAAAATATGGTTGTCAAACTCAAAGAAAGGGGAACATCAAGAACAAGGGGAGTCATAGTTTGAAGTAGACCATGTTAAAACTTGAAGTCTTCCAGAATTTCTTCCTTTCCAGAATCATTGTTACTTGGAACGGTATCCCCACCAACATCAGGTAAGCAGTACTAGTACTAAGCACTGACAGTGGAGTCCTTCCAGTCCCGACTAGTCAGGACCTACATGTAGGAGATCAGACCCATTAAGCATTGAATGAATATTTTATCTTATAGTTTATTATCGGCAGTTTCAGAACTATGTTGCTGGAGCAGTCAAATTTTTATATGAAACAGATTGGTACAATGTTACACTGTCATAAATTTGTTTCAAATAGATCTATGCCTTTTCCTTTAAGATTATAACAATATATACATGTAATTATATTTGACTAATAATTTTGTCAGTATTTTTACAGAATAACTTTGTGTTAGGCGATCATTTTAGAGTGAACAATGACTTTGCAGCAATTATTTGTCAAAAATTAAGAAACATTCCATATTTGTGATTTAGAATTATATATCGGTAATATACCATGGGGAAATTGTCAAAATTGTATTAATTAGGGAAACATAATGTGACATCCTTATGAGTTGGTCAGCTCCTGCCTATTTGTACTTATCAACACTTTGTAGTATCCAATTTTAGTATAATTACAACAGAAAAGAGAGTGTTTTTGAAAGGTTAGTTTTTTATGCTGAGGGTTGCCTAAAATGCCACTTCTGAATCGTCCTCACAAAGAAAATCAAGAGTGATTCTTGGTGCATGCAGAGAAAATTTGGCACATGGAACAATATTATAGCGGGTTATCATATACGGGTGAGTTCCACAGTACTGTATGCAGTGTGTCAAACATAACATAGTGCAGAGGGACAGGGATCCCTAAAAGGCAATTTCATCCTTCAAGTTATCATTTTGTTCCATACAGAAGTCGGCCATAAATTGATAGAAGTAGACAGGTAGAAGATGATCGACTTATGGACCATGCAACATCCATTTCAGCTGCATTTATATATTACGGTATTACTCACCCATCGCCTCTGTTTCCCGCTTTTGTTTCTGTATTGTTGTCTGATCAAATTCCCAAAACGTTTGGAAAATAATGAGATGTTTTTGGAATGTAAATAGCTCATTTTTAGGAAAGGCATGCTTCTCTACGCTCAATGTGAAAGTAAACGCTGTCGCTTACACGCTTTGATTTTGATGGGAAAATTTGCCCAGAAAACGAGCGTTCAATTAACCGGAGAAAACACCGTTTCTGATTGGCTACAGTGTATAGATAGATCTATATTAGAGCCACGTCTAGATCTGTCATTTCTCTTTAACTTGCAGGTGAAAACTTTTTCCAGAAGGGAACACACGAAAATCAAAAGTTACAATGTCCAGTATGCAGGGCATGTATAGTATGCGGAGCCCAGGTAATTAAGGCACCGAAAATATTGCGTATCTCACTCAGTCACTGTCTGTTTAGCCCGAGTTTCCTCTGGCCCTAACACCAGACTTATTCATTTTGACATTATGTCAAAATGTCTCCGTCTGGTGTTTGGGCCAGAGGAAACTCGGACTACTGTCTGATCAGTTGCTTTGTAATTGTTTATGGAAGTTCACTGTTCAGACCAGATGGCTAGTCTATACCTATCGCGAATTGGCAAAATGATACTAATCTAACACAATAAACTTAGATGTGCGTTAATTAATATCAGTTTGCTCATTCGCGATAGGTACCTGTGTTCAAACTGACATTTTTCACTTGCTAACACAGAGAATTAATACTAGCATTAATGTTTGTCTTTGTGAAACGCAGACATTGGTTTCACTGGCAAAGTCCACTATATACACTGACTACCTAGTGTTCGATTTTACATTTTGCTGAGATGGCCCCTGCAATGTACTCCAGACTTTACCAGCAACAATCAGTATAAATAATTTGATTCACAATTTGACATTGATCAGCTGTGCTGGGTTTAATTCCGATGCAAAATAGTATGTATGTGGCAGATTTTAAGTAACATACAGGATTACAGAACAGTATATATTATCTGTGGCAGATTTTAATTGTGAATAGGATTATGGTCGCCTTCCACCTTCACGCTAGAGGGAATTTCCCTTTAGCTCAGTGGTAGAGCATCTGACTAGAAAATATGGGATCGAAGGTTTAATCCTCAGTGAAATCACACTACTCTCTTTCCTATCCTAGCTGGCCGGCCAGGTGTGGTGACAGGGAGTTAAAACATAGGTTGTGGTGTTTCTAGGGAGAACACATTTAAAAAAAGGGGAGTAGTTTGACAGATTTTGATTGTACATAAGATTGTGGTCGCCTTCTAGCTTTGAGCTTTAGGGATTTTTTGTTAAGCTCAGTGGTAGAGTGTCCGACTAGAAAGTATGGGATCGCAGGTTCAATCTATGGTGGAACAGCTGCACTTACTCTCTTTCCTGCTACATATCTTTAATTTCTGTTTTAAGTTTTTTATCATTTAGATGTCCTCAAAAGTATTATTGGAGCCAAGAAATAATAGAGAGAAATATTGCCTATTGCAATAGGGTCACACTCTTTAATGATTGTCCCCTTTTCTGTCAGCTTGTGAAGTGTTTTTGCAACTTCGGCAAACTTGTGAATGAAACATCTATAATAGTATAGAAGCCATGGAATATTAGGGGGAAACAGAGACAGAAAATGCAACAAGGTCCAAAGACTAGGGACCAGGGACCAAAACTATTTGTCCATTATAAGTGCTTAATATTTATCTCGCAATATTTTCAAATAGCTCTGCTGACTCAATTTCAAGATGTGAGGAGTTAATTCAGATGATTGGTTTGGCAGCACCATTTTGTTTCTTACCAAGAAGTGTTAGCGAAGTTATATTTCTAAGAAAAAAACATTTGTTATACCGAAAAGCTGTTAATACCAGTTATATATTTACATTTAAATTTAAGAGATTGTGTTATATTCAGTGTCTAAGAGTAGTTATCCTCTTGAAAGCCCCATAGATTTTCTGTCCGGCATCAACTTTTCCATTTAAACGACTTCTTCTCAATAACCAACTGGCCAAATTTCATGATATTTGGCTGGTTGGTTGCTGGGATGAAGCCCAACAAAGTTTGGAAAAAGGAATGACCTTGACCCACATTCAAGGTCACAGGGGTCAAATTTGTTAAAACCTTTAAACCACTTTTTCTGAATAACCAAAAGGCCCAGAAGCATGATATTTGGCTAATAAGTTTCTAGGATGAAGCCCGACAAGGTTTGCGAAAAGAAATGACCTTGACCCATATTCAAGGTCATAGGGGTCAAATTTTTAAAAACCTTTCAACAACTTCTTCTGATTAACTGAAAAGCCCTGAAGCATGCTATTTGGCTGATATGTTCCTAGGATGATGTCTGGCGAAGTTTGCGAAAAGAAATGACCTTGACCTGTATTCAAGGTCACAGGGATCAAATATGTCAAATTTTTTAAAACCTTTCAACGACTTCTTCTGATTAATTGAAAGGCCCAGAAGCATGATCATTGGCTGATAGGGAAATGAGATGAAGCTCGACAAAGTTTGCAAAAAGAAATGACCTTGACCCATATTCAAGGTCACAAACGATTTCTTCTGATTAACCAAAGGGCCCATGATGATGATATCTTGCCAGAAGCATGCAATGATGAGGGGATACCAAGTTGAAATAATGACCTTAACCTGTATTCAAGGTCACAGGGATCAAATATGTTCAAAATCTTTAAATAACTTAATAACCAAAAGAACCAGGGTGATGATATTTGGCCAATAGCATGCTAGGATGAGGGGCTATCAAGTTTATAAAAATGAATGACCTTGACTGATATTGAAGGTCACGGGTCAATTTTTTTTAAATTTTGAATAACCAATAAGCCCAGGATGAGGATATATGGTCAGTAGCAAAATGAATTACCTTGACCTGTTTTCAAGGTTAAAGGGATCAAATATGATTTAAAGCTTTAAAGGACTTCTGATGAATAACTGATAGGCTCAGAATGATGATATTTGACCAGTAGCATGCTTGGATGAAGAGCTATCAAGTCATTTGAAAGATCTTGACCCACTTTCAAGGTCACATTTGGTCAAATATGTAAAAAAAAAACAAAAAAAAAACCTTAATAAAAGGTCTCAGGTGGTGATATTTGGCAAGTTGCAAGCTGAGATGAAGAGCTATAAAGTTTGTTCAACGTCAAGGTCACAGGGGTCAAATGTCTTCAAATCGTTTAACAGTTTCTTTTGAATGACTTATAGTCTTAAATACTGATATTTTGCCTGTAGCTTTATTTTAGATCACTTTTATGGTTAAGTGTGAGATCAATACCAGGTGAGCGATGCAGGCCCATTGGGCCTCTTGTTTAAAACCACTATGTATGTATTGCAACATTGTTTAATAAAGATTTGACTTACATAATGCCCCATTCTGGGATTGGTTGTGACATTAGTTCATTATATTGTTGTTGTGACAATTTTCATATATGTATATGTACAATGAAAAATAAATTTAAACTCATTTTTGTTGTTAAAATTTGTTTATCATTTCATTGTTTTCCTGCTCTTTTGGCAGATTTATATTCCCATCATACTGGTGTAATTGATTCAGTGATATGAAAATGTTTCAGCTGTGAAGAGATTGATGAAAGAAGCCCAGGAGTTGAGGGAACCAACAGAGCAATATCATGCCCAACCATTAGAGGCAAGTACTAGGCTGTAAAAGTTGATAATGGATTGGCAAAGGAAAGAGCTGACAGCTAATATATGTACATGTATTAATAGATGTATGTCAAATTTTCAATGTTAGTCAATATCTGTTATAATATGTTTATACCAGGACAACCTCTTTGAGTGGCACTTCACCATCCGAGGTCCTGGAGAGAGCGAGTTTGATGGAGGTTTATATCATGGGAGAATCATCCTTCCACCAGAATACCCAATGAAACCCCCCAGCATCATCCTTCTCACAGTAAGAATGAAAAACTACTATCATAAATGATATAAACCTTGATTTGATTTTTGAAGAATTCTTAAACATATTACCTGGATTCATTCTCGTATTCACAGGTAATTTTTCCTTATTTTCTGCTTAAATACTGAATATGAATGCGATAAGTACCCAGGATACTTTAAAAAAGGTTGAAAAGGGGGAGGGTTTCTTATTGAACCACAAAAACTTACCACAGTGATTATGGTATGTTTATGTAAATTCTTATTGAGTGAATCTTAACCCCTTTTACTTAAAATTGGTGTTAAATGCAATCAATCTATTTTTATAGCCCAATGGCAGATTTGAAGTGTTTAAAAAGATCTGTTTGAGTATATCTGGTCACCACCCTGAATCCTGGCAGCCATCTTGGTCAAGTATGTGTTGTTTCGTCATTTATTTTTCTTTGCTGCAATTTTTGTCTTCTACATTTTCTCTTGTGTTAAGAGTGTCCATTTATCAGACTGTTTCAACATTCCTTATGAAATAAAATATTATTATAGTTTTAAAGGGTTTTTTTCTTAAATTTTGATAACTTTGCTTCCCATGCAATTTGTATGTTTCTGTAAGTAAGCACTAGAACAATTTTATTGATATTAGATTCTTAATGAAGTAATTGGGTCTGCCAAAAAGCATAAAGCATCTTTATTCTTATAGCACCATCTTTATAGTTACAGCGCCAAAGGTTTAGCTGCAGAAACATTTACTGAAGCTTACTGCTAGAATGAATATGTTTAAAAGATAGTGTGTTTGCAGCTAGTTTATCTTCAAGCTAAAGATTTATGATAATGTTGACATATTTTATCATTAGTCCGGACAGCCCTGCTGGCCATTATAGGGTTCATGCCTACACATGGAGCTGGTGCTATTGGTTCACTAGACTACAGCAAAGAGGAACGGGCTAAGCTAGCAAAAAGGTAAGTCTACTGAAACACTATCAAAGAGCTAGAGTGTTGTATATATATTTACTAATGGTCCAAGGGAGATAATAGACTAACAATCCTAAACACAGAAGAAGGTGGCCTTTAATATGTAAATAATGGCAAATTCATACATCAAGAGAACTTTAATGAGGTCGGGGGGGGAGGGGGGGGGGATGTTACTGATAGTGGTATTCAGATTTATTTGTATGTAAAATGCAGAAAAGAAGAGAACACATAACATAATTTTACATTTTCCTGTACAAAGTGTAACAAAAAATAATTACAAGAACAGTGTTAAAGCCTGACTACCTTTGATTCTGTAATTGGTTTGACCAGGTCCCTCGAGTGGAAGTGTCCTACCTGTGGACAGGTGCAGAATATCCTTAAACCAGTCACTTCCGCCTCACAGCAAACCAGACAGGAGGCCAAGGAACTGGCAGCCCAGATAAACTTCCAGGTCAGTCACAGACACTACATTTTACTGGGATGATTTTGTAGGATACTCGAGACTTTATTAAGAGTTAATTACACACTAAGGCATTGTATTTACTCTCATGAGGTCAGATTAAAAANAAAGGAATTCTTAAGAAAAAAAAGAAAAAAAATGGACTTTGAAATATGTTAGTGAGGTGAGGGGCATGCTATCTAGGTTTTACATCAAAGTCACAGATGTGAAGGTCACAATGCTTAATCTTATCGTTAGAACCATTATTAGCTCACCATTTTCCATGGTGCAACATTCATCGTCAGGTTTTAATTTAAAAGACTATAAGTCAGAACAACTCGGGCCAACAGATTTCATACATGAAATGTGTGACCTCCAGGCAGACAGAGGAGCAAGGAACAATAGTGAAAATGCAGATAAACAAGTTAAAAGACTTCCTTAAAAATGGTCCTTACATTACCTTAGCTGTTGATAGGACGTTAAACAAAATACAACCAAAACCAAGCCTTAGAAATGAGTGAACCTAATATGGCATATAGCATACCTGATCAAGTTATGTTAATGAAGAGTATGACCATCTGGGTGGCAGAGGGACAGTGTCCAAAATGAGCAGAAACAAATTTAAATTTCTCTTCCATTTTCAATAGGCAAATGCTAACCAAAAATAATGCAAGTGGTCATTTCATGCCATGGAAAGCAGTATTGTATTGGCTGATTAGGTATCCAAAATGGCCTAGGACTCAAATTGGCAGAGATCATTTCAATTTCCTCTTGGATTTCCATTTGGCTGATTATTATAAAACTTCATAAAAATGTTTCTCAAATAGCCTGACCAAGTGTTATTTTTAATTAATCATAACCAATCCTGATATGAACACTAGTCTTATGGTGCTAAACAGGAGGATCGCTTGATAAGAAATAATAAATGGCAACTCTACTCTGATTGATCCCAATTTTTTGACTTTATCTCAATTCCACTAGATTTATTTAAACAGACATGTCAAAATATTCCTGTCAATTGCTCTTATCAATGTTGATGTTGTAATTCTTTGAGTTAATTATAAATCTGAGATGGTCTCAAGTTAGCAGAAACATTTCATTTCCTCGTCTTGTTCAGATAACAAAAGAAACAAGTGAATGATACAGGCCCAAAAGGCGACGTATTCAAGATGGATTCATAAACATTTATAAACATAGTCAGCTGTTAACACCATAGGAAAAATCTCATCATAATGAATGACATTGTAGCTGTATGACTGGTAATGGTTTTTAAAAAAATGGAGGTAATTTTAGAAAACAATGCTTTAGCTAAATTATCATATGCTATAGTGTAATATTTGTAAATGTTCGGAGTGTTTTCATTTGAAAAAATATGATTTTATGTGAAATTCGTCGGTAACAAGATTCATACACACTTTGTAGCATCAATTTTTGTCATCAGTGATTCAGCATAAACATGAAAAATTAAAATGTGAGCGAGTCCATATTTGTTGGAAAAAAAAGCTTTATTTCTGTTTCTAATCCAGGGAGAGAAGTCGATGTCTACCTCATCAGAGTCACCCAAAAGTCCCGGATCAACACCCACACCTGTCAGTACAGCCCCGACTCCAACTCATACAGCCACATCCACTGCCACACCCACTTCTTCTCTCCCAGATCAGGCACAGTTTACTCCTCCACTGGGACAGTTTCCTTTTGGATCTCCTTACTTTCCCTACCCTTTCCCACCCACATTGCCCACAGGACAGAATGTGACTACTGGAGTGATGGGAATCCCACGGTTTCCACCTCCCCCACCTGCTATACCAGCCATGTTCCCTCCAGGGCTCATGCCCAACTATGGTTTTGGTGGGATGCCTCAGATTCCAAATTCCATGTTCTCCATGCCAACCAGTGTTCCCAGTCCAACTCAACTCAATAAAGATCCTGCAACAAACATGCCCAGTGCACAGTCTCAACCGACTACAAAAACAGAAACTCCTGTGAAATCTGAGAACGCGACTCCATCATCTGGTGCGAATAAAGATGAAAAGGACCCTCATGTGAGTTCTAGTGAGCAGACTGCTGATGCAGACTCTGATGATATAAATAACCCTGACAACGCTAATGCTGCTACAGCTACAGAGGCAACAGAAAGTCAATCAAACCCCACAACAACAGAGACGACAGGTGTCCGACAAAGATTGGGTGGTGTTGTCACTGAACCTCCCAACATGCCCTACATGCAGCCTCCAGTTGGATTAGTGGGTCAAAATGCAGAACTTCCCAGAAATACAGACTCGAGGTGGCAGTTGTCCACCCTCCTCATTGCCCTTGTCAGTCTGGCCATTGGACTGCTCCTCCTCCGAAGGTTTATTCTGTCACGCACTTGGAGATTCTATTATGGACTCTGATGAAGCATGATGTAATTTTTAAGAAAATTGTTCATGATTTAATACAGCTTTTGACACAAAAATATAAACAGATCTTTTGAGACAGGCCGTTTATGACAGGTAATATAAAAAATAGAAACGACCGCCATGACAGATCACGCGTGATGTTATCTCAATTATCCTTTCTATATATGGCCTGCATGGCCAAATATTGTATTAATACTGATGCCGCTATGTTTACTACAATTTCCATATTGGGTCATGACACCCATATTTGGACGTCTGACCTATATCGGAAGAGAGACGAACTTTCCAACATGGCAGTCAATTCAGATTTTGATTACGCTTGCTACGTTAACTTGATAATTTAACGACATTTTAGGCAGAGTTTAACTTCAAGTTGTGCAGGATATCAACAGAAATAGTTCATACTACAACCCTATTTATGGATGCGGACCAATGTGCTGTCAATTAATTCTAAAATTGCCCCGGTGTGATTCACACCGGGCTTGCTCCATTACAAGGCATGGGATCGATTTAATACCCGGCCGGAGTAGGAGGGGGCCGGGTATTAATATTAGTACTAGTGTCTAACTATTAACAAGATTCCACTACATAGTGACAAAATGTTGGTGTGTGGTTGAATGATTATTTTGTGTGGACGGTAAAAAGTAGCGGATGAAAGTGAACTTTGGGTGTGTGAATCTCTAGTTGAATAATTCCCTCGAAAATATATAGATTGTTAATTTGTGTGAATCAGAATAAGTGATACCGGGGTATTTATATTTAGGGATTTACCTTTGTATATTTATGCAATGTGCAATGAACATATGCACCAGTATGTATGTGTCCTCGTTCTACCAACTTTATTTCTAATCTGACTGTGGTGGAACTTTATTTATGTGTTTATGAACAACACCTGTGGTACGAGGTCCCATTTCAACATTCTGAGGTCAAAAATACTCTTAATACTATAAACAGTAGTTTCCTGCTCTCATCTCTTGTACAACTTCAGGTTTTAACACTTTGGGTCAAAATTAAGGTCACCATGATCAAAAGGTTTTTTTTTTATATCATTCTTGGGCTTCATCTATCATCTTATTGTATAGGAATGCTCACATCATCTCTTGTGTGACTTCATGTTTTGATCTTTTTAAGGTCACCATTACTGTACATATAGAATAATTGACCTCATTGACCCTAATTGATCACTTGAATCATGAGGGTAGCCGTATCCTAGTCAGTTTAGATTACGCATGAGCTTATATTTAACAGTTGTTTAATTTATCTTGATTATACATATTTACCGGTACTTATTTTTTTGTGGTGAAAAGTGCTAATGTATGTATCAAATTTTCTACTAAACAATATAAACTCCATTTCATGGATTCTTATCCGCTCTCTGGGGAGGGATCAGATAGTGTAATTTTTTAAGAAATAATGCTTTGGGTATCTTTATTATATAAAGCACTATAGGTAACATGATAATTGAGACCTATACAATATCATAAAAAAAATGTTAATTTCATGCCTCCTAAATTCTTTGAATGAGCCTATTTCACCAAACACATCAAGGGAATGACAACCAGAGATGGTGTCAAAGCCACCAAATGCTCGCCTGTTTAAAAATTTATTGTCTTTAAAAATTTGGTATAGCCCAAAGGAACCTTAGTATTTTCCCCCACAGGAACCTCTATGCAAAATATCAGCATCCTAGTACACATATTTGATTAATGACAAGCTTCTAAATAACTTGCACCAAAAACTTTAATGTTGATGTGCTTCAAAAAAATTAAGTACAGTATAGGTGAAAAGTCTAAAATATTTGAAATTATTTTTTAATTTTAACTTCACTACATCAATAGTATACCCCACAGGAACCTTCATGTCGAATATGAGCATTCTAGTACACATATTTAGCTTCTAAATAACTTGCAGGTAAAACTTTAACATTTTCAAGCTCAAGCTGACGCCGGGGGTATCGCTATATCTCTCTGTTCTTTGAACAGGCGAGCTAACAATATATTACTTCTCATTTTTAATATAAATCCTTTTCTTTTTGTGTCATTCCAATATGATGGGTAATGCACTATCTTCCTTTCTTACACGATTATTTTCAGTTAACATCTCAATTGCCTTTTGATTTAAATACAACTGTCTAAACACTGCACTGTCATTTTTGTGTCCCCCCCTGTAAATTATAGTGCTCTCGGAGTAAATTTGTGCAATATGAAAACAGTTTTACAGTTTTGTTCACAATCACAAGGATCATATGGGTCGTCCAAGCTCAGAGAATTGTCAGACTTTGTGTAAAATAACACGGGTCACAGTAATCATTTAAATTGTTGTACCTGGTACATAATTTGATTTTACAAAACTGTGATATAATGTTGGGAAATCAAATAGTTGTATAGTGTAAATCCTATTTATCTTTAAACATATTAAAAAATAAAAGTATATTTATTTTAAAATATCAAGTGAAAATATTTATAATTCACAGTATGGACAAGTGATATTTGACCTAACCTGCTGCTATGTTGCAATCACTAAATTTTCCACACTGGAGCTTAAATATTTTAAGTTAGGTGAACTCTTCACAGTTGTACACACAAACACAACAGCATGAAAAACTGTGCACATCTGTATCAGATCATTTACAATCTTAATTGCAAAGAATACAATTCACAGCAAGTGGCCCTCTGGGCCTGTATTGCCCATTTTACTTCATGAAGGGATAAATTGTTTTAGTTTCCTCAATCTGTAACTCCTTGTGACAAATTAGCAACAAAATTTCCTGAAAACTTTTGCTTGATTTTCTCAGGAATTTTTTGCCTTGGACAAGTTCCTATTTGGGCATGATAAAAGGTCAAGATCACCGTTACTAAAAATACATTCACTATCACACCTGCACCTCCTTGATATAACTCTAGTGCGATGTAATGAGTGATTTTTGGCTATAGAGAACTGAAGGAGAAGATGTCTACAAAAGTGATAACAAAATTTGTCCTTTCTCAAATGTTTTTGCCTTTAGATCTGGAAATATTAGAATGAAGCTCACATGTGTTACCGTAAAACGGACAATTTTCTTGTATCTCATCAATGAGAAAATAAGTAAATATACCAACATAATGACACTAGGAAAGGAATATTGCAGCAGTAAAATTTCTTCCATGCAAACAGTTAAAAGAGTTGAAGCGAAGTTTTCTTTTACAATTGTACATGCTGTTTCTTGTGCTACAATAAAATAACAAAAACCATCAAATATTTTCTTTTCATTTAATTTAATTTTCTTTCTTGTAGACAGCTACAGATACCTTCAACAACAATCAACTGTTGAACAGTGAAATATCTCGTCCAATAATGACCATTTTAACAACAAAACAAGTACATGTATAGACATTCTCAAACAATATATACCTGTAGCATCCTACCACACTAACACCTAACATATCAGTCAGTTTGTGGAACTTCAGCACTCTCAATAGTATTTCTAGCACAGATTTCTACAAAATATACATCTCAACTCCTTGTACCCAAACATAAAATTCATTCAAAGCAAAACAGATCTGACTAAGTTATATGCAGTCAGATTTATTTCCGAATGTCTTGCCACTAAGTTGCCTTTAAAACTTATACCAATAATTATAAATACGAACGTTTTGCTTACATATCAACGACAAAATATCTTGTTTTTCTCAGTAATAAGGTCAAGTATTATAAAAATATCTTCACTGTGTTGAGAAGTATTTTTTTTTGAAATAGGAAGTTCCTTCCACACATTTATAGCTGATAATAATCAATTTCAAATTAAAACAAATCTTGCATTCACAAGAGAACAACCATAATTGCTCATTTCAGAAAATTACACATGCATGCCCTTACTTGAATACAAGGTAACTAAATTTAGCAAAATAAGGTTGTTTTTTTCAAATTGATTTTGAAAATTTATATCTAGAGAGATAATTTTTACTTTCAAAATATAAATAAATTATCATAAGATATGGACATTGAAGATTCAGCAGATTTCATTGATCTGAAGACACATTTTGAACTGAGACAGAATTACAATGAATAAATATTTTGACACTAATCACACACAAAAAAGTGGCAAATTTGCCTATGTTGGACAATTCATGTCGCCAGCTATCACTTACATGTATACTGGGCCCTGATCAGTGATTGTAGATGTACATGCTGTTGTTAATGGCATTGAAACACAAATTTCTTGCTGACTGGCGTTCGTGTTGGGATTTATTCACAAATTCTTCAAACCCGGTTTAACCATTATTTTTTGCGATCAACTTTCTGTGAACACCTCCACACAAATAGATATTAAAATGCCTTGGACAATAGCCAGTTCATCAGGATAACTGGTCCAGGCCCAGTTCATCAGGATAACTGGTCCAGGCCCAGTACATCAGGATAACTGGTCCAGGCCCAGTTCATTTAATATATCAGGCTAGCTAATTATCATTTTACATCACATTACATGGCAAGTTATCTATACACATTATTGAATGGGGTTTACCTGTTCGACTTCACACATATGTATATGTCAGGCACTTCCCAGTGTTTAAATATATGAAAAGCTTCTGTTTCATCAATTGTAAACACATTTTCTAGACGTGGAAAAAAAAATCCTTTTCTCCAGGTACTTCATATTTTCCGAACCCATAATGAAGCAATGAAATCTTGATACCTTCATGAATAATCTTTAAGTTCTCGGTTGAAAATAAATTACACCAAGACATTTTTATGCATATCGTTTCTAGACTTGCTGATTAGTTTGAATGGGTTAACAGACATATTGCACCATACATTCTAACAAATACAGAACACTACAAACTTATCATACCCTACCAATAGACGTTATACCTGTACCCTTACACAGTGTGTACCCTATTACACAGAAACACCACATACCTACTGTGAAGCTGACATGAACATGTACCACTAATGAAGAAAAAAGCTCCATATTAAGGGGAAATGATGGTCTTGGCAAATTTTCTTTGACAACTGTTTAACAAAGCACATAAAAAAAGAAAATCAGCAAAGAAAATTACAAAAAACATACACGCTACGAATCATGCTGCTTTACACCCATCTGCACATACATTACGCTTAGTCTCACATTCCATGGTGTATAGAATAAGCTAACAGGTGTTTGGATACAAGTATAATGTACAGTAATTATATAACTAAATACCAAGAAAGTATCACACAGCTATTATAAATGTAGTATTAAAACTAGTTTTCCAATCATTAAAAAATATGGTGTTTGAACATATGGTTTTTATCTGGAAAACCAACTCTTTGTCTTAGGATCAGAATTCATTTACAATGCATCACTGAAAAAACGTTTAAAATGTATAATTGATAGTCAAATATATTCTTACATAAAAGATAAATTACTGATAAACTTTGTTTTCACTATTAACATGAAGACTACTTATTATCTAGCAAAACCAATTCAAGCAAAGGTCAAAGATTAGATATGGATCATTAGATAGTGTTTTTATTAAAAAATCCAAAAGTATGACCACAGTGTACACTTTTCAACCATATATTTGTTTAATTCAAAGTCAAATAAATAACAACCACCATTAGAAGTAAAAAGTTTCATACTACAACTTTCTTTTAAAACATTTATTTTCCTCACAAAAAATATCTGAATGAATGATCAAAAGGCTGTCAATTTCATAATAAAATACTACATCCAAAACAAGCCTACACACCAGAAAATCTCAAAAGTCTTCAAGTGTCTACCAGATAACAAACATGTACTCGCAAAGCAAGATAAAAACTGCAATGTGATAAGACGTTTATCTAAATCTTATTGCAAAAAATGATCCCAAAAAGCCCCGCTACTCTCAACCCTATCACAATGTCATTGTAACCAGGAATTTTACTTGTATATCACAGTTAGAAAAAACATTCATAACACGCCAACCTTACCATTGAAACAAAGATGTTGATGAAACCCCATTCCACTACATGTATATTTTAGTAAGATTTAATGTGTTGACCAATGCAGTACTAATTGAGTACAATTTTGGTCGAATCTGTTCTCACACTTAAGCATTCTTACAGAGTAGTGCCAACAGGACTTCATCAATGATTCTGACATTTTGCATGAAGCCTTTTTTTGCAAAACTTGTGTCAACCAGGGGCCCGGTCATTTGTGCAGAACAACCGGTTTGTCTGTAACATTTTCAGGTATAAATCCTAGCGGACCTGCAAATGTTTTTGCAAGGTTTGCAAGGCTTTGACAAAGCTTGCCTAAATGCTGCATCAGATAATTAGAGCTAGGTCCAATTTTATTTCATAAGCGAACAGCTCTGGTCCAACCGGTCCAACCGGTTCAACCGGTCCAACCAATCCAACCGGTCCAACCGATAAATAAAAGTGGCCCTGAAAAAATATGATGAATTGTTATTTGATGGTCATTTTGGGATCAAGGAAATATTGACTAAAGTACTACGCCTAGCTGTAAGAAGCACCTCTATTACCTCTGGAACACTGGGGATGATGTCACCCTGGTAAAATACTAGCCACTTTATATCAGTTTGGCTTAAGATACTTCTCTTTAGCTCATATATAAACAACGACAGACTAGTAAACTAGAGGTCCAGTCCCTGGCAGACATATTGCAAAAAAATTAAATTGAATACAAAATAATAATGATCTCTGTTGCAGTAGAGACGTTAAGGTAAATATATAATAAATACTAAAGAACCACACAATGAAATTTAAGTATCAGATTCTTTTCACTTTACCTCGCTTATGGTAACAGTTTAATAAAAAGAATTTGATACAAGAAATTGTCAGGCCATTACAATTTGTCAAAAATCTAGAAATGACTAGTCCCGACCAGTGAAAAATGTTACATCTTAGAAATCACATTTATATAAGATCAGAAATGCATGTATTTGTACTGAGGTTGGAAAAATACTTTGAAAAAATACCCCCAAAAATGGTAAAATTCTTCAGTATGAAATGTATAGGCCATTTAACAAACTTTTTTTCTGTTGTTTGCATTTCTATATGACTTTTTACATGTATTATTACCATAACTTGTAAACAGTGGCCATCATGAAGAATGAAAATTAAGGTAGTATCAATTAACATGTAGCAGTAGGGCATTTATTAACATGTCATATTTTAAAGTGAAATGAAAATTATATTTCCATAATAAAGCAGATAAAAAAATGAAAAACTCAACGACATTAATACCTCAGTTTTGATTTTTGTCCTAGCATGCAGCAAACTTCGAAAATTGAGAAAAAAATAGAAAGGACATTTTCTTGAGCAAATCTAATTTTCATTTTAATCAGACTATCAATTGCCAACCCAATTGACCCCGAGGATTACATTAATAGAAAATGTTTGAATTCAGCAGTGCTAGTTGGTTCAATATGCATTGAACATCTATCGAGGTTCTAAGAGTAACGCATGCACCATCAACTTATCATCAATGGTTATTTCAGATTTGTGTCCCGCTTAAAGAATCTTCCCCCTAAAACAGTATTTGTTATACACATATCAAGTTAGGTTTTGTCACCTGAGGTTCATGTCTTGTAATTATCAGGGATTAAAAAGTCATCATCAATACAATTCCTACTGTTTATTTAACACCTTGCTAACTGTTACCATTTTTAAATGTTCCCCTTTATAAACACCTTTTTGGATGCATCACAGGATTCCTTTATGAAACTAGGGGTACATTCACGTATCTGGTTGAAACGGTTGAACCTGTAAAGAAAACGACAGGCACATATCTGAACCGAGGCTGACCTCTTGAAAATTTGGCACATGTAGATTGAGGGGTCCAGACGTACCGGAACGAAACTAAAATGCTGAATATTGCTAGTTTACGTTATTTCTTTCTAAAACAATATCAAGCCACATGTAGTTTTTAAGATACGTTATGTAATTCAGTGGAAGGTTGGAAGAAGGGCATACTATATTCTTGATACATTGTTTTTTATTCTCCAAAACTGTGCATTTTAAGCTCTGCTTCTTGAACGGCCCAAGTGCGTTCGTTTATCGTGGAATATTTCTGTGCCACACTTACAGTTTCAACCGGGATACGCGAATGTAGCCAAGTTTGCTGAACAAACGGTGACACTATCTTAGGTTTTTGCTGTAACAAACATTGTTATAATTTAAATTGAAAGGGTTCTCTGAACATTGTCATAAAAAAAAAATTATGTAGAGTATGGTCTTGATCAGCATTGTAATTGACAAGACCAATGATTGAGAAGAATACCAACAGATACTGATGCCAGTCCTTATCATTTGCTAAAAAGCATGTTATTTTGACTTTACAGGAATAAATATAGACAACATTTTGGCGACACATGGAAATGTGTACAGACATTAAAATAGATTGATACTTTAAAATCACTACAAACAGATTCTCACATTAAAAATATTTCAACCTTTTTACTTTTCAACTATAATGCAGGTATTCACAACAAGTTCCTTGCTTTTTCAAAACACCACTGACAAAAACATCTCGGTTTTCAACAAACCTAGCATTTGGAAACACATTTCATTGTATAATTAATTGATAAAAAATACTGGCGCTTAAATCTTCGATGCATGATTGGGTAAGAAATTCATCACAATCATTTCCCATTCCTGCATGACCAACGTACATCACATGAAGCCTAAACATTGTGATGTACTGGTATCACTTGAACAAGAAGCAGGTCCACCAATCCTACGCTAGTACTGCATGACCTTATTTTTTGTAACAACCTTTATTTTATCAGAAAGATTATGAAAAGACAGAGATTTAGGTAAGAGTTGTTGAAATCTCAACCAAGAACAAAAATATAGATCATTCATTTAGTGTCCAGACTGTTAAAACATTCCATGTCATTCTCGACCAAGAACACGTGAGTAGTCTACATTTACGTCCATTTCAATTGGTACCTTGCATTATGTTTCTTGATCCAGTGGCATGATGTGTACTATTAACTTCAAAATCTGTTTTAATGTATGACTTTACCCGAGAATCGTTCGACAAACACATTCAAAGTCTGAACAGATACAAAATTATGCTAAATACAAGTACCGTTAATCAAAAGTCTAAAGTACCAATATGTTAAAACATAAAATTGAAGGTAAGTGAAATGGAAGACAAGTGTTGAATGAATCTTGGTAAGTATTATATTATCTATTATTCAGAGAGTAGATCCATGAAAAGATACATACACAGTATAATTGCACTTCAGAGAGCTAACAAATGTGTGTGATCTGATCAGATTGTCACCAATTGAAATTTGTTCCCAACTGTAAAAAAAACAGGAAACATTAAAATTCTTTTGAATTTGTTTTTTAAATATACAATTCCACAGAACTATTAATACAAAATGGAATTAAGGAAACTGGACCAAGTTCATCTGTACATGAAAAGAATCAGATTATCAAATTCTCTTGATGTTTTCAGAATTCCTGTTAACATTCAAAATGAATTCTGCTTTCAAGATAAAGAATTAATTTATAGGCAACTAAGAGATAGTAAAATTGGTTCTGTTTTGGGTAAACAGTAAAATACTTTCATGATCACAGACGTTGTGGTTGCTATGGCAACACCGCCGTAAAATATCACAAAGTCCTCCTGCCATTAGACAGGTAAGATATGGTGGTCAGCACTATTTACATTTGATAACTTAGATTAAATATTTTATACTTACAATATTTACATCAATTTCATGCTTCAGATAAAAGGCCACTTTTTTTGTAATGTATCACAATGACCTATTCATGCATGAATGTCTTTGGACAAAACTTAACTATATCACATAAGTTTGGTCACGATTAATGTTTATAACATTTTGTGACATATTTTGACTTGATGAATGGCATCCTGACATTACTGCAGATAAGCTTTCCATATGTTTAAAACATCCGTGAAAGTCTGCAGCTCCAGTGACAGATATAACACTCTTCCATAAGCCATTCCAAATGCTGTACAATACTATAATCTGTACGGCAATCAATCCAGTGGAGATTCAATGTCTTCTGGTCTTTCATGAGAAGCTGCTTCTTGGATATCAACCTGTTAGATAAACAAACAAATATCTTTTACAGAGATTTAACAAATAAATGCCATTGATAAAATCGTTCATATTCAATCTGGTCTGCATGGAGATTGCTTTTCTTAATGTAATTATAAATCATTATAAAACTATGTTTTAACAAGCAATATTTTTTTTGGTAAGACTAAATGAAACTAACAAAATACATGTTATTGGTTTCCTTTCTCAGACTTACACTGCTTGTGTATATGAATGTCTTATTTCACATTGTCTAGCTAGTTTCAATTTTCTGCAACACCAGAAAAATGTTGGGTATATTTATTGAAGCAAGAATTATGCATAATTATATGTCTTGCCTGCCTCCGCTTTGAGCATAAGATTCAATGTGTCAAGCATTTTAAGTTTGAGCCAAAGTTCAGAATTTTATATAAACAACTTTTGCAATATATCAAAATGTAAATAGGTGAACGGAAGTCATGTACATACCAAATTTGAGCAAAATCAAAATATATGTGAATTTCGACCAATCATGCAGAAGCCAGTATACGAAGATTGTCAGATCAGAAAACGGATGCTGCAGTTGAGTTTGCAGTGCCAAAATACATGTATTTTCCAAATTTAATTCTAATCGAACAATAACTGAATTTTGACCAATTAGAAGCCCTTATAAGGTGGCCATTTCGTCAAATCAGAAAACGGATGTTGCAGCTGAGTTCACGGTGACAAAATACACTTTATATAAGTAATTAGTAACAAAATGCAAACATATAAGTATAATCCAGGTTTGGTTATGACAGCACATGTACTTTGTGAGAAACTAAGCTCAACCCCCAGCTAAACGGAAAACTTTAACATAGTACAATCAATTAACAAAGTCCAGTTAATGGTAAACTGTAGGTGAAATTCAAAATCTGAAATGTGTGTAGGTATGGCCATGCACATCCTCGATTTCCAGGGGTTACGCTCACCTACGCTCTCTATGAATTAAAGTCATTGGAGTGTATTGACAAACGGAAATAGGAAGTACATCCCTAGTTGAAAATTCAATGAAGGGAGATAGCATCACAATTTCCTGTTATTATAAAGTTTAATACTAAACTGATGAATAGTATTTGTTTATTATTGACAGAACAGTGTGTTCTCTCAATATTAAAGTATTTCAAAGCAAACCAGGCATTAATTCAGTTGGTTTTTTATCAATAAGCCACATGTGTCCAATTTCTGTACTTCAGGAAACAGGCTACCTATTTCACTACTGTGAAGTTTTTCAAGACAGATAACTCTTACATGCAATTACTATGTGTATATGGTTTTATGAAAAAAAATCAATTTTTAATCGTTTATAGATAATTTATTTTACACAATTTCAGCATTTATTAAATTGATATACATTAATGCAATACTAATCTATGGCAGTATTATTTGTATTGACATTATTTTGCAAACAATTGTGTCTTTCATATTTTTTTTTCAAAATTCATTCCTTTTTACATAAATTTCCATTTAAAATCCTTAAAATTCTGACAACCTATATTTTTTTTGTGGCAAATTTTTCCTTTACTTCAAAGCAATATAGCTACAAAATTTGGAGAAATTCTACTGAGAAATGGTGACACAATCCTATTACCTTAAACTCAACCCCCAGCTAAACGGAAAACTTTAACATGGCCCAATTAATTAACACAGTCCAATTAACAGTAAATTTTTGTTTAAATTCTGAATCTGAAATGTGCGTTTGGATGATAATATATAGATATAAGTATATCCCAGGTTTCATTAACATAGTTTATGTACTTTAAGAGAAATTAAGCTCAATGTGGAGCTAAACAGAAAACTTAAACATGGCCCAATTAATTAACCAAGTCCAATAAACAGTAAATTTTTGTTAAAATTCTGAATCTTAAATGTATGTTTACAAGTAAGAAAAACTAATGGGTGTGCTTATTATGGTGCATGTGGTTATCACTGGTAAAATACAGTAAATACTTGACAGAAAGATCATATATGTCACAAAAGATCATACATGTCAAAAGAAAAACAACATGACACAGCAGGACGGTATAGAAACAGAAATATTGAATATGTCACAGAAACATGATAAATGTCATCAAATGATAATACAAAGCTTATTTATGTCACAAAAAGCTTATTTATGTCACAAAAAGCTTATTTATACCACAGAAAGGTGAATGCTATTTTGCCACAGAAAGGCAAAGGTGTTTTATGTCACAGAAAAGTGATTTATATCATAGGAAGGCATCATGTGGAAAGGCTATACATGTCAATGAAATGTGGCATATATCCTGAAGTTTATCAATATCAACCATGGCCTGGTAGTTCAAAGCACTGGAAGCTTATGTGGCAGTTGACTCAAATTATTAATCTCAAGTATTTTTATAATTAACGAAAGTTATAATGAAAGTTTTTGTGGGAAAATTTCAAATGACATCTTAATGACAAAACCATGGTAACACTTGTAAAATTTCAAATTGTTACAATACAACACAATTCCAAAATCTGAGTTGGGAACAGTGCTTCAAGGAATTGGCTGAGAATATATTAATATATATTTGGTGAATTAATTATTGCAAAGAATTTCAAAATAAAATACCCACTACACTAATCATACATTTAAAATTTCTCAAGACAACAAATATTGCACTGACCATCAAAAAACATGTAGACAAGAAAACCTCACTAAAATACCACAGCATACACTTGATAAGAAATAAAAACCTACTGTGTCTGTATTCAATGTATTATCAGACCTTTACAAAGGCGTGGTCAGCAAGGATGCTGGCTGATGCCCTGTCTGCAGGATCATGCACAAAGCAGAAGGACAAGAAGTCCTTGCCCTCCTCGCTCAACTTTTCTGGAATGGCAGGTGTGCCTCCCATGCCAACTTTAAACATGATCTGGAAGTTGTTGTCAAACTCATGCCAAGGCCTCTGTAATGTAAACAAAAACACTTTTTTCTGTATACTAATACTGAATCACTTGTGTTTAGTGGACTTTTATTTTATTTAAATCACCACTTAAATACAGTAAAACCCCACTTCCTCAAACTTTGTTTACTCGAATACCCCTCATTCATTAAATAGTTTGTTTGGTTCCGACCGAGATCGTACATATTCTTTGGAAAGTAATCCCGGATTAGTCGAACTGTTATTCCTCTAATACCATGTATTCCTCGAAAAAAAAATTGTCCCTGACTCTTCATTGTCATAGTCTTAATCCTATCTATTTGTCAAACAGGTGTGACCTATCACGCCTGACAGATATTTTACCTGTGTATAACAGGTACCGGCACTGCGGTCGACATGTCTCTAGGCACAGGCTGCAGTCCACGTTAATTGTGCTTAATTAAGGGATTAACGACAGTATCATTAAGTAACTATAACGTTACCCTGTTGTAGCTGCATTATCATTTTGTGTGCATATTTTTTTTTTTCAGACGATGTTTTGACATCGATGATTTGGCAGAAGTGTTAATTCACTTGGTGTGTAAAACCGTATTTCGGCATGGCAATATTTAGCAGAAATTACATTGCAGAAGCTGACAAACTTAGATATTCACACTTGAATAAGTCGTGATTTTTTTTTTTTTTATATCAATCAACAGTTTGATAACAAGGATTCAAGATATTCATCATTTTAAAACTATAGAAGAGTTCCTCTCATTTTGATATTTTGTAAAACTTACGTAGCCGATTACAACAAAAATGACAATGACGATCAAACCTCGGATTCGTTGAATATCATGTATTCCTTGAACTATTGATCTGGACCCTACAAGTTCGAGTAAACAGGGTTTTTACTGTATTTCCTTTCAAACTGATTTTACGCCACTGAAGATAACATAGCACCCTTGCTCTGAATTACTTAATATCTACAAATATATACCAGAATAGAATCAATACTTATTCTAGAAAGTCAATACTTCAGTAACATATATCACGATTACAATGATACAGACAAAAAGTCAATCCGATTATAGCACTTATGAGCAGCTGATGCAATGACAAACAGTTTACTGATAATACCCCTTTGAAAATCTATACTTTTCCATTTATGTTCATTATTTGACATACTTTTTTTTATTCAAAACAGTAATATAATGCCAAATGAATACATTACACACAACTATGTTTTTTTTTTCAGATCAAAGGAAATGTTTGGGTTATGTTCAATTCCTCTACTCAACATACCTTTCCTGTAAAGATTTCTATGACAACACAGCCAAGACTCCAGATATCTGCAGCTCTACCGTGTCCAACCTTAGTGATCACCTCGGGGGCCATGTAGGCTGTAAATAAATTCAATTTTTAAATTTAAATACGCCTCGAGTTATATTAAATTCAAGGCAAAAATTAATTATCTTTTTCATCAACACTTTGATTTTATTTTCCTGACAATAGCTTCCGATATTAAGGTAAGTGTCCTATTACCTCTGTTACACCGATTTTGATTTTCAAACAAGGATGCATATATTCAAACACACTTTCATTCTAAAACTTTCTATTCGTCCATCCCATTGTTCACTCATTCATACTTTTAAACAAAATTTCTTCTTTAAATATAATATTATTATGTTCTATAAAATATGCATGCCTACTGATACCATCTCGTGTGTATAAACTTTAAGTCATATTTAAATTGACCCAAAATCTTGTGTGTATAAACTTCAACAGTCATATTTGAATTCATGAAGTCAGCAGTGACTTACTGTATACTGAGAAATTTCGCCCAGTCAAATGTTCCCCTTTTTGTGTTAAAATCTATTTTGCCCGATGTTTAATTTTCCCTTCACATTAAGTTATTATGTATATTACGTTGTTTACAAATGTTCGCTGTAAAGATAACTTTGCCCTCTTTCTGCGGGCGAAGAAGGTGAAAACTATACTGCAGTGAAAATTTCCCATTATACACAACTGTAAAATCACCAGTTATACAAGTTTACCTGTTGTCCCCACCAGATTGTTGAACTCTCCAGGCATTGTTGTGTGGCTTTTTAACTTTGCTGAACAACCAAAATCTCCAAGTTTTAGACATCCACTTGATGTCAGGAAAATATTTGCACCTAGAAAATAAACAATTTAGAAACAGATGAGCTTTCCTAATATCAAAACTGCAAATCTCAAGCAAAAAAAAACATGTATAAGCTACTTGTTTATTACTCTAATATAATGAATAATTTCTCACATGCAGTACTCCTCTCTCATATTGAAACACTTTTGTCTGAAAAACAGTATCTGACTTATCACCTTTGATATCCCTGTGTACAATGTTGTTGTCGTGGAGATGGTTGACGGCCAACAGAATCTCTTTGGTGTAGATACGGATGAGCGGCTCAGGAAGACCCATCTTTGCTGCCTCTTCTAGTGTCCCCCGGTCACAATACTCCATAAACACCAACATTTCATCCTACAAACATACAAGACAAACTTTCATAACACTTGAGAACATGTATAATACAATTTGCCTAAAATACTGGTATTTTCATAACTTTGTTTAAATATCTGATACCTAGTTAGGAATTTCTGAAGCTTAGGCTAAGAAATTGCTGTCTCCAATTTATAGCTCTCAAAAAAGTATGTATGTAGGGAAACATCTTTATTCAGCAAAATATCTTTTACAAAGGTTGACAGCTAACATTTTTACAAAGGTTGATAGCATTTCAACTTTTAATATTAATCTACAATAATCTCAAAATACTGATGTAATTTTTCGAAGTTATTTTTTGGACATTAACTTACCCTGTGCACCTCAACACCATAATATTTAACAAGGTTGGGGTGTAGTATCCCTTCAAATAGTGTAATTTCATCTGCTATTTCCTTTAATGCTTGGTGGTCATTGATTTGAAACTTCATCTGTGAAATAAAACAAAATGCTTTAATTGCGAACTTAAACAGCTGTTTATTATATTATAACTGAATTGCAATAAAACCCATGAAACAATAAAAAATATTTAAGCATTCTTATTTCCCGTGATATAGAGCTATTACAAACACTTAACATTAGGCATTATAACAATAAGGTACTCCATATCATCTTCCAATACATAAAAACCTCACCTCTTTCATGGCCATCAGTTCACCAGTGTCCATATTGACTGCTGAAAATACTTTGCCAAACTGACCTTCCCCTGAAACAAAATATTTCAAGTGATATTTTCATTGTTATCTAAATTATATGCCTTTGTTATGCAAGGCCTTTTAAACCTCAGGATTTTTAATTATTTGTGCAGTTTTATAATTCACAATTTTTTTCTTTAAAACTCCATATAAAACTTTCAATAACTGAAATTAATTAAATAAACATAAATGATTTGGTAACACACTAGAACACTGACAAGTCAGCAAGGGCCCGCCATATGCTTGACTAGATATATCCCCCATTACAATAGTCATGACTGTTAAATATTACAACCAAATACCAATTTTTGTCCCTCTCTGCCAACGGAAGTTTACTCTTCGGGCACTGATGCGCTGCTCAGGTTCATTCCTTCTACTGGTCTTCCTTCCTACTACACGCTTTTCTTGCAATCTTTCATCTCGTATCTCTTCTAGATGATCAACAGCTGCCATCAACCGTTCAGTGCGTGTGGTGGCATTCATTGCACTCCCAAGGTCACCAGAACTCGCTACAATAGTGGAAGAAGAAAATCAATGCGTTTGTTGCTGAAAGACATAGCCTAGCAAAATGTTTAATATTGATCAAACAAGTTAAACAAGAGGCCCAAGGGCCTTACAGGTCACCTGAGTTATATCATAGGTACCGGTAGCTTTATTTTATTGTTTAGATGTAATGTGGTAATCAGCATGTAAACTAAGTGAATTACAATACTTGTCATGTCATCAAAGGATAAGAATTTTTAAATATTGGTTAATGTTCCCTTTGGGGCCTGCCCTAGCCCCTAGGGATGGGACAGGAATCCAAGGATGATTTTACCAAGTTTGAAAAGATTCCATCCACTGATTCTTGAGAAGAAGTTGAAAATGAAAAAAGTGTATGCACGACGACGGATGGAAAGCTATCAGAATAGGTCACTTGAGCAAAGCTCAGGTGACCTAAAACCTCATAAGCCAAATGCCTGTTGAGCATTGGTCATAGAATACACTTATTCAACAATGTTGATCAATATCACGTAGATTTCATCAGGAAAGCAGCCTTCTGTCCCCCAAACTGCAATCAATGTCTTAACACTGTCCACACAGCTTCAAAACCTACCTAGTGTTGATATGATATACAATCAGAGTGTACCGAGTGAGTATTCCATGGGTCATATGTACCGTAAGGAGTGAATCAATGGCTGGGATATACTGTAAACTGGAAATTCTTTCCCTGATTTTCACCCTCTGTTCTTTTGAAATAAATTTGGCCTGTGTTTGAGTAACATATATGCTTATTTGTATGTACTGATAAGTGCATATGAAATGCTTTTCACCTATGTTCAATTCGTTCTCTGTCTAAGACCAAAAAGATTTGAAAGAATATTTCCAGTTTTTTTCAAGTGGTAGAATATATATAGACCTAATCTAGCAAACTTACCAAATTACAGGTACCTCGTCAAATAGATATATTTAAAGGATTTTATCTCAGGTTTATCTTTATAAAGATAAAGAATATACACTTAAAATGGTAAACTATGCATTTATAGTGTGTATTTTTTTCAGTCATGATGATATGTACCGAAATCTATTTATTAGCATGCAGTTCAATAATAAAGAACATTCGTTTACTATAACACTGAGAAACTTCATTTCTAATCACTTTAGGCAATAAATCAAAGGAAACATACATCTAGAATTTATTACAAGCATTGAAATACTCTCAGTGGAGCATTACTGGGCAGTTGTCCACTGGACTAGAAACAATTTCTACAGGAAGCCCATGTCAACTGCATGAAGTTCAATGCTTTTAAATATTAACTTATTACCTTTCACTCAAAAACACAATCACTTGCAAATCAATGTACTTGAAAATCATACATGAAGCGAATAGCTCAAGCTTTCAGAAAATTTTCAGAAAGCATTAGAAACAAAATTACACAGAAAACAGAAATATGATCAGTAAGTTAGTAGGATGATTCTATACATGCATAGATGTCATATTTCCCACCAGGTTAGTGTTTTAAGTGTGTGGTAAGGCTACCTCTACTGCGCCTCCTCAGGAATATATCAGCAGGTGGACCGTCCTCTGTGTCGTGTAAATCTACCTCCGGTGAGTTATCTGTCGAGAGACGCTTATACCCTGATCCTGACAAGAAAGTTTACATATGTACACAAGAAGCCAAACACAGGATGTGCTGGGATACACTGCAGCATCATTTGTGATACAAATTCCAACAAGCAAATTAATAGTATCAGAAATATAAGGGGTGCATACTTGGGGAAAGAAATCAAAAGAGATCATTACATCTGCTGATTTCTGTATAAAAGTAAATTTTTCAATTTTACACTCCCCCTTGTTAAATGTACTTGGGTCCAAGAATCTCATTCTTATATAAAAGGCTACACTACGGCAGCATTACACATAGTATATGCAAATTATGTATCTTATTTGTATCACAAAAGACAAGTTTATAACTGCAAAGCCAGGAAAAGAAACATCAGATTAATATAAAACCTGTAATAGGTTCAGTACATAAGAAACATTCACAATATGAAACTATGCCACAGTAGGCAGTTTATGTAAAGTTGGATTTGAAAGGTACATTTATCAATAGAAATGATTCAAAGAGTTGTTTAAGATTTTCATCATTTAATATGTTACAACATCATTTTTTTTTTAATTAGGTTTTGACAAATTAATGCTTTAAAATATACAAAATAGATACAGAATTCTAGTTATGTATTCACTATTCAATCATACTGTATACATAATATGAATGTTCTGGGTTTGCCACTGTTTCTAATGTTCTGTGTAAAAAAAGTTAGACACCATCAACAAAATGTGTGCAGTATAATATACTCTTTACCATTAATTCATTGTGAAAACAGTTTATAGTATTATACAAGTGAAGTATTAATGTCGTGAAGTACCCTTATATAAATAAATACATATAGAACAATCAAGTTGTTAATTAGCTGATCCAACCCAGAAAGTATATGGTATAAAATTTTGCACTTATTTGACCTTTGACTAGAGCTGAATGTCATGGTAACCTCAATACAGTACACTGCACGCTGTGAGTGATACAGGCATACTTTAGGGCCATCAAGACATCTTTGATACTTTTAAATAAACAGTATAGAAGAAACTCCCCCAAAACTTAGGTCATGGTAACCTAATTCCAGTGCACTGCACTGTTCTGTGAACCATGCAAGTGTACTAAAATTTCATCAAGATGTCTTCAATGTTTTATAGTACAAGACAAGATGTTAATAAAAGTACCAGAAAAAGTATCAGATGAAAAGAGGAAGAATGAGTACTAACACAATGCCACCCTTTCATTTGAACAAGACATATACTTTCAAATCCATGCAAGTTGTAGATTTCTAGCAAGATACTGATACATCCTAGCTTACTTTGTGCAATAATGTACTTAAAACAACCAATATTTCATTTCTTTTAACTATGTATCATTTTATTTTCATTTTAAATAACAGCAACAATATCCATCTTCCTTGAAACTTCAAAAATTGCCTTCTGATACTATTCATATCGGAAGGCAGTAACAGCAGGGCATTTCCCATGCAATTTTGTCACATCTTAGTTTTGAAATATGGTATTTTACACAGGTTAAAACTGATGGAAAGAATTAGGTAAAACAACATGTGACAAGGATCTGATGATTTTCATTAATGTTAACAGTATCTGGTCTAAAAGAAGAGAAATAATTACTGGAGCTAAAGTTCTCCTATAAAAGAGATATTGACATTTTATCTTATCTTGACCTGATGACCCTAACCTATTGACCTCAATACCCAAGATGTCTTCATTCCTTAATTTAAATCAATATATCTGACACATGCAGGTATCTCTTGAATAAAGTATTGGGTTAGGTAAAAACATTCCAGCAAAGGACATGAAGTTCATAAAATCTTATTAGCACAACCAAATTCAGCAATAATATACTCCACTCCTGCGCATTTCTCCCAACCAAACAATGACTCTAAAGCAATGCTTTTTTCAGCAAAAAAAACACTTGGGCAAAACTTACTTGAGTCAGCTGACTGGGGAGTGTTGGGTGGCTCACTCTGTGCTGATCGGTTCGATAAAGACCTTGAAACCTTGCCCTGTTGTTCTGGCCAGGATGGAAAGCGGAGGTACGGAGGCTGACGACTGCTGCCTATGTCACTGCTGCCTGACCGTGACATGTGTATAGGACCTTAATGCAAATATATCAGGGTCGATACAGAGGATAATAATGACATTTGGCAGCAAGCAATTTGCCTCTTTGAAAAAAGAAACAAGTATGTATCAACAACCCAACTCCAATATATACTGGTATACTTAAAATAATTATATAACTACAGACTAGTATCTTTAATGCAGCCACTGAATCCAGGTTTCCCACCCTCCAGCCATTGTTTTGGGGGAGACAAATACTTCTCTATTGAAGTATACCAGTCGATTAACCTCTAGGTGGTTATAGTTAAACAAGATTAAACAAGATTAACAAGGCCTAGCTGTATAGAGCAGACTCTCAATCTTAACAATTCACAAGTTCTATGGACAAAGAGAAACTTTCCTTTAACTGATACAATGGATTATGATTATTGATTTTCAAGCTGCCTGATGTCTCATTCTGTAAAAAATATGTTTTCATAAACAAATACCAAATTTCTCCATATATATATATATATATTTGGGACTCATAATAGATTGCTGAGATCAACATCATTGTCTGTCTTTGTGTCACAAGGTAACAAACAGGCATACTTTCTGTATTGTGTTCAGGTTTAAATGAAAAAGTCATGCATACTTGTATACATGACAACATTTAACAACTGACCCTGGGTAAAGTCGGCTGTTCAACCGCCTACTGTACAGGTGAATTTCTATGATGTATTTGTGGTGGTGTTGTTTGGGGGCTAATAGGGCATATTTTTATATCTATACATAGAATTATAGCACATGTCATTTACAGAGTTTGTTACAATTGTGTTGTGAAATTTCTCTCTAATTAAACTGGTTATACATCAAGGTTATATTGCATTTCTCAATAGTGTCCGATACCAACTTACCATGAGTTGGGCTGACAGGCGTGTACTTCTCAGCTTGGCCAATAACATGGGAAATACAGTTGTGTATATCGTGTTTCAGTTTCTGTAAACAAAGCAATATTCTGCCATATTAAAGTGTTATTCATCAATGAAGTCGTATAAAACAAGCAAGATTCATTACAACCAAGAAACAAAATGGTTTTAACTATCAGATCATACAAATGTGATTCGGTGCCAAGATCAAGTTTATTTTTATGTTAACTGATAAAATATCCTGAATACACTGTTTAGGCCAAAACAAATTTGATCACTTGGTTCTCAGGCCTGCGTGCCTTTCATTTTAGGGCACTGCATTGCCGATTTTATGGTGAAAGTAATAAAAAAAAAATCGTGAATGCGCCAGCCACCGTCTTTAAAAAAATCTGGAAAATTGGTCCCCAAGTCGTTTTTACTCGTTAGTCACCCAAGTCCCGAAAACGTTTGAATAAAGGTAAGGATTGATATACAGGCAAGCCTTAAAATGATTATGACCTATTAGTCTTGTGTACAAATGGCGCTCATTTCGGTACAAATAAGGAATGGGGGGTTTGTGATTCGCGTCTGGAACATCGTGGGGGGATTTTCGGAAGCTTGCTCTATGACGGGTCTCTATACAATTATAAAAAGACAAGGTAATGCCCGCAATGAAAGTTTTACAAACTACACAATAAAATAAAAAATTGCCCTTTTTCGTCTCGTTTTTTGCCATGTAAAATGAAACAAAAAATACCACCCTGCCGCATCTCTTTCGAAAAAAAATGGCCTGAAAACCAAGTAATTAATTTTATTTGGCCTTATCTCAAAAAGTTTTTTTCATAGTCCGAGAAACCTTCCCAAACAAGGTTCCATCAATACAGTATTAATCCACACACAAAATTACTTGCAGGTTGATTTTTAGTTACTGATCAAGTATGCCACCTTAAGAATCTTTTTTGAATTCATTTAAATCACGGCTTATATACGCCATTTTACCTCAAACTCCTCCATACTAAGATAAGCCAGGACTCTGGGCTCACAGGCAGTAATGAGAAAATCAAAACCTTGACTGGCCCACCTAAAAAACAGCAATCGACTTTAACATTGCTTACTCACACTGTACAACAGTCTTATAACCAATACTGGTAGATACAAAATGTTAACACAATAAATTGCTATGTTAAATCTATACCTTAATACAGAAGATTGTGAGAAAAATTCAATACTCTAACTGCTTTCCTAGGCCAAATAACAGTCTAAAATCTCATCACAGTATTATTTTAAACAAATGAGTTTGACATTTCAGGATAATTTGATTGAAAAGTCACATGCAACAATTATATAATAACTCATTCACTAAGTATACTTTAACCACAGAACACAACACTAAACTATTTGCTGACACTTCCTTGCTTACTTGGGTCTCATGCCTCTGCCACGTTCACATTTCTCCATCACAAAGTTCATCCAGTCCTGAGCAAAGTTGACTAGCCGTCGTCCTAAGTTTTGTCGTGGCTCTCCTGTAACCAGACGAGTCACCTCCCTCAGGTACTGTAACAGATAAATTTGACTGAATCACTATTGTCATAAACAACTCTTATTTTTTATTGAAATTTGAATATTTAATCTGTCCTAAATTGTCAGTACCCGACTATGGTTCAAACAGCCAAGTTAAACTGTAAATTGATTTGAAAATACAGAACAATAAACAGAAAAATGTCTCACTTCAAAACCAAAGTTGTATCCCTTGAGCATGGTTTCTCTGTAGAGATTCAAAAGGTGATTTCTCTCGTTGTCCTCAAGTTTGGCAATGTCATCAAAGTTGAGTTTGGTGTCCACCTCCTTAATGGCAGCCACCACCTTCTCCTGAAGCTGCTCTGCGGCCTCCTACAGCGTTAAAATAAAGTCTTACAGTTAAAACATACAGAAAATGTGAATCTTCTTACTACACGTAGTATTAAAATCTTTGTCATAATTTTAATTAGAAAAAATCTTTTTTGATCCCAATAATTGTAAAAAAAAATCCATGCAGACACCTGAAAAGTTATTGTATTAAACTTGATTAAAGTTTACTGATACTGCTTCCATTTCTCATCGAAAGCTGTCTTACCTTGAGTTCACCCAGAGATTCTGCAATGGCTTGGTGACAGGATGTCTGCTCGTTGACCAGAGCTACAGATTTCCCCATCAGCTGCTCAAATTCTTTCCTCTGTGTCATTAGGTGAGAGGAATGGATCACAACTAACAGGAGGCCATCAACCTACAGAACAAAATGCAATAGCCTGAGTTAGCAAAACCAACCTGGTAAACACTCCACAGCAATGTTAGAAACATTCTGAAGCAACCTGTCAACCACACACACACAATATAAGATATATACAACATACCAATCTATCAAATACATAACACCAGATACCCAAAGGCTTAATTCAAATCATACATCAGTCAGGCCTAATAACAACGACTCAAATTGAATATGTTCTATTATAAAACAGACTATGAGTTATGATAAGGTACTATGTACATACTATATAGGGGCATTTTTATCAGAGCTACCCAATACATTTTCTAGACGTGAAATGAAGTTTCAACAAAACGTCTTAAGAGGATTCATGGCCACATCAAGACTCAAAGCATTAAAGTCAAGCACAAGACATGGGGTGAACACTGAAAGTAATTCCTGTGTGATCTAAAAAAGATAGACCTATGAATATTAGAACTCACCTCAATATGTGAGAGAGCAATTGCTGTGTCTGCTGTAGGCTCCACTTTGATTGTCTCCCCTGTCCACAAGGGACACTCCTCCCTATGTTCAGTTCCCCCACTACAGTTAACCATGAGAAGGTATCCCTCATCCCTCTGGTTGATGTCATGAGATCCAGTCAGGTCCTCCCGCCCACAAGTCACATTCAGCAATTGGATGATGAGTTGGCGACAGTCCATAATACTGGACGGGATGAACATAAGGTAGCCCTTGTTCAATGAAGCTTCCACCTATGTATAAAGTGTGAACTTGTATTAGCTTTGGTTAATATTTGATATCATAATTTTTAATTAAAATCACAAAGAATTCCATTTTGTATAACATATTTTTCAATATGTTATTGAGATATTACACAACACAAATTATAGAAAAGAATTCTCTTTAAGGGCCTGTCACACACTACTGACGTACCTCACCGAGACTAAACCGCAGCAAAATATTAACAACCGAGACAACGGCCTAGAAAATCGGCAGAGCTCCGGGGAGAAAGCACTTCTATATTGATAGTAGCAATACTGATGTAGTTCCGGCAATCCTGTTGTGATACCGATGTAAGAACCGCAATGTGCTACCAAAGACCACTTTTCCGCCGATGTTATACCAAGGCACAGCCGTTGTTCTACCGATTTGCCACCGTTGACTGGAGCTATAGCGAAGTGATAAAATTTGCACTGCAGATGCTACGGTAGTATAACGTTAGTACATCTGTACCAGTATGGTACACATTGAGGCCACCGGAGAGCCGCCGATCAAATGTACTGCCGTTGAAGTCTCGTTGCTTGCTTCGGCAGCACAACGGGGACAATGTTTGAGCATGTTCAAAAAAGTCTACCGTCGCCTGCCATTGCTTAATTTTACACCAGTGTTCTGACGATGTACTACCGTTCTTAGCGATGTGATACCAATGAGCTGCCGTACTAGTACCGATTCCCGAGAATCACCAAATTTGTGCCCCGTTATACCTCGGGCGACCCAAATCGGCTAGGTGTGACAGGCCCTTTATATGACTGAAGCTGATGACTGAGAGGACACTGAAACATACCATGACATGGTCAGTTTCCTGTAACTTTTCCAGCAGTTCTACCGTGGTCTCTGCTATATTAAAATCTGCAGCAATTTCTAGGTCCTGTAACATATGAAACAAAATACTTACTGTCAAGATGTTTTAAGCACCAATGTGAAAAGAAACATTCATACATTAGGATATATAAGTAATGAAAACTCAGACCTAAAGAGTACTTATCTACAGTAAAACATGTTAATAATGAACCTTTGGGGACATAAACCTCTGGCATTTTGGTGAAATAGTCTTAACAAACTTGAATTGTAACCAAAATCCAGTATGGCCACCTGGCAGCCAGAATTGAACTTAAAGAGAAATAGCAATGTCAAAATCCAAGATGGCTACCTTAAAGCCATCTTGATCTTGTGTTCAGTCACAAATAAAACATACAAAGCTTAAGACCAAAGAAGAACTTAACTATGATAAAAAGAATTGTTAAAGAATGGATGGCAGCCTAAAATTAGAAGTAGTTCTCTGTTGTGAAATATGTTTACAACAAAACCTACCTAGGGAATCGAAGAAGTAAGTTGGCTAAAGTGAACATTGTTAACGAACCCTAGGGGAGGCAAAAATTAAGACTGCAAATTGACATCATTTGTGAAAGATTTTAAAGTTCATGAAAGATTTTGAACAGGTAACATAAACACATATATCAATATTTATAAGAACAGGTATAATTAATCATATATCCAAACTAAGAAGTTAATTTTGAACTGTATTTGTAAATTTCAACTTTATTCTGTTTAGCTCATTTGACATGGTACAGATAAACTAAAATTCAACATTATGTTATTTTAGGATTAATGTGAAACAGACATCCAAAATATTTTCTGACCTACCTTACGTAATGTTTTGGCAAACCCTAGTGCTTTTGATGCTCTCTCTCTTGCTTCATTGAACAAACTTTTGCATTTTCTGGATGTTTTCTGGAATGAATGCCTAAAACAAGCAAAAACGACAATACAAAACACTGAATTCGATACATATCGTATAATTTACCTGAAAGTTAAGAATTCCAATTCCAATATATTTTTTTATCTAAAATACTACACACCGAATCATACATCAGTTTTTACCCAAAATGAAACTTATTCAAAGTTAATGTCTGAGCTAAAGTTCTTCTGAACCATAACCTTTTGTACATCATCTGTATCTAAAATACTTCAAAACATACCAGTTTAGGGACCAGAAAAGGATCACCAACCAATGATTTTATTCTGTAACTGAAAATTCTGATGGTGAAATTCAAATAATACGTCATGGAAAAAATAAGAACTGTGGACATGTTTAAAGGTTTTTAAGTATTTTTGAAAAAAATTGATATAATTTTGGTTCTACATAGCTCTTAGTTCCTGGCAGACAAAGAAATAAGGTCAGCAGACAAACCTGAGCTCTAATATGTGCGACTTTTCCTTTTCCTCCCTTTCTTTGTCTTCCTCATTTCTCTCATTGTCACTTCCTGTAGCACCATCATATTCATTGTCTCCATCTTCATCATCGTCGTCATCATCATCATCATCATCTAGAACTGTCCAATCGTACAATGATGTACTGAAATCGTCAATGCCAGAGTCCAGGAAATCGGCAATAGAATACAGTAGACTGCTTGCCAATGAGCTGTAAAAATCACAACCAGACACATACTTACAGTTTTCACAAAAGAGTACTTTTTTAAAATGTATACCAGTGAATTTTGGAGTTGCTGTACAGCTACATCAATGCTTATTGCTAGACTGCAGACTTTTATCTGTGAGAGGAAATGTTAAAAAGAGCATGGTGTTTTAAAAGCAAGGTTTACATAGGGCTGAGTTTACAGATCATGTTTTTCCTCCATAACATTTTTCATATTACAAAATTTAATGATAGTGATAAAACTTAGTGTCTATTATGGTTTAATAGTGTTGATCTTCTCTAAGCAAGAGATATGAAAATACATTCAAATTTTCAGAAAACCTAGGAAATCACTTCTTCAGTAGTAACAGCATTTGAACAACTTGACTACGTTTTCATTGAAAACCAATTTTCCTGTTAATCTATGGCTAATTTACCCAAACAATCCCTTCAGTTACCTGAATCGTTTGCCAGCCTCAGCCTCTCCTCCTCTGACATGGGGACAGATCTGTTTTGTGAAACTCCACTCCTGTTCCAGAACATTTTTGAGACTTCTGGAAGCCTCAGGCAAGTTTTGCAGGGTTATCAACCAGTTCTGGATGTATGTGAAGTAGATCTGAAAGAAAATTCCAATTAAGTAATGACATTTGCATATTTCTAAGTCTGCAAAAATACATGATTACTTGGTGAGCTAAAAAGGCCTTGAAAAATGTTAGTAAAACAGCATATCACTACTTCAAGCAAACATTTTTTCTTTTTTTTTTCTTTTTCTTTTTCTTAAAATCAATACTGCCTTTTGTCCTCAGCTTGCTCTTGCAAGGTGCTTCTACATTAATATATACATGTGAAAACTTCCAAAATAGATCATGACATTCTAATGTATCTTTAAAACTTATTGAGGAGTTGGAATTTCACAAAACTTGTCAAGGTTTATCCTTAAATACCCTGATGGACCACTGTATTATTGTAGCCACATTCATGTTTAAGTACAGACAGAAGGTGGTGTCACAAAAACTCCATCTTAAGTCATCACCATACAACCTTGACCTTTGATTATAAGCCTCTGTTGCTTTCACTCCTTTTTTATGTTTCTGTTAGTACATGAAGCAAGTACTGTAATACAATAATTATTACTGTAAAGGAAATTAATCAGTACTAATAGACTTAAACTGATGCTCTTACTTCCAGCATCTTCCTCATGTCGTCATCAAATTGTTCCAGGTCAGGAAAGTTTTCCTCTTCCTCTGCAAACTCCTCATCAGATCTCACTGAGGCCACCATTTGTTGGTAGTACTGCTTTACTATGACCGCACCCCGCAACACATCCTTACACTCACGAAGCAGCTGTAGTAGACACACAAAAAAGTCTGAATATTCATGAGAAATAGTTTGTCCAGGCTTTCAAAATATTTCAAAATCAAATGTTTTCAACTGCGCTATTTTTATGCAGTATTATTTTTCACTTCAAAGCAAATTTTTGTTTCTACTGGGCGTACTGGCTGCTTTGATCCTTGGAGCTTAACTTTTTATCCAACACTGTAAATTTCAAAGCATCAAATCAAATTGTGCATTCAAAGCTGTCCACAGGCATATTATATACATGTATTACCAACATTTTCAACATAAATATCATCTTCATTTTGGTTATTACAAATTGCTTCCATATCTATGTACATTTCCTACATCAATTTAAACTGATGTTTACGTACAGGGCGAATACTGAGGAATGACGGTTCCCCTTTGGGTCTCTGTTCCAGCCTCAGCCTCAGGGCTTCATGGATAACTTCCAGGAACACATTGAGGAGAAAGAGGTAGCTAGGTCGGAATGAAGGCAGGCCCATCTCTATAAAGTGAGCCACCAAGGGCTCCTGGTCAGTCTGGCTTGCACTCCTGTGGTACGTTACTGTTGTCGGGGATGTCAGCTCTGATGGCAACAGGTCAAGCCCTGGTGAGGAGGACAGGTGGGATTTCTCTTCAACTGGTGACTGCAATATTTATGTATTAATTATAATCATATATGTAATGTCCAAGTTAAACATGATCCACAATTGCAAATGCTAAATATATGAGTATACCAAATATATATGATCATGAGTGAAAAAATAGCCCTTATAACTAAGCAATAGATAAAACTAACAATAATTTATGGAAACATATCGAAATTATTGGAAATAAACTGTAAATTGTTAATTACAATTGAATTAAATGATTTCAACAATGTAACCAATGCAGATAAATGGCACATACTACAGATATATACTGAGGGGCTATATAGCTAACTACATAATTACTGTCCTGTCGTCGTTGCAGATAACATTATCACCGGACAATGAATTTACAAAAAGCCTAGAAAAAGATCTGAAACAAATGGTTAGATCTGTTACCAGTATTATTGTCTACTGGTGTAATTTTGCTGGTGGCATAGTGCTTACAACTGCCAGTTTGGATTAGTGAGACTTTATTAAATAGTTATGTGAATCAGAAAACAGCAAACAAAACCTGGATTTAAATTACGTTTTTTTAACTTTAAAAATAAACAGAAAATTATCACTACATGACATTGACAGATAATTATAAGATGAATTAAAATTATTAAAAAAGGGAATTTAAAAATAAGAGCTTGTTTTATTTCGTAGCAAATATTTACTTTTATTCAATTTGGTGAAATCTATGCAATCTCAAGTTTTAATAGGCTTCCATTCTCATTGTCTGGTGAACATCATGAGTTATTCATTTTCACTCACAGTGTACAGCATTATTAATCATGGGTGTTAAGTTTTGCACTGAATATTAGCCAATATATAAAGTAACAATAATGTGATTGAAAAGCTCTTTAATAGTAAATTTAAAGAAACTTAAACTTACTTTACTGTTGATGTCTGATACATTTAGTCCTTTTGGTTTCTCTAATGCCTCCTTAGCCCTCTGTAAAGTCCTATCTAAGAGCTTACGGAATCGTATAAGCATTTTGTTCATTCCCATTCTCCGCAATGTCTTGTCTACATATTTCCTATATGCACAGCTAGTAACCACAGTCATTTCATCCAGACTGGTTTCACTCGAAATGTGAGAGAGACTGGTGGATGGGGTCCAGTATCGTATCGTGGAAGGTGGTTGCTTCACTGGTGTGGATGTCTCCGGCATGTCCACTGTGATAGGGCTTGAGTTCCTAGAAGAACGTTCACTTCCAAGTGAAAACTGGACTTTTTTCGATGTTTTGATTTGTGGTGATGGGGTTCTGTCTTCTTCAGAGATGATGATTTCACTGCTTCCTTCCTCATCTTCTTCAATATCTTCATCATCACTTAAACCTGGTTCAAGGATCTCCGGTAAGCTAGATCGATAGTGACTAAAGCTAGCCCTAGGTTCAGCTGTGGAGGGTGTTTCAAAGTCTAACATAGGCCAAAATACATCAGAAAGATGTTGGACACCTAATATCTTACCTAAGAGTTTCATTTTGTGACAAAGATCTCTAGTAATGTTCAACCATAGATATAAGGACTTTACACGATCTTTGAAGTTTGGTGTCCCATACAAAGGGAACTCTTTGGCAAATGCTTTTGATGTTGGAAACAGTTGCTCCAAAGCATCTAATTTGGATAGCAGTTCCTCTACTTGATTTAATGCTTCAAGCTGTCTCTTAATAAAAGTTGGACTTAGAGTCAAGGTGTTGAATTCAAATATATCTCTTTTTGCTGCTTTAGCTGGAGAGAGAAAATTAATCTCTTTCATACCAGAGTCCACCATCTCTTCCCCAAAGTCAAAAACAGTAATTTTGAAACTTGTAACTTTATCTAATACTTCCGGTATTTTGGCACGTTCAATTTTCAGTCTGTCATCCCCATAACCATGGAGTTCCCACTGCAGTTCCTGCCAGAGAAAGTCACTAAACCTTTCCTGAAGCAGCTCCTGTTCTGTACTCATCTGTCTTCGGTAGTATGGGTTACTGTTTTTGTCTTTTCCTTTGGTATCCTTATCCTTCCGTCCTCCTTGTGACCCCATGTGGATCAGAGCCTGGAATATCTTGTAGAATTCCACACGATCTTTTGGGCACTCCACATTTGCCATTGATTGCCTTCTGAAGTCACGCCCCCAGCTCATACCTAGAGCCATAGATCCGAATACCCCACTGCCACTTAATGTAAGAGGAGATGGTTTTCCCAGACCAGAAAATCGTCCAGAACTGTCAAGTGGTCGAGTAATTGTTGAATACAGTGGAACTTCAGCAGTGTCTGTATTTAGCGCTGTTAAATCACTGGAAGTTCTTTTTAAAGTTCGATCATAGGCCCTTGTTGTTGTCAGAACCTTCTTTTTAGATTCTCGACTATCTTTTTTTTTCTTTTCTTTCTCATTCTCAGGAACATCTCTTTCAAGATTATCATCCGAGTCTACACCACTGAGCATTGAGAACATTTGATCTCCGCCATATCTTTCCTTTATCACATTCACAGGGCCACGTCCCAGAGTTTTCCTCCTCATCTCAATCTTTTCCCTATGTTCTTTCTGTGACACCCGAAGTGTATTAGATTGATGCTTACTTTTTTCTCGTTTCATACGCCTTTGATCTGTAGGGGGTGTTATACTGTATTTCATTGCATAAAACTTTGGATCATTGTCTGGATCTAATGATACACAGGGTGAATCCTCGTCAAATTCATCATCACTGCCATCAGCATCATTTTCCTCAACTGACATCGGACTGAAATCAAAGAAGATATAACAATTTTACCATGTACACATAGTAAAAATCGCCAGCAAACAATACCAGTAATTTTCACAAATAAATTTGCTTCCAGAACATGCAAACAAGGAGAATAAATTTAAAATATTTGAGTCTCAAGAGAATGGCTTGACCATGTAGACAAATACAGCATATCACCTCTTTTACAAATTATTTATTCTGATTAATTTGTCAATAGTTTAATTATTGACATATTGTTTATTCACATAAAATGCAAAAACTATTGAGGACGAATATAATTTTGAATTACATTGTCTACTATATGACAAATTGAGACGTGAATGTGCACTTAAAAGTATGTGAATGCAAGATCCATGCTTTCAACACATCATGATGAAAAACTAAGAAATATTGGTAAAGATGTTCACCTAGCTTTTAAAGCGAGGCTAGATTTCATTGTATGCATATGGGATCACAGGATGAGAGTTATTAAGGAAGTCACAGATATATGGTATTTGTATATTGTACATTATAATATGATACATCTGCAGTCTGTTCAGTATTGCTGTTATACAACTGTAACTTAATATGTACTGTACAAACTGTATAGTATTATTGGCTGTTGGCCTTGATATACTCAAATTTACTACAGTGTAGAGTGCTGGACTAAAGATTGATGAAATTATATATATGGTAATTACGAGCTTGCTATTATATCAAGCATTATCAAGGAAAATCATTTAAGATTTAAACAAGTTCAAGTTCAAAGTTCAAATATCTAAACATTGCTTTGAGTTATGTGAGTCCCTGTAATGTATTTGCCTTAATTTAATGTGGGAATAGCACCCTCATGACCAGATGACCACTTACCTAATTGAAAACTTGGTACTTCCTTGAAAAGAAAACATATGCAACAAACTATATTTAATGATTTTCAAAACTTTTTAAAATGAGGAAGGGCTCATATTGATTTGCCCCTACCACAAACCTTGACTGGTAACTTTCAAAATTTAATCTGATGTAAAACTGTTGAGGCTCTTGAGCTATCTTGCACACACGTTTTTACTATTGAAGGACAACAAAGCAATTATATTACTGCAGATTCAAATTCCAAATTTTAAAAATGTTTGTATATTTATTTCATTAGTAGGGCAATTGCATTATGTATTGAAACATTAAATCATTCAAATCAATTTTTCAAACCTTAACTGAAATTTTGTTATGATAGGGTTTTTGACACTGACATTATAGTCCTTTAGTCCTATTCCTTTGTTATCATTATACTGAAATAAGAATATCCCCTGGGTGCATATATAATTCCACCAGCCCAACCCCCAGGACTAGGAGATGTTGTGTAAGGGCTAGTTAAAATGTTTAATATTTTACCATGAAATAAATTAAGTATAAGGAACAAGCAGTTAGCCAAGTAAAATTCTCCAAATTCAACTATCGTGTACCTATGAAATGGTACACCCATTTTGAATGTTTTGTCACACATATTTTGAGTCAAATGAATGGACTGGCAATGACATAAATGGGTGAAAATGAAGAAAAACTATTCAACTAAAATTTGTTCTAGAAATAAGTGGAATAAAAAATACTTTTGACTTTTAAACAATCTTTTGACAGTTAAAAAAAAATCACAAAAATTTAATCAGTCCACTAAGAATGTGTGTCATCACTTGACATCAACTTACTGCAACTTATGAAAAGAAATTTTGAAAGATTATCCTTAAACTCTGATACTGTTTCAAACCTGACAAATTCATTTTTTTTTACCTTATAGTAATTTTCACCTCTCACCTATTCATATATCAGATTTTACATCTAGCCTATCCGATTTCAATTTAAGTATGAGACCCAAAGAATAAGACATTTCAGAAACACTCGTTGCCAAGAAATTTGTGCGAGTAAAAATAAACAGTAGCAAGTCACATAACTAGCACGGTCAACCCCGTCGTTGATAATGCAAAAAAAAATATTTCTGGCAGAAGTCCATCCTAAGAAGAAAATTACATCTTGAAAGAGCATTCCATGATAACACTTTCCCTATTAGAGATACTGAAAATCGTACGTGAAACCAGCGTATAACCTGGCAAAATCGACTTCAGAGTAGATGCATGCTTCCTTCAATCCAATGCTACTGTACTCGTACTGTCCAAGGACAGACTGCCATTTTTTTGCAGACGGGCACCATCAAAAATCGTATGCATAATTAAAAATGCATACTTATTGCACAATCAGTCCCGATGCAATGTTTGCACAGAAAACTTATGTATATGTTACCGGAGTTTTACTCACAAATCATCTTGCAATGGGTTGTAATCTTCTACTGGCGAGACGGACACAAGGCCCTCCCTGTGTGGGTCCGCCATAGCTATTTGAAGTCACGCGATTTCACGTTCAAGAAACGTGATTACGATGCAGATTTATTTACCTTCAGGTAAATAAAAATAAACATATTTTTAACCGTGTTTGTCTAGTCAATACCTTCAGAACAAAATATCATTACCGTCAATATAGGAAATTGGTAAAATGCATAATGAAGAGAAAGTTAAATTTTCCTAGCAAATCTACAATCTACCCACTGTTAACTCCGTAGTCTATCGACCTTAGCGGGAGTATTTTAAAGGAAGCATGGTTAGCTTCCGTCTGACCATATTCCCATTTATAACAAATTAATACACTCTTACACATCAACTCAGAAGAGGTGATTAGGGCCAGTAAATGCATTTATCAACAAAACTCTTTCTTAGTCATTGTATTCAATAATATTCATCACTTGGATCAAAGTTTTACTTATTCACAATATACAAGTTTATTATACATTAAAAATAAAATAAAATTTATCACATTACCCATTTTAGTTTTAATGTAAATACCTTCCCTAGTCAACCTAAAGTAGCACAGGTTGTACCAATCTTTAAGAAGAAGGATGCTTTGGACAAGCAAAACTACAGGCCTGTTAGCATTCTACCAAGTGTCTCCAAACTCTCAGAAAGAGCTATGTGATCAGCTCAGAGAATATTTTAATGGTATTTTCATTTCTTCTTAGCAGCCTTCAGACCAGGATTAGGATGCCAAACTACCCTGTTAAGATGAACTACAAACTGATATCAATAACATCGTCCAATGGACATCAGATTGGAAAATGACATTAAATACCAAAAAATGTAAACATCTAAATACTGGTAACCTAAAACAAGATTCTACATATTACTTCCCCTCAGGTGAACAGTTTGAGAAAATTACTAAGGAGAGAGACCTAGGTGTAACAATTGACAACAAACTGAAATTTAACCACCGTGAGTCAATCTGTTAACAAAGCAAATCGCACACTAAGACTAATCTTTACTTACATGGACAAAACTATGTTTCTTACACTTTACACGAGTCTCATTAGGCCAAACTTAGAATATGCTACCCAGGTCTGGTCCCCTTTTCTGAAAAAGGACCAAATAGTCTTAGAAACCAAAAGAATTCAATCTCTAAAAAAACGAAGACTAGGCCTACATGTACCTACACTGGAATACAGAAGAAAACGCAATGATTTAGTAGAGGTTTATAAAATAATCAACAACATTGATATACTTGATAAAGATAAATTATTCACCTTTACACAAACAACAACGAAGGGGAAACAACAAAAAACAGAGCAGGACCAGGGTCACTGAAAAAGTTTTTAGTAGAAGAGTGGTGGATTCTTGAAACTCAGTAGTAGAAGCCCCATCTCTAAACTGTTTAAAATCTCGCTTAAACACCCTTTGGAAAAATATATCGTCCAAGTTTTATCCCAGTTTTTATGTTACACAACCGGGAAACAGTATGTTACCGAACCAAGATGCGCCTATATTAGCTACTTCAAGCTAACAACGGTGTCGACGAAGAGGTAAACAGGTAAACGGGTAAGATTAGTTGAGAACTGGCGCAGGGCCTTGGACAACCGTACGTGAGTATGTCGCGGCCATCCTCATGGATCTTTCGAAGGCTTTTGACTGCCTTCCTCATGACCTGTTGCTCAGTAAGTTGGATGTTTATGGTCTCAGTTCTGGCTCAGTGGACCTGGTATCTAGCTATCTGGGTAACAGATTACAACAGGTCAAGTAGGGCTCCAAAAGCGGCGACTGGTTAGAAGTGCTCAAGGGAGTTCCTCAGGGCTCAATAATGGGGCCTCTTCTTTTTTATATCTTTATTAATTATATGTTCTTATATGTCAAATCATCCAAACTCTATGTGAGAAAGATGGAAAAGATTCAGGAGCGTGTACTGAGATTCGTGAAGAGTGATTATGTCTCATCTTTTAGTCAGCTTTTACTGTAAAAATCAACTTATACTACTCTTTTACATGTTAAGAGGGTAAAATATATGGGCTGTGAAGTTTTTAAAATGCTACACAAGATTTCTCCTGATTATAAATCTGCTTATGACTTCAGAAGGGACTTCACAGTCAGAATCCCATCAGTAAAAACTACAAGGTATGGGCAGAAATCCTTCTCGTTTGAGGCGGCCCGGGTGTGGAACAGTCTTCAAAACGAATTCGGAGATGTGTATACTTCCCAGAATTCCGGAGGCTTGTCTCCACACCTGGGATGGTCCCATCTGTACATGAAAGATTATTTTTTTGGCTCTTATTTTTCGTTTTATTGCTCCAGAAATAGTTGTCATATATAAGTTTTAGTTCTTACTGCTGCTTTCTTTCTTTTGTGTAATTTTTCTTTTTGTTCTGTAAATACCTAATTATTGTTTCATAAATGTTTGTATCGTTGTTTTAGATTATGCCATATTAGCATGTATTCTGTCAATTTTTAGTTTTTACCATATTGGCATATATACGTACATTAGACTGAAACGTCTCTTAAATTAATTTATACGCTGCATGAGCTTTATTTTTGCATGACCTTTAATCTCCGTGCTATTTTACTTTTCATTCAACTATCTGTGATGCTAGTTCGTTAATCGACGGCAGACCGATATGAAAAAAGTCGATAAAACGTCAGAATAATTCGGACTACTGTGATGCATGCTACCTTTGTGATATTTTATTGTTTCTATTCAGAATAGCTCTTCTGAGCTAAAGTTGCATTGTTACAAACACGACTCTAAATAAAAATTCTTGTATCTTGTGTCACTGTAAAACTTTGATATTATTACTCATTATAGTCACACAAAATTAGACGTTTCTGTTTATTCACGGAATAAGATTATGTTCGTGCATGGTTTGTTACAAGATCAAGTTATCAACTCCAAATTCACAATTCTTGTCAACATTACCAGTACCAGACCACCAAATGTAGAAATAGTCTAGACGACTACATTTAGATTTACTTAAATTTTGAAAGTTTTTTGCGGAATTGCAATTTCCGCCACAATAAACGGAAGCAAGTAACAATTTACACTGGCTCATGAAATATACTTGAGGTACTTAGAATTTTTAGAATCAAAATTCCCTGTCGGAAATTAAGCTGCATCCTACTAGAATTCTACTAAGAATTGAAAGGGTACTATAAAGCTATAGTATATGTCCACGCTTAGAGAGGTATGCACAGGAATGCACGCTGAGGCGAAAAGTCTTCTTTACGCCAGATATATTCTCTTTTACCTGTAAAAATTCTAACAATCGATATATAATATATACGTGACCGCGCAACAGTACCTATCTGTGATGTTTTCTTTTATTTTCATTTGCCGATCAGCTGTACGAATACATTTTGAACGTGATAAATAGGTTTTAAAAAGGTGAGGAATGAAGTGGTTATTTACTGTACTAAATGCAGATCGCAGTTTATACAGGTGAGTGTGTATGAATTACCCCCTGGTTGATTGTGTCTATAATTATATTCATATTTCCAGATGATAAGAAAGGGATTAATTTGCGGACAGGGTTTTTTCTTACATTAATATGTAATATTTTGTTTTTTTTATGTTTGCTTCTAAATTCAGAATATGTTTGCTTCTTAATTTGTTAAATTGGAAAAGGACAGAAGAAAATTCTGGCTATTCCTTAGTGGCGACACCAGGAATTTTGAAAAGAGGAAAGAGCCACGAGGATAAAGTTTTGTATATGCATAGTAGGGGTGAAGCCCCTCTAGGTGGGTTCTACCAAACTACCATTAGAGATTAATAGAATCTCCAGCCCCCTTGTAGGTGAGATTAATAGAATCCATCCCTGATGTGAGCTATGGATAAGGTTATTCAAACACAAGGGATACAGTATTGAGCAGGAAACCCGAGGCTTTGCCGAGGGTCTTTTGCTCAATATTTTATCCCGAGGGTTTGAATTACCTTATCTTTACCACACATCAGGGATTGATTCTATTTCTTGCTTTTTACCTAAAACCCGTAAAAACAGCTGCTCTTTCTCATTTTACATATGCAGCACGGATGGCTATTGCTTGTGACGTCAATGACCCTGACTGACCCCAAAACGTCATGTTTGACGTCACGAACAATAGCGTGACCCCGAAAGGTCACTATAATTCCCCCGCCAGCCTGCGCGTGTAAGCGATCCAGACCCGTGGGTCGGATAGAATTTTCTCCCACACCTGACAGATTTATCTCCCGTTTTGCCGGTGCTAGATTTATCTGTCTCCGCCCTAGGGTTGAGACGGGGGGATTCCCCTATTCATAAAAATGGCATGACGTCACTTCAACAATACAATGACGGCACGTCGACAATCAATCAACGTCACGTCAACCCTGAATTTAGCATGTAACGTTATCATTACATTGTGCATATGATACACAATGAAAGAACAGGGTAATAGAAAAGGGTAAGAGGAATCTCAACCCTCGGGGAAAGATTCTTTAGTTGCCAAACACTCGGCAAAGCCTCGTATTTGGCAACTTAAGAATCCTCCCCCTCGGATTGAGATTCTCCTATCTCACCCCAAGGGGGTGAAAAATCTATTAGTTTCACTCCCAAGGGGGTGAATGATTATTTTTCTATTACCCTGTTAACCCTCTTATGTATTTTATATAGACGTTACATCAATGCAAGATAATGTTGATGTGATGCGGCTGACTTGTCGACGTGACGTCATTGTATTGTTGCCGTGACGTCATGGTATTGTTGCTTTGACGTCATACAATTGTTGAGAACGTGCAAAGAACACATGTGGCTTGTCTCAAACCCTCAAGATAAGAAAATCTCACACCGGTAAAATGGTGGATATCCCTGTCCAGGTCTCTTTTCCTGGACAGGTGTATCCGCACTTTTACCGGTGTGCTATTTCCTTTTCTTGCATACTAGACCGAGATGTCCTCATATCCGGCGGTGCTGGAAAATTCCATCCTACCCACGGGTCTGGATCGCTTACACGCGCAGGCTTGCGGGGGAATTATAGTGACCTTTCGGGGTCACGCTCTTGTTCGTAACATCATGTTATGACGTTTTTGGGTCAGTCAGGGTCATTGACGTCATTAAAAATTGCCATCCGGGCTTCATATGCAATTGATAAATGTAAGGACAGTTTACAACTTAACTAGAAAAGCTGCTGTTTATACAGGTTTTAGGTAATAAGCAAGAAATAGAATCCATCCCTGATGTCAGATACGGATAATGTAATTCAATTTCAAACCTTTATCCTTTACCTTAATTATCAATACCTTTCACCAGGGATGGATTCTATTAATCTCACACCGGTAAAAGCGTGGATACACCCGTCCAGGGTGAGAGAATCACCTATCTCACCAACAAGGGGTGAGCGATTCTATTAATCGATCAAATATACTGGTGTTCAGATTTTATTTGGGAGCACTCACATTATTTGTTACAGACTGGAATATACGATCAGGAGCATATATGATGGATGTTTGCAGGCCTCAATAGAAAATATCATAATGCATTTTTTATAGACTTTGGGTTGCACATTGATAGGATGATCAAACATTTGGATGGTCGAGAAAATATGAGATGATAACATACGGGCGGTCAACAATATATTGAATGTACAGATGATGGGAAATAGATGGAAGGGTCACTTACAGTTGGTAAAAACTGTATGTTATATACGGACAGTGGGTGATAGTTGAGATGAGTAAATATCTGGGTCGAGTACCATACAGACGGTCAGATATATCAGGGGTGAGTACGGTATGTGATATCTGGTTGAGTACCATACTCGTGAACGGTCGGAGATATCTGGGTGAGTACCATACTCGTAAACGATCGGAGATATCTGGGTGAGTACCCGGCATTCTCACTTATCATGCGCCATTAACCGAAAAACACTCGCATGATCATTTCACCGCCTATAATATAGCCTAAACGTCAAAACTGTAGTTCACTGTTTCAACATTGATATGTTTTACAGAAACAAACAAAAGTTTTAATGAAAACGTACGGTATTTTTTTCATAAAGTGTATTATTCCTTTAATCACCAAATAAGAGACATTCCAAGTACATTATTCAGTCTATTAATCATTTCATACCACGTCATTAATTCTTGACAAAAAATAACTACAATTAACTTGAAAACTTAAAACTTAATAAAAGTATATTTTTCAATTTAAAGACTGAATTAGTTTCTTTGCAATGTCATTGTACCATGGCTCCAGCTTTCCGGTCAGCACACCAAAAATAAGGCAAATGCACAATGAAGTGCACAATGTAGTGCACATGCCATTAAGAAAAAGCTGACTTCGGCTGGATATGCAGTAGACTAAAAAGACAGAAATCGTTAATATATCACAGAGATCTACTATTTAAAATTAGAAGTTTGGAACTCATATTATCTTGAAGCTTGTTGTTGTGGCACGAACTGAACTACGACAGAAATAATTAAGCCTTAAAATATTGAGTCAGTGGCGGACCCAGGGGTGTTGCCCTAGCAAAAAATAATCTGGACTTGGGTTTTTGAAGATTTTCCTCTTTTTCATATGGGATATTCTTCTAATATCAACCATCCAGTGAATTGATTTTCTATGGCAAGCAGCAGTTTGAATTTCTATGTATGCCTAAGTGTGCAGTTGTCCAAACAAGGAGCCACTATACTTATACTCAATATAACACTAGGGGATTAATCCTCTTTTGTTTATGTATTAGTAGGGTCTCCAGTCAGGTCAGTGGTGAAGGGTCACCGGACTGTCTACCTAATCGTATTGTTCTAATGTCACGGTGCGATGATCAGCCTCTACGTTGAGAGAGGATAAACCATCTGTTGGAATTAGGTATATATAGTTTAATTGTTATTTCAAAGGTAGAGTCCATTTCATGATAGATACACCTGTATTTTCACCTGTGGTTTCATGTACGCATGATCACCAGGAGTGATTTATTATACCTATTAAAACATGTAAATTTCAAAAATTTCAAAGACAATAAAGCATCAACCTTAGCATCACGTTATCACTGAGGTGAATAATAACCAATGTTAGCATAAACAGTCTGGCATGATATATATCCTTTTCAACAGGTGTTGCCCTTGTACATATGCATGCATACAAATTCACATTGAAAGACAAACAGTCAAATCATAATTCATATTTATGACAAAATAAATCAATATTTAATTGCCAAAATGCTCGCCGAAACTACATGCACATGAAAGGCATGACACAAACGTCAACATCAATTTTAACCAAAAACCAACATTTTTACCGTCGTTTCAGAGAATTTGTTCACACTCGCTCCGCTCAGCCATCATATAATATAGATAGTCTATGTTATAAAATATAACCTGGAACAATACCGCAAACTCAGAAAACTATTCTATGCCCGATTCGATCTGTTTGACAATGGAAATAATGTCCGATAAATTCTTGCTTTCTACGCTTGGCAGTGCTTGAACAATTAAGTTTAGTATTACATCTTCAGGAAAAAAAATCGCCTCACTCTGCTCGGCAGGGAATTATAATTGTAACAATCTCATAAATAATGAAGTTCTATATATTGTTTGGTGCCAGAAAGAATTTTGTATTAAAAATGAAGTAAGTATGTTTTGTTTGTCCTGGTAACAGATCTACAGAAAAAAAATGGATGTATAAAATAAATATTTAAATCTAGACAAGAGTTGCGTCCCATCTCAGACTTTCTGTAGCATGCCCGGATGTTCCCGCCATGTGCAAAGATTCAAAATGGCGGACACGAGGGCAACGTTCGTGTCTCACAAAATCAACAAAATCAGATGGAGACAGCAACAAAAGCAGTCTCTTCAAGAATCAGACGTTTTTGCAAGTGGAAGCTGGGATGATGAAGTAGGAATGCTAAACTAACATCCTAGTAATTCTATATTCCAGGCCGACATGCACATTTTGTTGACATGTCTTTAAACCGGTTTTCCATAAGGCTTCTTTCGTTTTCTCTGGTCTGCTTTACGTTTAGTGTTACCTACCACTTCATCCCAACAATTATGTAATTATTCTCTAAACGGAACACAATTTCTATTTTGTCGAATATTGAATTTGTTCCGCTAACTTCATATAACAATACTTTAGCCATACCGGTACATCTGTGAAAATGATCATTTCTGTGCGAATTATTATTGACTTTAACCACTTCTGATCGTCATGGTTAAGCTTAATTCTCGTAGGTTTTGACTATCTAGGTACAGTTTACACCACAAAGCTTCCAATGTAAAAACCTGATTATCATTGATATTTACTATACTACTAGTTTATATTTTTTTATTGTTTAGTTTACTTGTATTACTAGTTAACTAAACAATAAAAAAAAATATGTTGAGTACGATTTCTTTGAGGCACATTAATAAAACTTATAAACAATAAATATATTTATCATCGATTAATAATGAATATCTGTTGAGGGACACATGCATGACGTACCCCTACTTTGATTTTAAATAAGCCAATGTAGATTGTTAAGCAGGTGGAATGTTTTATCAGTATTTAAACTATTTAGCACAATATGTATACTGTGGTAAATTTTCTGTCATAATTCTAGATCTGTGATATATGACATTAAGTAGCAACCAGATTTCTAATGTTGTCCAAAATGTGTGATGTTTCCCCTATGGTTCGTACCAGTCACACAGGAGTACCCGGGGAGTATACCTACCCCAGCTGGGGTGTAACAATATTCTAGTAGAGATGCCAATATATACAGATACGTTAATCTAGCTCTGATACATTGCCTATATCCGAGCAATCACTGCTTGTGATCATGGACATCTGGTACTAATAAATATATACAAGGGATATATACAAAGCAGTATCAATTAACAGTAAATGCAAAATAACTATGTATAGAACAATTAAACACCAAATACTAATCTAACTGAGCGCTCCCACTAAAATATTTGAAGCACTGGCCCAAATGACATGTTGGTAGCCCAAATATTTTTTGGAAGGAATGTTTCCACAACATTTAACACAATGCTTCAGCACATTTAAAATAACATATAACATGACAATGTTTGTAATATATGTAAAACAGAATTAAACATTATATTTTTAATTCTTCAACCCTAGTTAAAACCTGACATAATCCACTCCATTCATGTCTTTAGTATACACAAAACTAAAAGAAGACATCCCTAGCCGTATTTTTACAGGGCGTAAAGAAGATCAAACTAAACTTGGACTCAAAAATCATCACATTTTTCTAATATTTATTATTTACCATTCGAAATAAACGATAATCACTTGCAGTTTGATTTGTATCAAAGTAATGACAACTAAAAAACGTACTGTTCCTCAGTTAATGTGAAAGGGACTATTATTTGTTTTATTCTCAGATTTTTCTATAGGCACAGAAACCAATTTGTTTGGGGCCAGTGACTACCTCACTTTTGATAACTTTTGGTCACACAAGCAAGACTTAAACAGGGCTCACATAAAGGAAAATTTCCTGGTGCCAAAGTTAGATTTTATGTTGCCAATTTTTGTCAGGCTCACAACTAGTTAACTAAACAATAGATAAATGACTTATCAAGAACTAATCCACTATATATTCATTCAGTTGCTTTTTTTGGTTTGTGTGTATACATATTATTAGCAGAATGCTACTTCAAGAGAAAAACAGATTAAGAAAACAAGTATTTTCCATGATCATTTTTTATTTATTCTTTCCCATCATTTTTAATACTTTTTTTATTCAATGTTTAATATCTATTCATCAATGCTAATAAGATCTTTAGACCAAACAATACTACATTCAATTTTCAATTCATTTTTACATTCTTTCATTAAATATGTATGCATCTTCTGGAAATAAATGCTACAATACTGTGTTATTATTTTGCTGAGCACCAAATTAAAGTCACTTATTGTCCAACAGTTTATATTAACTCAAAGCTTTGATGCACATGTCACAATATTGTTATCATCATCTCATTGGGATTTATATACCTTTACCATGCCTGTTAATTGTCCATTTTGGGTTAAATATCTGTTATATTTTGGTGGAGATGGTTTGAGGAAAAGATCATTGGGTGTCGATATCTAATTCGTCGGCTCAATTTCTAGTATGTAGTGGGTATGGAAAAACCGAACAAAGAGAGTTTAGTAATTTCCGATGCTAAAGAATCGCCGATCAATTTAAGTTTCGACATCTCGGCGATTTCCTCATTATTATGAAAATGGAGTTCCTTTATAGGCTCCTCCGTGGTGTTCCATGTAAATTCAGTTTTCTTTCTTTCTTCAAATCGCTAACACTAGTGGGCAAACATTTCCCCAGCTCACTTTCATGTTGATCTTGCGTCTAACACTACGTAAACGTTTTATAATCCCTTTTCAGTCAAATCAGTCTGTAGTTCTAACAATGCAGTATGGCTCTACATCACTTGTTGGTGAGTTGAAACAACGCGGTCCCTCGATCGCGACTGCAAATAATTTCATTTAAATTTTAGTAGAGCTATTGTTATTTGATAATCATGGATAGAGTGTTAGCTTATTACTGCATTGTAATTTGTAATAACTGTGGTGTTGAGAAGTGTCAATAATTTACACTGAATCATGGCGTATTGTCCGGAACTTGACAGCATCGTTGGTTAGGCCCTCCACTCAACTGACCTGTAAAAATTTTACCTGTCCCCAGCTAGTGTTTGTCACCAAATCAGCAGTCATGACCTCAAATGACCGATCTTAAGATTTTTAGAGTTGGTAAAAAATGTGTCGCCAAAAATTATTGCCAAACCTTGATTTTTTTGTCGTCAAATCTGAAAAATTGTGTTGCCATTTGGCGTCTTGGCAATCGTTAATGCAAGCCCTGCTTTAATCCCCGATGGCGAGTGGGCGACCATCCATTTCAGGTTCTGCCTGTAGCAATCTAACAAGCTCTCACAGTGCTGTCTTGATTTATCAATGTAGCGGACCCGAAGCAACACGATAGCTCCTCCTTGTAAGGTATGATACTTTCTATTGAGCGACTGTAATGGGTAACAGTTTGATTCAGACATACCCCATGCAGACATACCCCATGATTGAAAGCTCGCTCTCTAGTATACTTACAACTAACAAGTAATGGTCTGCTATTGTGTAGCTTCCGACACAGAAAGGCCTTGCCGACTGGCTGAAAGGCGATGCACACACGTTTTGACAGGCTTATATACCCATAAGCCAAGCCCTTACCTGTCAATCACCCAGAGATTGTCCGCTTCGCCTATGTGTTTTGACTGGGGCTAGTTCAAGGCCAGCTCTACTAACATCGAGAATGCACAGGAATACGGCGGTTTACAAATAAAAACAACTAGCTCAGTAGGTTTTCATCTCAAATGCTTGTTACTAAATATTATTGTAAAGTCAAGGTCCTTCTTTCTTCACAATTCCTTTAAATACATTGTATTGGCAGACCAGATTAACACAACCATTTTGGTATAAGCTATAGGCACACATACACAAAAACACAGATTTTTATTAAGACTTTAAAAAATCCTCTGCTGTCAGCTCTACACGGTTTAAACAAATTCTGACAGTGGCAATGGCAGTATAAAACTATAATATAATGCATGCTGTTTTTTCTGTTTTCATCCTCTAACATAAAGATAATAGTCATGTTTGTTTGAGGTCAATATCGAATATTATTTTCTTTCTGATATCCGTTAAATTTTCCTTTTAGCATTTCTGCAGTTTTTAATCAAGAAAAGAAAATAATTAAAATCTAAATTAAAATGTGGGGTTACCTGATTATCCCATTTCATATTTTGCAACATCTGATTATATCAAATAAACTTGACGAATACCTGAGATCATTTGACAAATATGCTGTAAATCATTTACTGAACCAAGTTGCACATTTGGTAGGTTGTTGACCTAGATGAAAGATACGAGAATTCTTTATAAATGTGATTTATTGTAATATAAATTTGTTGTAATATCAAATAAATTGTTACAAGATGTTTTTTTGCTAACAAATCTTTACAACAGCTGGTATAGCGGGATACAGAGTGCAACTCTGACATTTTCAATATTTTGTGTTTTTCTTTCTTGCAGCAAAATAAAGTGTGTCTGTGGAAAGTTGAGAGACAAAAGGTCCAGAGTGGGGAGATGGATGATGGAGGAGGGAAAGGCTATGTGGAGAGTGACCCAGTGACTTTGTGTGAGGCACCACATAGGGGAGATGTCACTGGATTAGAGGTCAGTGACTATCAAACAGCTGGTAATCCATGGGTTTGAAAATGATTTTGATTAAAATTTACTAAATATACAGGATTTTGCTTTCGTTCTAATTTGTTTACAGCTTCTTTCTTCAGTGCAGTCGAAGCGTTCTTATAGTAACATTTCTTTAGAAATTGGCTTACATTAGCAACAACTTAAATTTTTTGTATGTCTGATTTTCCTGTTCATGTTTGGGGAAAAAATATCCATTTGTATCCAATTTGATGACCACATGAGGTGACTAACCAATGTGGTGCTGTTTAATCCTTTCACCCCTATGTAACTTTAGTAGACTCGACCATGTATTAATTTGGAAGAGTCCATTATGGTCTACAGTGGTGAAAGGGTTAATGACCAGAGAAAGAATCAATCTGTTGCATACTCAAGACCTTGACTATTTTCTTTTCAACTATACACTGTTTTTGCAACAATTAATGGGGCTTTTGTTTAAACCAACATGATGTTCACTTAAATGTGAAACCCAGAAATTATTGAATGGCTTTTTTGAGATTATATGGCATGGCATCACCAGTGTGTATACTGAAAGAGTCTCGACACATACACTGAATTAGACAAAGAAAAGAAACAGCTGCGTGTTTAAATGCACATAATACTAGAAAAATAGAAAACATGAGGAGTATATGAGAAATACTTCTTTTTCAGACACAGTGTTGTTGGTTTTAGTAAATTTGTAAATATTTACTAGGAAAACAGAAGTTGGGTTAGTGGAATTATTTTTCAAAATTTGTCCTAAGGCTAGCTATAGCTATAATACTAAAATATGAAATTGTAGACCCAATGTTTGGCTATATGCATCTTTTGGATGTTTTATTCCCTGTAGGAAAATAATCATCAAAATGCTGAAAGTTTCAATATATTGTTATATACATGTTTGATATGATAAAGTTGCCTTTTTGTTCCAGTACATGGGTCAAGATCATATTGTTGCCTCTTCTTCGACAGGAACTATTACTATTTATAAACATCATACCAACTCACAGGTAAGTAGCTAAACATGATAATAGGCTTATCATTGTATAATATTTCAATGCAAGCATGTAATAAACTTCATGTTTAATGTTTTTAGGTACAATTGTATTCGCTTTAACCAAAAATCTTCTGAGGTTGATAAAGGTCAGTTCCACTTCTTGTTAAAATTGTTTTGGATGGCAAAATATTGGCGTAGACTAGCTGGTCAATATCAGTACTTAGACTTATCATTTTAGTTTGAAACTAAAAAAAATCTTTAAAAAATTTGCTATTTAATGTTTCCTTGGGAAACTTATGTCAAAATTCTAAGAGGCACAAAAATCTCCAGATTTAACTCTAGGTACTGTATTGTGTTTGTTTTCAGACCCTGGGTGTGTCCCAGCAGTGGGAAAAAGTTCATCATCACTATGGACAGATGTGTCCCTGTACATGTTTGGCTGTTCGCGATGACGTGATAGTGTCTTCAGGGGAGGATGGACGTGTCAATATAATACAAGTCGGACACAAAACGCCAAATAGAGTTATAGGTATAACAAATACAATTTTGAATCACATTTTCTGTGATAGTTAATTTGCAGATAAGTCTTGCTCACTGATTAGAGCTACATGTGTACATTTTCAATCTGTTAACAAATGTTGCTATCCCAGGTGTCCCAAGTGTGGGATTGGTGAGAAAAGAATGCACTAGCTGTATCAGGGATCAGTTTTTCCTCTGGCAAGAAACAAGCCTAAGTTCTAGGCCAATTACTTCTTAAATGCACCATCCTGAAAAACAAAAGCATATGTGAAGACCAGAAAATTTCTCGTTTTGGGTTCTGGACCAAAATATCTCCCTGTCTGGCAAGAAATTTCTTATCAGTAATCATATTTATCTGAATTTTTTTCTTTAGCATGTTGTAGCAATCATGATGGATGTTTGCTCCTGTCTGTTTACATTGCTTGTCTGTATGCTAACTTCATAGCCCAGATCCGGTATGCTAGTTGCAAAGAGAAGAAGAACACCCATGTGAATGGGCATATGTAGGATAACGTCATGGTCATTGTAACTGAATAGAGATTTTTTACCGAACAAATAACCTTTCAAGGTGCTAACTCCAGAACAAATAGTTACAAAAAGCTCAAACTAAGTATGTGGGTTGCCCTTAGAAAGAGAAAGAACCCTATTGATTTTGGTTGCAGTGCATCAAATGTCAAGGTCTCTATTACTAAAAATATTATTTGTTGTCTAAATCTTCAGAACAGATGATCAGTACAATAAAACAAAGCTTAGACTAGGTAGTTAGACTGCTGGGGAAAACCCCTTTTCGTATTAAATTTTGCGTAACGGATTATATGTTCTGATGCTTATTTTAGTAGGAATAACAGCACAAAGCTAAAACATGGTGTGTCAGTTCCTCTAAAGAAGAAGCAGAAACCTTATTAATTACGGGTGTGATTCATCAAACTTGGTTCGACATCACTTAGATAATACAATTTTCATGTCTGTATCCTATCTTCAAAACAATTTATCTTTCACGCCATTAACCTCAGCATTGGTGTTTGGATAGAGACATAGGGATAAATTCCACAGCTCAAAGTAGGTTACTGTACATGAGAGGACAAATACTTCACATTTTTTGTGTAGTATATATTTTCAAAGCTCAAAAGTAAACTTAAGTGATAATATAATTGTTTTAAACCTAACTTCCTGGTTACAATTTCCAACTGTAAGAGTTGTAAACATTTTGCAAGCACATCCTCTTCCTAATTGAAAATATGTATGTATCAATGGCAATGTAATTCCAGGTTTCTTTTTTTGTGGGAAGGGGTATTTCTATCTTGTATTCTTGGCACCCATATGGTTTCCTTATTTTCTGTAGCACACCCTGGTAATGCCATGTATGACTTATTTCAATGATTACTTATTGAAATAAATGAGGCTATTGCTCCTGTTGGATAAAGTCTTCATTATTGTTATATGGGGATATTTAATTTCAATTTCATTAAATTCTGAAATAATTAAGGTTTAACTTGAATACATTTTTGTGTTATGGAGATATAACACACAAAAACAGAGTGTACTCTAAATGAACCGAAGCGGTTTATGATGAGAGTACACTCCGTTTTTTTGTGTTATAGCTTCATAACATGAAAAATATATTTCAAGTTAATCCTTATAATTCAATCTACTTTACACTATCCCTGTGGAAATCCACTTTTATTTATGGACTCTTTTCTCTTAGAAATTATTGCGCTGCTGTAACAGCCAATCAAAAGCAACGTTACGAATGGCGACATCATCTTTTACGTTATGGGCTGTTAACATAAAATTTTAAGCCAATGAAAATGCTTTTTTTAAATAGTACAGATTGTTATGTTGTGTGGCCTTTGTTGCTTACAGATAAAGCAGATAGCAGTACTGTCAATAGTATAACCTTCCTAAAGCAGACAGAATTTGTCACTGTCAATTCTACAGGACAGCTCAAGATATTTGATCTTAGGACAAATTCAGATGAACCAACTCAAACACTTTCTGTGTAAGTAAAAATGATCAAGTTGTTTAAAGAGCTAGGAAATTTCTACAAAGGGATCCACATTTCCCACATCCTGGAAACTTTTGATATGAACTGCTCTTTATTAAATTTGTCGAGACCAACTCAATTCCTCACCCCATGAAATCAACAAAAGCAAGAGTCAATCCTTAAATGAATATACAACTAAGTTGCTTCCAAACTTGATAATAGTATGTTGCTGTAACTATTGAGAAATGTGTGAAGTGAATTTCTAGTTTCAGACTCAGTGTAATTGTTATTTGTCTTTGTTTACATATTATGTACTGATGTTTCCTTTTTGTCAAGAAAAAAGTGGATAGTTGCATAAAGCTAATTTAAAAACTCCCGACAATAAAATGTATATTCATAACTTTGCATCATCCTATTTTCTCGTCTGCAAAAACATGTTTTTAATGTTCACTAAATTAGTAATCTTTGTTACAGAACGGGAGAGTTAACCCCTCTCCAGTGTATAGACAAACATCCCAGTCAGGCACACATTGTTGCAACAGGTGGACAAGATGGTGTCCTTGGAATGTGGGACTTACGACATGACAAGTTCCCTGTCTCCCTAATGGAGGCACACTCTGGGACAGGTACTGATGCACAATATGCATAACATATCTTCTTTGTGTTAGTAAAATCATCAAATGAGTTTAAAAGTAAATTGTAACTTAGATATCTGAAATCTGAACTGAAATATTTCAGAAAATGATATATAGACTTTTCAAGAAATAAATCTAAAATTTTCAGGACAAAATGAAGTTTGACTGCAATATCTTAAAATACAGCTAAATACTTTGATTGATTTGTTTAAAAAGCAGTGTATTTCGCCTGACTCTAGTTGATGAGGCAGTTTGGCTTAACAATAAATACATTATTCCTGGATACTTTATGGCTTTATAAATTGATCTATTAAAGTTAAACATTCAAAAACATCTTTTCTACTTGAGCTATTTAAAACTTCAATGGTCGGGGGTTGAAGTATGCCTGTGGCTTCAAGGTCTAGCTTGAAATTAGTGTGAAGCTTTACCAAAATTCTATGGGCAAACATTAATATTAACAACTTGATAATTGTGGTTCCAGTGTGGGAGGTGAGGTTCCACCCCACAGCACCCGACCACCTATTTACCTGCTCTGAGGATGGCTGTGTTTGGCACTGGGATGGCTCACAGGTCAATGCCACACCTGTCGGCATGGTGACGGGCATCAACCAGATAACAGGTACAGGTATGTTGTATCTCCTTTACCAGAAGGTGTCTCGTAAATCAGAAATATTTGGTCGAAGATTGATTGCGAAATCATTATGAAAAAAGGGAGAAAATACCAATTGGTTGGGTTAATTCAGATTTTCAGGCTGTTACAACCTTTTCATGCTTACATTGGATAGCTGATGGGATGTCTGAAGATTGATTTTTTACACCATCTCATTTGAAAAGTAAGGAATAGACTTCATAAAATTCTCACCATTTCCATATGATCAAGGTAGAAATAATGGTGAACTAATTCTGACTTGTCATTCTAATGATATTACTGTATAAACTTCATCTGTTAAATATATATTTGCTCTTGTTTTAATTTTGCACTTTAGATGTTATTATTTATAAAGTATTAATTGAATGCTGTTTACTAATATTAACTGTCCAGTGACATGATAGAATCACACTCAGTCCAGCGGGAAAAAAAAGATGAAAATGGAACTGTGGTACATTTCCTGGTATACTGTAATAACAAACATTTAAATTTCTCAACACTTAAAAGAATGCTGTCTGATATTGGAGTTAAATTTCAGATAAAGTTTTTCAACTTTTTGTTAATTTTCCATTTCATGATATAGTTGTAGATCTGTGAAAGATTTTATTTGTAAATAAAATCAGTACCAAATTTCCTCTTTGTTAAAAAATATTTTGTTATGGTTAAAGCAGTTATCATTTTGTGCTCAGGTGCAGGATCCGGGGGAGGTAATCTATCAACGCCCAGACAGTTCCAGTATGGTGGTAGTGCGGTTGCCACTGGTCTTACAAATCCCTGGCTGGCCACTGACATTGCTAAAAACAAAATTGAGATCACCTCATTACTTGATCAAAAATCACTGCCTATAAACACTTTAGATGTGGCTGGACACACTCTGCTCTGTGGCACGGATGGAGAGACAATATTTACAATGAATCTTGGCAGTCTTCGGTAACCTCGCGCGTGCTGTGTTTATAGTCCAGATAGGTTGATTCATTTGAGAAATTCCGGTGCAGGAGATATGAATGAAGCTGATAGATACATAAATGAGGAATTCAGGCATGGAAGAGGTGAAAGGTCAATATGGAAAACGGAACAGGTACCGCAGGTACCACAAGAATTCCGTTAGGTGCCAGTCTTTGTTTGATGCAAATCTGTTGGAGCTTAGTGTTGATGTTATTTCTTTTCCGAGGATCAGACATTGGTGCAGTCTTATCATTCCCTCAGCATTATTAAATTTCATTTGGGTTGTGATTCTTTATAATTCTTTTTTTTTAAATCCCACTAGCCCAACCCTTGGAGCTATCGAAGGTCAAGATCAGCACATTTATGATACTAACTTGCCACTTTGTATATATTCATACAACAAAAGCCAAATTCTTTTGTAATTTAAGAGGAGATACTTGCAGTAGTCAGCTATCAGCAGGGCCCAGTGCTATACAAGCCTGATTAAGATAGTAATTATTTGTTTGATGGTTAATTCTATCTAATTTAACTCGCATCCTAATTTAAATACTATAACACTTTAAATTTAGAATATTGTGATCAACATTGACTGGATGTTACCAGCTGTCTGATTAGGTTCAGTAACATGATCACCTCTACTTTCGTTTTTCACTACAGTATAAGAGTGTGTTCTGCGTTGAGCATGATAACCTAGGATCTTCCATGTGTCACAATACATGTACAAGTTAAATAGATGTACAATTTTGGGTCTACTGCTTACCTAGTAGTATTCAACACCCCTGTTTTGTTTTATTAGAAATTGTTCCTTCAAGACAAACACTTTTCTTGCATCCTGTTTATTCCACCTCGTAATATTGCTTTAATGAGTTGATTGAAACTAGTCACGGCGATGTTGATTAAAGCTTTCAGAGCAGGTAACGTTTGGTTGTTCTCCTGGTTTTCCAATCAAATGTCAATTATTTCTGTATCAAATTTAAAATAATGAATAGAAAAACACAATTGATTCCATATAAATATGTGATATTCATGAGTTGTCATTTCACCTACTTTTTGAAACATTGGTTTCCAAGGACCTCAAATTCTGATGTCTAATTGTAGTGTTTTACTTTACTTTGTTACTAAATAGTTATGTGCAATATTATATATGTTAGTAGTACCAATCACCTGTAATCATTTACTGGTGTAAAGCAAGTGCTTATTTAGTAGAATTCTTTAAGGCTCGGCTGTAATAAAACTGAAGGATGAAATTGAGGACAAATCTGAAGTACTTGCTATAATAGGCATAATAGTCATAAAAATCATATTTTCACTTCTTTTTTTTTACATCATCTTTGATGCTAGCTATCAATGGTAAACAACAAAATATATATGATCAATAATTACTGGACAATCAAAACATTTCTAGTGTTTAATATTTACTCAGATCGTTCCTGGGTTCTTTATTAAATGTCATATATTATCCTGGTGAAAATGGGACTTATAAGCAATATTTTGTTGCTGAAGAAAGGTTTTAAGTTAAGAGAAAAAAAGATTGTGATATATGAAACTGGTAGGAAAATACTTCGTTTAGGAACAATAATTCAGAAAGTTGGAAAGTATTGATTTTACTTGGAAATCAAATGCTTGTTAAATGTTCACTAAGATTGTTCACAAAATGTTTTGAGTGCATTATGGGTTTGATGTGGTAAATCAATACTATTATATAAAAAATATATTTAATATCTTTGTATGTGTTGGTTTTGATACTAAAGTATCATAGACAATTTAAAAAAGAAAAAATGAAAAAAATGAAAAATAATTTTGGTATGTAAAAAAGCAAATTGAACAAAACTGCTGCACAAACATAGACTCTTTAATACATTATCTTCAGTATACGAAATTATATATTGTATCCTAGCCCAATTTTCTATAAATAATGAAAGTATTGACACTTTACCAGCCTGCTATAAGGGATTATGACTTATTTTTAACATTTTCTACTGTTTAATAATGCAATTATAATTTTTTTTTAGATTGTATGCCATTTAAAAATTTCATTCTTTTTTTTCTTAATTGCATTAACTTGGATTGAGAAGCAGTGATCGCAAAAAAAAATGAAAATATATTGATTATAGTGGTGAATTAATAGTAGCTTAATACACATGTCAGTTAGTGACTTTTCATCAATGAAGAGTTTCATATTGTTTTAATATTTTTTCGATTGTTTAGTTTGTGGTTATATTTTAATGATTGGAATGTCTAAAGGTGTCTTACGAGACCTGTGCTCACCAGAATCAATATACAATAGCTTAATAGCATTGTCTTTACATTTGATAACATATAATATGTGTAACATTTAACTCATCATAATAAGATGAATTACTTCTTAAATAATTATGATTACAGTTTAAATCCACCAAGATCCTCTCTTTTGAAAAAAGTGTTTCCAGTTTAGAATGTTACAAAATTTCAAACAATGATTGTTAGAAAAACTATTGGTATCCATTCTTAAATATATGTATTGAATTTTGTATTAATTTGTTGTAAAATGGATTTGATCAGAAATTAAGCTTACAATCAAGAGATGTGTTAATGGTGTTTTCCATTGAACCAGTTATTGGGGATCAAGATGCTTGACTTGAAATGTGTCCTAGTAGAATTAAAACAACTAATAATTTATATGCATGCAACTGGATTACTTTAAACATGGACTGGTCATTACATTGTGTTGCTATGAAAGTTGTTTTTCTGTGTATGTTAAATAAAATATTTTTGTACTTTTCTGTGATGTAAAGAGAAACCTGGACTTGTGTGTAAGTGTATGAGTGTGTGAGAATTTGGAGTGTTTGTGTGTATGACATAAACATGGTTAAACTTACATTGTCAGATATAATTATTGTGTATGGGAAGTAAAGCTGTGCATCTACAACCGACAGTGACGTTGTGCTGTAAATACAAGCATTTGGAACTGTTCATGTTATATTTGTTGTCTTTCAATCTTTATTGACACATTGTATTGACTGTAAAGAAGGGTGAAGGTAAACAGCAGACTCTGTAAGTCTGTGTTGTCAATAAATCATCTGTTCTATTTGACAGCATAATATTAATAATCCCTTTAATAGTAAAATTTCAAACCACACCAATAAAGTTTCAAAAATTCAGAAAAGTGTCCCAGAGGGCCTGTATTGCTCACCCAGATCTTAAATGCCCAGCAACGTTATATATGGCTTTGATATGGAGATATAAACCATTTCATAATAATGGCCAATGATCAAGTCTCTAGGGGTTAGGCCTGACCCCAGGATCAATTCTTATATTATGACTTTATTTATGTCGTTATGTCCATCAATTGTATATGGTATTGGGGAGGGGATCTCAAACATTTCAAAGTTATGACCCAAGAATTTAGTCCCTAGGGGTGGGGCCAGACCCAAGAGTGAAATCTTATATCTTTGTAATGTTTGTCTTTTATAGTTATTATAGGGTGAGGATCTCAGCCATTTCATAATTAGCCCCCCCAGGAATTAAGTCTCTAGGGGTGAGGCCAGACCCCAGAGTCAATTTTAATATGATGGTGTTCATCATTTTGTGCCCATCAATTGTATATATATGATTTTTGGGTGAGGATCTCCACTGTTTCAAAGTTATGTTTATGTATTCATTTATATGTACTCGGCAAATCTTTATAGAAAGGGTATCTCTATAATGAATTAGTTAAAAGTTCTTTTTGACCCCACCCTTTATTTAGACAAAGGGTCAGCTCTTCAACTGGTACAATTTGTGTTCTTCCCTAGGGACCTTCGATGGAGGATATGATTATGGAAGAGACCAAAATTGATCTGCTACGCACACTTTAGTACTTTGAACCTTTAAGTTTAGTTTTTTTTATTGAGAAATAAGGAAGTGCAAAATTATATAAATCAAGAATATACAACACGATTTCGTAACAAGCTTAGATGTTATGTAATTTGTTTCCTGTCCATTTCAATTCTCTCTTGTGAATATACTTTCCCCTCGTTTCCTGTATGTTTTTTCTCTTTTGCATATACTTCTCTTTCTGGCGGTTTTTCCCTAGGCAACTGTCCTTCATTGGCTATTGCGAGGGCGTTAACAAAGTTTCAAATTATTTTTGTTCATGATAAATCACCTTCCCAAAAGCACAACCACAAAAAGAGATATTTTTTGTGAAAAATGTGTGGTCATTATTTATATTCGACACTCCAATAATGAAAATAGGAAATATCTCCAATGACAAACATACAATACCGATACGTATGAAAAATCCATGACAATGGATGTATGGGACATGCCCATGGTTTGTAAAATCTGAACGTGGAAAAACGACCGACACATGTCAGATTTTTGAACGTTCATTCTTCAAACAAGACAAAAACACAAATTCTGAATTAAAATTTATTTTTCCTTGAGTAAAGTATCATTAGGTTGATAACAAATTTGAATCATTATAAGCCTCCACGGAAATCAGGAATTTATAAGGCACAAAACAAACTACAATAATAATATACATGTATAATAATCAAATTGGGAAAAAAATGGATCACAATAATAGCAAATGATGAGTTGAACAGATGCAGTTTGGACCAATGTGACTTTTATTATATTAGACATGTGATGAACTCGGTAATTACAATCCTTCTCCTTGTTAAATAGATCTCTAGAGTTTTACCTGTACCACAGAGAATTCTGTTTCTTTTCTTGTTTTTGTTATCAAATTTGAAAGTATGCCTTATACTAGGTTCACACCTTTAATGCCTTAAATATCCAAAATATTGTAACTATGTATTGGAAAGTACATTACCTGGCAGGACTATATCTTTGTTAAATCGTATCTAAACAGAAAACAATACCTTATGGTATTTTTATGATTTAAAAAGAAATCAACTGTATTCAGTGTTAAGGTATATAATGGTCCTAGACCAGGATTAGAACCCTGGACCTCCAATCATTATACTGTAGCTCTAACCAACTGAGAGACCGGATTTGTGATTATAAACTTGCTGTGTCTACAAGAAGAAAACATTTTGAAGATTAAAGCTTATCTTGGTTAGGTTCAAGAATATAAAATAAATAATTACAATCATCAAACAAGAATTAAAGAAAAAAGGACTTTATTATAATTAAAAAATAAATGGTCATTAAAAATCAATTTACCACTTTAAATGTTGTGCCTTTTCCTATCAGTTACTGTATGATGCTTAATAGGGGCAGATGTTTTATTCTGCTTTATGTACAGCCTGAGAGTTATATGATCCCCATAAAGATGTTGGCCCCTAATCGAGTTATAGTACATGTATGCAGTTTGCAACAGGAACCAGAATCTTATTATATATCTGTAAATAACTATACTTTGTGACAGTTTATTATACTGATAGAAACTTTGGATGGTCAGGTGGTGCAGTGGATAGAGCACTTGCCTTTCCCCAAGGTGGCCGGGGTTCGATTCCCAAATCGGATGTGAAAAGGTATGGGTTCACCTGCCTGGCCACGTGGGTTTTCAGGGGTACTCTGGTTTCCTCCCACAATAAGACNCCCCCCCCAAGCTGAAATAACTTGTTTCATAAATGTTGTAAAATAAATAAAGTTTATATAACTTTGTAGAGATTATCAATCACCATTTATTAATAAAGACCTAAGACTGCAGGTTATTGTCTATTTTTGGAGCCCTTAAGCTTTTACATTTCAGTTGATTGTTCAAAACTTGTTTGATCCCGCAAAATATCCTGAATCAATTTTGAAGTTCTATCTAACATGGTGTATTTCTCTCACCAAAATAAATAGATAAATAAATTACAAGAAATTACAAGTTGTTATATATCTGTACCAAATTTACTGTGCTGATATAATAACCATTGTCTTAATTTAAAATCATATTCATAAGACAAGTAGGCCATACAATTGGAATGTCATCCGTCTGGAATAAATTCATTTTAAAATGAGGAGAGGGGGGTGGTCGAGCACATGCATGATTATGTATACATGTTTTAATATTATTAAATATTTTGTGAACAATAGTTTAAGCTTATTTAAGTATAGACAGTACCTACTTATATAAGACGTATACATGACTAACATTTTACTACATGTACATGCATCAGCACAGATATACTTTCACATAAAACACAAAATGGGTAAGATCTCATAAAATAACATACATGTACATTGTATATGAATTATATTTAAGTATTTATTACCAACAACAACACAAATTTAACCATGAATGATAGCATAGCATCAGTCTTTGCGCTGCTATCTAGTCTTGTGTTAGATTCACGTCATTGTAATGTTATTTATATCCCTGACCCTTACATTGAAGTAACAGGGTATACGTAATGTACTTGAATCAGTTTGCATGTCTGTCCATAGTTGTAAACATATTTTTTTCCTGACAACTATCAGAACCTTAATATCAAACTCTCCTGATGTATGTTGTCATCACACTCGGAAGTTTTGTACCTCAGCTTACTGTTTGATCCTATTATTTTTATGAGTTCTGGACCTTTTGTTATAAAATGATTAGCCACATTTTGTCCTACTACAGTAATCCTCGGTGTGAAACTATACCGACATGGGAGTTTATGGGGATTAAATCGGTATTACCCAATGGTTTACTGCTTTAGTTTTAAAACAACCCATGAACTTTCACAAATCAAACATGTTATTATTCGTAATATACTGTAGCCTTTGATTAAAACCTTTCAGAATCCATTTATCTGAGATGCTGTCATTGATGCACTTAGACTTATATATATATCCATGTAATCAAATTACAGACTGATAATAACCATCTGTTTATATCTGAAAGTGCTTATAGCGTAACATGGCAATGATCATAGGCTCAGAATATATCCACTAAATGAAACCTAGACATTCATTCACAGAAGAAAATATGAACATGTTCAACCAAAATTTCTCAGTTGTGATCCTGTTCTGGTAAAAAATGCTTGGAACAAAATATTTTTTAATTTTTCAGATGTGAACTTGTCATTTCAGCGTTTGTGGTGTCAATGTACTATTGAGGTGTTTCTCTGAGGCATGCTGTCAACAACATCACATCATCACATCATGTCATGTAAGAATGATGAAAACAATTTTGGAAGACGTCGCAGTTTATGCAATTTAGATAACTTTACATCTAGTTATGGAATTGTGTTACATATATAACTGTATTTGTTTGCGTTTCTGCTTCGAACACTACTAAGTACCAAGTGCCGGTGCGACAAAATATAATCAGCAGTCAAACGGAGATAATCCACCTGTTATCTTCAGTTTCAGTTGTATTTACAACCTTAAGGAATTTGTAAATCACCATTCACATATTTTGCCTTCAACACTCTTTGGAGTTAACGAACAATAGATAACATTAAACATACATTTGTGCATGTGTGTGAGGATGGAGAGGGTGGATAATGATTTAATTGTGACTGAAAGACCATTGTCAATAGCACAGGGAAGCAAGCATTTGATTTTAAGCAATAGAATAAAAATATTATTGCCATGAAACGATTTCTGATACAACAGGTAAGCATGTTAACAGAATATCAGCACCTTTCAGCATTTTACAATATGCAAATCAAAACCATTGTACAAATGAATAATTTCCCTTTCAGCATTTTACAATATGCAAATCAAAACCATTGTACAAATGAATAATTTCCCTTTCAGCATTTTACAATATGCAAATCAAAACCATTGTACAAATGAATAATTTCCCTTTCAGCATTTTACAATATGCAAATCAAAACCATTGTACAAATGAATAATTTCCCTTTCAGCATTTTACAATATGCAAATCAAAACCATTGTACAAATGAATAATTTCCCTTTCAGCATTTTACAATATGCAAATCAAAACCATTGTACAAATGAATAATTTCCCTTTCAGCATTTTACAATATGCAAATCAAAACCATTGTACAAATGAATAATTTCAAAACACCTGTTAAGCTAGACAGTAATACGTGTTGATGAACACAACACTGAAGACCAAAATAATTCATTACCAGCATTCAAAAGAGCTGAACAGAACATCAAAACAAATATGATGTACATGTAAAGGATTCAGATCATTAAACACTTATAATTACATAGATGATGGTTACCAATGTTGATTTTCTGGTTTTTGTTTTGGTTGTGACACATTTATTATTATAGATTGACGAAAGCAGAGGATACATAAGTTAATATAATAAGCCTACACAATACTGTTTTGGTTGATTCTGATTTCTCTATGTGAGGTGTGTACAGAGAAACCTGTCTACAATGAATACCATTACAACAGAATATTTTAATTGGAGCAGAGATGATTCTTGATTACATAGAAATTATCCAGTAAAACCAGTAAGTCGCTCTAGTTTATATAAGTTTCCAGATTAAACAGGCTTCAGTTAAGACAGGTTACACTTATTTCAAAATTCTGATTTATTGTATACCTATCATTATCTGGTATTATCTAACTGTCATTTATATAGACACATCATAACATATATTTTCTACTTAAATGATACTGTCTAGAAGCCACAAGTTATCTGATTGACAAACTTATTATTTCACAGATCATATGTAATGAAAGAATGGCTACAATATAGAAAATTGTTATAATCGCTGATTAGTTAATGTGATTGTCTAGCCTCTAACCCTGGGTTAATGTGATGTTAATACCATGATTGAGTAAAATGCAGTTGAAATAGGTTCATCTGCACATTGATAATGTAGACATCAAATTTAAAATACTAATAATAAGTAATATTTTCTGTTTAAAAATTCTTCCATTCATACACTTTCATCATTTAATTGAAGTGTTATTTCTTTGTGACCCAACATTTTATTTTCCTGTGGCTCATTAGATAAATAACATGATTAATTATGCTAGACCTCAACCCCCATATTTCCAATTCAAATGGCCGTCACGACACTCCTCTTCAAATATATTAATATCTCCGGAATTGAGCTATTCATTGGCTAGAGCTAGTACAATAATTATTTTCAAACATGTCTTGCATTATAAATACATAGAAGTACACACACAAACTGTAATGGTGATATGACATATATATAGATGTAAAATCTTGACTCGCAAACTGTATCTGTGATATGCATATATACATGTATATGGATTAATATATACTATTTGGACTACAATTAACAATATGCAAAAATATGCTTTATGCTGCAAATGCCAGAATCAATTTTTCCCGACTTCCAGTAAAATTGAGCAGAAAGATAAATTGTACAAAATTATTTAACATGTTACTATATGCAAAGCTTCCTAACATCAAGCTTCTTTTCTATCAAAACTTATGCAAAAATAGCTGTAAGAGAAAAATAACTCCTGGGGAAATATTTCTTCCTGAATGACATGCATACAAATTTTATTTTTTAGTTAATTAAACACCTTAACAACATATACAGTTATAACACTTCTGAAATCACCTTCACACACAATGGAATTTACCTGAAAGAGACAGATTACTCAGGTGAACCAGTTAATGCTGGATCTAGGAAATAGACTTAGGGCTGTAGGGTACCATACTATTGTGACATTCATCTATTTCTAAACAAAGTCTACAAAAAAAGTGGTATAATTTCAATTATGAATGGTATCTTGCACTTAATAATATTAAATGCATGTACCAATGGATGCACTGAAAACACAGGAATTCTGATTTATTGGTTACGCTAATAAATTGTAGTTATTATAATGGGAGATAACTCTATGAAAAAAGTATATGTATTAATTTTAATATATATAACCTTTACCTGAAGCACATACTTTTGAACATCTCTAATGGATGCACTGAAAACATATGAATTCTGATTTATTAGTTACGCTAATAAATTGAAAGTTACTATAATGGGAGATAACTCTATGAAAAAAGTATATGTATTAAGTTTAATATACATGTATATAACCTTTACCTGAAACACATACTTTTGAACATTTCTAAAGCTTACAATTCAAGTAAACACCCTGGTAAAGCAATGTAATACAAAGTATCAAAGAAATGAACACTTGATTAGCAAGAGGAACAAAAAATTAACCTATGAAAATGTTACAAATTATAAGTGGTAAATAAACAGAATTTTCTATTAAAAGTTTGATATGATTAAGGAAGAGAAAATAATCACAAACTAAAGCATACTAGTACATCTTAGTGGGTGAACACACCGCTCACAGTCACTCCACATGTGTTCCAAAATTTATGTCAGATCTCTACATGATAAGGACAATACATGTAAGGTATATATAAATAGTTATAAGTATATATATGGCAAATCATAGAAACAAAAGACACAAATGGCCTGTAGCATTGTGCCTATTCCTTGACAAAATTCTTAGTAATTTGTGACAGTAACTATTCACCGAATGGTAAATACTGATTAAGTTAGTCCTGGAACTCAAGTATACTGCACAATGTACGAAGCTATGAACTTTAATTGGTTATCTTTGACTAGTGTCATCATTGTGGTCAGAGGCAATATGTACACTGTATATCCATTATGAATAAAAATATGCAAAAAATAACATGCATGCGCATCACAAATCATTAAACAGAAAACTGCAAGATCCCATCTCACTGATGGTATCATTATTGAGCAAAGTTCAATAAGAACATTCCAAGTGTTAAAAAGTAGGTATGAACAATTGTTCTCTTCTCTTTTGAACAAATAAGACCTATAAATCTTCTAGAACATGTGATTTACCTTCTAACAATCAGCTTTTGATTGAACACCACAGAGCCCTCTATACAAAATATACACAGTTCAGTTTAGGTAACCTGGAGACAGCAATGATCCATTACATACACACTACAGTGGAGTATCTACATAACTGATCATAACACCCTATAGATAAGCGATCCACTGTATTATACTGGTTACAGTGACATTTACTTAGCTGATGAATCAGATTACATGGGTTTAAATGACATCGGGCAGGCTTAATTTCCTGAAAATGTTTGCATATATTTGATGTCAAGCTTGAATGAGATGACTTCATGTAATTAAAATCACAACTGCTAAACAGCTTCATGATCAATAAGTGAAGTTAGTTTAGGAGGGCAAATTGAGTTCTGGATAATTTCTTTTAAAATGGTCAAATTGCATTTTTTTTTTTTTTTAAATAGTGCAGTGAGAAGATATGCAGTTAATTGAAAGAGACAACTAATATCATAGTAACTTAGCAGAAGCTGTGTAAACCAGTTAATGGATTAGTTAGGTTTTCGTTTATACTCCTCCTTACGATAGTTACTATACATACTTCACATCTGAAATAAAACTGACCTGGAACATTCTGTAATCCTCTATAAATGATAACAAACAGTGGAAAGAAGACAGGTACATGTAATTAAATCACAATTTACTGCTAAACAGCTGCACGATCAATAGGTAAAACAGCTACACTATCAATAGGTAAAACAGCTACACGATCAATAGGCAAAACAGCCACACGATCAATAGGTAAAACGGCTACACTATCAATAGGTAAACAGCTACACGATCAATAGGTAAAACAGCTACTAGATCAATAGGCAAAACAGCCACACGATCAATAGGTAAAACAGCTACTAGATCAATAGGCAAAACAGCTACACGATCAATAGGTAAAACAGCTACACGATCAATAAGTAATGTTAGTTTAGCAGCTAACAATGTTTTCACAACCGAGGAATATTTACAATGTAACAAACACCCAACATGCTACAAATGAAGACATTGTTTCCAGTAACTTTGCTTTATTTGGGCAATAACAGCTAAATCTAGATCCTTGTAATACTAATATACAAACTTGATATGTATAGCACCCAGCACAAAATAAAGGATAGGATGCATTGCTAATCATTGAATAATGGACACATTTTGCTATTCTCATATGAGCACAATTTCAATAAATATAATTGTTCATGATCAACAACATCTATTTACTGTTAAGTATTTTTTGTTCTTCCCATCACTGAAAAAATGTCATTTTGATGTAATATTTTAAAAGAACTGCTAGATATTTCTCCACTCAAGAGCAAAATATTTCGACTGCATTGTAAAATGAATGTAACAAAGGATTTTGGATGGAATATTGTGATGAACATTTTAAACTCTATAAATGACAAGGCCTCAATATGTTGAAAAATTAATTTGCAAAGTAATGCAGAACATAGCGATCAAGCCCAGAGAAGTTTGATTTTTTTGTATAGAAACAACATACATCCAAAGCAGCTGGTATAAATTAATTTGCGATTAGCTGCTGTGGTGCCTGGCTTATCATACATTTATTTCATAATTGTGCAGGCAATAATCTGAATGCTCCACAAAGTGTTTGGACCAACCCAACCAAAAGTATCTGGTATACTGCCTGGTGCCTAAGAATGATGGTAACATTCTTTTTCATGGTCCAAACACCAAGGGGAGAATACTCCATTTTCACACTTTTTTCCTGCACACGCATGAAGTAAGTGTTTTACAACCTCATTTTTGACAATTCTGTATATGATTTTTTGACAATTCTATATCACAGCCTAAAGCAAACATCACATCCATATTCTTGAAATTCAAGTAATGATATCAAGCATTCTGATATTTTGACGTTGCTATCAGCGCCACTTCTCAATGTAATAACAGAACAATCATTGACAATGTAAACCAGACCTAAAGGTGATCTAGTTTGCCACTTTACGATTGATGTCTTACATAACGTTTGTGTCCATGATAATTCAAAAAGAACATCATCAACCTGCTGTATTTCCCAGCATGGGCAATAGTTCTCCCTAACCAGGCAATAGTCTTTGATCTATTGACTGGTCGGAATGAACTAGATGAAATACAGGAATAGTCAAAACTACTTTATATTAAAAAAAAAAAATACCATTAAATTACCATCAAAATACAAAGCATGTTTTACTGGACATTAAGTACATAATTTTAAAATCGATTGTCACTTGATGAGCAGGTGGGGGTACTAAAATAACCTTTACCTAATAGCTTATATATCAAAGATATTGGAGACCTCAAACAACATACATATATCAAACATATCCGAGACCTAGATCACCAGTACTCCAAATCTGAGTCGCCTTCGTCCAGGCTCTCTGAGTTGCTATCATTTGAGTTGTCACTGTCATCCCCTCCGAAGATTGTCTCTGGCTGTAATACCTTGTATGTAGAGAACTTACTTGCCATTCTGTGGAGTAAAAGCTCAATTTTGAAATTCACCCGAGAGTCTTGTGGCAAGTTTAAACGCATCACCAATGCCTGAAGTACAGCCTGGTTGAGGCCAAGAGTTACATATTCATCATAAACATCTGAGTGCTTCAGATCGGCGTTAGAATACCTGTTCTTCAGAGTCTCTGCTGGCATCAGTTTTCCAAGGGATGACGATCCCTCAAGGAAACAGCTGTGAAATATCTTACGAGCAGCAAGCTGCTGAAGTGTTGCTGTCGTCCTTCCAAACATCGAGTTGACAAGTTTATGACTGACTGATTTTAGATCAGAAAACTCAGGGAATTCATGCTCGATATAAAAAGTCATTTCCTCCACCATTTCCTTTGTGTTGAAGAAACCTAAACGAGTTGAAAATAAACAACTTAATCAAATTGCTACACTGTATTTAATTCTGAAATAGCTGAAATATTCATAGGATAAGCAAGAGGCCCAGAGGGCCTGTATTGCTCACCTGTTTCTTTTGTTAAATGAAACTGACATATAGGTAACTTCAGACCAAATCTAATAACAAGAACACAAGACATTTTAACATCTCTTAAACGGTTCTTAATAATGTTTAAAATTTGAAATTTTAATTTTAAAGATTTAACCCATGTTGACCTTTGACTCCGTCTAGCACTTAAAGTTGACCTTTGACCTCATTACTGTAATAAAGAAAACAATTCACACAGCTGGTCTTCATAACATTCCCTGACCTCACTACTGTAATAAAGAAAACAATTCACACAGCTGGTCAAAATAACAAACCCAAGTATGATAGTATCATGACTCTAGACAAAATGGTTCTTAAGATATTGTTGTTTGAAGTTTTTAACATATTTGACCCGTGACCTTGAAACTAGTTAAGGTCATTTTAATGAGGAAAGTTCATGGCACTCCATTCCAGGTACCTACTGGCCAAATATCATGACTCTGGGCCTTATGGAACTTGAGAAGAAGATTGTTAAAGCTTTTAACCATATTTTGACATTTGACCCCTGACTAACACGTAAAGTTGATCTTTGACCTCATTACTGTTATAAAGAGAATGATTCACACAGCTGGTCTATATAACATACCCAAGTATGATAGTATCATGACTCTAGACAAAATGGCTCTTAACATATTGTTGTTTGAAGTTTTTAACATATTTGACCCGTGACCTTGAAACTAGTTAAGGTCATTTTAATGAGGAAAGTTCATAGCACTCCATTCCAGGTACCTACTGGCCAAATATCATGACTCTGGGCCTTATGGAACTTGAGAAGAAGATTGTTAAAGCTTTTAACCATATTTTGACATTTGACCCCTGACTAACACGTAAAGTTGATCTTTGACCTCATTACTGTTATAAAGAGAATGATTCACACAGCTGGTCTATATAACATACCCAAGTATGATAGTATCATGACTCTAGACCAAATGGTTCTAAAGATATTGTTGTTTGAAGTTTTTAACATATTTGACCCGTGACCTTGAAACTAGTTAAGGTCATTTTAATGAGGAAATTTCATGGCATTCCATTCCAGGTTCCTACTGGCCAAATATCATGACTCTGGGCCTTATGGAACTTGAGGAGAAGATTGTTACAGCTTTTAACCCATGCTGACATTTGACCCCTGAATAGCACTTAAAGTTGACCTTTGACCTCATTACTGTAATTAAGAAAAAAAATGCACTGCTGGTCTACATAATATACCAAAGTATCATGACTCTAGTTCAAATAGTTCTTAGGATATTGTTGTTTGAATTTTTGAACATATTTGACCCCCGTGACCTTGAAACAAGGTAAAGGTCATTTCAATGAGGAAACTTTATAGCACTCCATCCCAGGAACCTTCTGGCCAAATATCATGACCCTAGGTCCTCCAGTTCTTCAAAAAAATTGACGGGCGGACGACAGATGACGGACGCTGCAGTACATCATAAGCTCATATGGCCGTTTGAGCCAGGTGAACTAACAGATCAGCAAGGGCCCTGCCATGTGCCTGGCCGTAACCACCCCCATCCCATACCCCCACACAATTTATTTTTCAGTGATAGCTACTTTGAATTTGACATGAGAACCTTTTTAAATGTCTTTTGGATTCCGAGATAAGGACCATACCCCATTGTCTATTTTTAGTAACAGTGACCTTGACCTTGGAAGCTTTTAATCCCCCATTGAATATCTACATATTATAGTGGATCACCAAGTCAACATGTCAGATTTCACTTTCGGATTCTGAGATCATCCCTGGAAACAAAAGTATGAATGGACCGACAGACAGACAGACAGACAGGTCTTATTGATTTCTTTTTTATGTTACAACAGTGAAGCCTTACCAAGGTCTACAAGGTGTCCAAACTGGTGAGGGGCAGTGGCCAGTTTATGATGCATGTTCTGCCAACTCAGTGTCCGCTGTATGGGGATGGACAGGAACGATGCAAAGATGGGTGACAATTTTCTACAGGAAACAAATTCTAGATTTCAGTATACATAAATTTATCACAAGTGGCGCTTCTTGATATTTAAACAATCAGGGAAACATATTTGCATTAAAAGTACTACATATGTATGACAAATATTTCCTTGTACCTCGGAATCAAAATGCAGAACACCCTTCCTTTACGTAATATTTGATTACCTGGTCCAGAGGATGGCTCATAGCAGATTGGGTTGAAACATAATCAAGGTTATATTGTAGGGATTTCAGTCACCTCGATGTCATGGTTCAGTCACCTCAATGTCATGGTTCAGTCACCTCGATGTCATGGTTCAGTCACCACGATGTGATGGTCTAATCAGATCACAGCAGTCTCATTAAATCGGCCTGAGTCTGACTTAGCATCAAACGTGACTGAGGGTATTGGGGATAGTAAGTTAACAAGGCAAGTGTCATCAAATTATGACAATTACTTCGAAAGATATACAGTAGATTTCTCTTAATATCACTTCCCATTTGTCAGAGAAAAACATGATATTAACAGAAGCATGACATAAACAGAATAAATATTTTCTGATGTTTTTCAGCCGTCAAAACCGGAAGTAAACTTAGTCAAATGGCTAAGTGATGTGGCTCTACGAAGAAGATTGATATTTTGTAACTAACCTTGTTCTTTACCCTAGTTGAAATATAGATATAAGTAAATAAGTATAGAAATAAATATATTATTTGTATTTCATTTCAGTATGCAGTTACATTTCATATAGTTAGTAGCAAAATGACGATCAGTACGATTGTAATTATGATTGTTTACTGCAGTAGTGATGTAGGCATACAAGTGTTTGGCTGGTATTCTGCATCAAATTCAATTGTAAACATGAGACTTGGTAAATATTTACCTATATCTTGATATATATACTGTTCTTTCGCTAGTAACATCTTTTTATAGGTTAATTTCCTTAGATATTTGCTGCAAGTGTGTAATCGAAGATAGTACACATGTTATAATTAGTTGAAAGAATACATCACACTTGGCATTAGAAAAGTTTACAGATGTTAGACTGTCCTAGCTCCCCCAACCACAGGTGAATATCATGTTAACAAGTATGTAAGTCAACCTATTGTTTAACAGTCAGCCAGGTGTAACCTATTGTTTAACAGTCAGCCAGGTGTAAAAAATACCCTGTTAGGCCGAGGCATTGTTTACATAATGCGTCCAGGGTGTGCCCAGGGCATTTATCGTGAATCATTACCACCATTTACCTGTATTTTTTTGTGACAGTGGCCAAAATAAAGTGATATTAAGAGAAATCGACATAAAATCAGGTGATAATAAAAGAATTGAATTGCATAGATTATATAGCAGGAAAAACGGTGCATCAAAAAAACGTGATAATAACCGAAAAGTGACATGAACAGACGTGATATTAGGTGAAATGTACTGTATCAGTATTAAAGTTCGTTCTAGGTTTCAATACATATTCATTATGCACATTAATTTCTTTCATAACTTGAAGTAAAATTTACTGATTAACAAATAAATCACTTCCCAGTCAAACAAAATGTTACAATCTTTGTAAGCAACCTTATTCCTAAACACTCCCTTTGTTACCTTTTCTTTTTGCGTGTTTCCCACACTACACCTCTGATGGAGGGACTTGCTCCAGCCTTCAGCAGCTTGTAGCAGGCGTCCACGTCCCCGCGTATGACACAGTGAAACAGTGCCGTCTGACCACGACGATTAGATATGTCAACCTGGAATGTGTGAAATGTGATGAAATTTCATACACGAGGCCTTAATAGCTCACCTGGGTTTTTTAAATTAAAATATGTCAAATATGGTAGAGGAAATGAAATGAGTATAATTTCACATTGGACCGGGCCCCACTTGAAGCCCAGTGTTATCTTTTTATGCAGTTCCCTTTGTTCAGGGATTCTTTAAACCAAATTAGGTAATCCCTTCATCTACAGGACTCCAGGGCAAGTATGGTAGCATGAGCAGGAGTGGGGATCCCAACTTTTTCCATGTTATGACCATGGGACTTAGTTCCCAAGGGTGAGGCAAGACTCTTAGGCCAATTCTAGTAGCATGGTTGTATTTGTCTCTTCATGACAAGCAAAAATATATTCAGCTTTTTTGTGGGACCACAACTGTTTCTAAGATATGATGCAGGGACTGAGCTAGACATTGAGAGCAATCCCGGTAGCATGGATGTATCCGTCCCTTCACGCTCACTATATGTGTAAGTGCTGATATAGTGGGGATCGCTAGTGCATATGTATATATAGATAGAGAGTATCTGGATTGTTTTGAAGGAGTTCAGATTTACACCTTAAACTCAGGTATTAAGGCCCAACTGCTCCTGGGATTTGCATAAATTTTATTTACGCAGCATTCAGTCATCTCTGCCATAAATTCTCCAATTCAAATCTATATAAATTCCCTTTTCTGGTACTGAAGGTGTAGGATTTTAAATATTAACTCATATTTCCATTACTGGGCCCCTCTGCAGCTAAAGGGGCTTCCCTCCTGGTTTATATAAAGTTCAGTCCCCTTGGCTCAACAATGCTCCAAAACAAATGAACTAAAAATCTGCTCAGCCATTGACAAAATATAAACTGAAGAAGGATGCTGTGCCATGGTATAAGCTCAGTTGTCCTTCTGGTAGGCGAGCTAATAAAAACAATACTCCTGACTATTACACCTTTAACACCAACATATACTTATATTACTGATAAGGTCCAATCTAATTATATCTTCACATCGCCCTTGTTTACTGATATGTCGTGTTGAAGATCTAACAACATCGCGTAGAGGGTCATATTCAGGCGACCTTTGCATTAACCAATCAGATGAGAGCTTACGCATTTCTGTAAGTGATGATGTAATGATTTCGGAACACACTTGCTATGATAAAAGACAGAGAGGTGTAAAATGAGCATCGAAAATGGCGGCGCCCATGACACCACGCCGTGTCTATCTACAAGACAACGTTTGTACAATTTGTGGATTTTGCTTTGAAATAAGAGAGACTTCCTCTTCTGGTGATGTTGTCGTTAAAAAGTTTAACAACCTGAAGCTAAAATGAACCAAGGACAGGCTTCGCAATATTCAAACTATCACTGGACCAGACGAAAAAATGGATTTTGGGCTACGAGGTGTCTGCATTAAATGCTACAGGTCCTGCTTTCTGATTGGTTCAAAGAAAGAGTTATGTTGCGTTTTGATTGGCTTGTTATAAATACGATAATGCATTCATGTTGACCTCTGACGTGACCCTCTATGGGATGTTGTTAGATCTTCAACGCGACAAATCAGTAAACAGGAGCAATGTGAAGATATAATTTTAATTAGATTGGATAAGGTCCTTTTTTGTCTTTCCATTTTTCAGTTCCTTTTTACCTTTCCCTCAATATATTGAGAAACCCCTTTATGATGCCAAAACGCCAAGGTACAAATGGCAGTGAATTATATAATTATGTTGTTCTGTATTCTAATAATGGTATTAACATCCAAGGGTTTTGATAACAATGATTTATCCTGGACAAAAACCTCCATATTGCCTTGTACCTCTATATCTTTTTGTGACAGCATGAAGTTGAGGAAGTTGTGTTTGACACTGAGGTTAGCGCTCGTATCCTCCAGTGTGTCGTCGCTGGTGGGAGACAAGTCCTCCAGATAGTCGTACATGTCTGAGGCAGCGATGTCACACATGGCCAGAAGGGGAGAACTCCCCTCCGTGTCCAGGGCGTTCAGGTTACCACCATTCTCCACCAGCAGTTTCAGCAGGCGATTGTCATAGCTAAATATTGACGTTTTGTGTAATGGAGTCAGCTTTGAAAGATCAGAGATGTTGGCATCACCACCATGGGCTGTCAAAACAGAAACGACCAAATGAGCCAATGATTTTGTTTATGAAAATAAAATGTTTTTACGTATCATATTATAATAAAAAATAAAGTACATTTTGCTTCAGGAGATGTTGGAGATTCCTTAATCCACACTACTTTTTGGAACATTAGCATTTTTAACATTGTTTTCCTTCTAAACCCTTTGATGTAATTTGAACATGTCAGGACACAGATAAAGGTTGAGCAATCTTAGTGTTGTAGTTATATTAGCAACGGATAAGAAAACAAAATGAATAGGTTGAGAAGAATATATCTGATAATGTTAAGAAAGGTATTTCATTTATTTGTGTAAGGGTTAATTATTCTTGAATTATTATGAAATTTCCCTAATCTGAAAAAATTGTTATTTCTTTTCTTAAACAACAGAGTGAGCACAAAAAAAAGTTATAATGTTAATATCAAATCAAAGATTCATTAAATTCCTTAGAAATGGTGCATCAAGTTTCAATATCCTTACTGTAATCAAACATTGTTTACCATGCTGTCTTTCTTTGATTGTCAATAACATTATAACCATAATCTGTGGCAGCTGAGTCAGGTAAGTAACAATAATGAGTACCTGGTATGAATACTGGAGGATTTGTAGCTGTACTTACTGTGTAGAGGTGTATACTTACTGAGGATTACAAACATGATGTCCTCTACATGTTCAATGACATCCTCCAGGGCGGTGAGGTGCTGTTTATTGAGGCCTACCACCACATCTATGTGAGGATCCCAGCCGCCGTGATACATTGTCCTAGGTTACAAGGTCAGAGTTAGGTGTAAACAAAGACAATCCGAAGATGTATTCCTGGTTACTTAAATCTCTCCCCTGTCCCAACCTCTCAGACTCAACTAATATATTATTACTCTGTGTCAATAACACCTGCATACATATAGATCAAATAAATGATCTAGAAATCCCTTTATTGATAATATGCATCAATTCAGTTTTCACCCTTGATAATCCAGCTATCTTTCTTCCCAATAATCTAGCCATCTTCATTGCCAGTAGATAATCTGTCTATCTTCATTCCCAGTAGATAATCTAGCCACCTTCATTCCCAGTAGGTAATCTAGCCACCTTCATTCCCAGTAAATAATCAAGCCACCTTCATTCCCAGTAAATAATCAAGCCACCTTCATTCCCAGTAAATAATCTAGTCACCTCCATTCCCAGTAGATAATCTGGCCACCTTCATTCCCAGTAGATAATCTTACCACCTTCATTCTCAGTAGATAATCTTACCACCTTCATTCCCAGTAGATAATCTAGCCACCTTCATTCCCAGTAAATAATCAAGCCACCTTCATTCCCAGTAAATAATCTAGCCATCTTCATTCCCAGTTGATAATCTTACCACCTTCATTCCCAGCAGATAATCTTACCACCTCCATTCCCAGTAGATAATCTTACCACCTTCATTCCCAGTAGATAGTCTAGCCACCTTCATTCCCAGTAAATAATCTAGCCATCTTCATTCCCAGTAGATAATCTAGCCACCTTCATTCCCAGTAAATAATCTAGCCATCTTTATTCCCAGTAGATAATCTGGCCACCTTCATTCCCAGTAGATAATCTAGCCACCTTCATTGCCAGTAGACAATCTAACCACCTTCATTCCCAGTAAATAATCTAGCCATCTTCATTCCCAGTAGATAATCTAGCCACCTTCATTCCCAGTAAATAATCTAGCCACCTCCACTCCCAGTAGATAATCTAGCCACCTCCATTCCAAGTAGATTATATAACCACCTTCATTCCCAGTAGATAATCTTACCACCTTCATTCCCAGTAGATAATCTTACCACCTTCATTCCCAGTTGATAATCTAGCCACCTTCATTCCCAGTAGATAACAAGCCACCTCCATTCCAAGTAGATAATCTTACCACCTTCATTCCCAGTAGATAATCTTACCACCTTCATTCCCAGTAGATAATCTTACCACCTTCATTCCAAGTAGATAATCTTACCACCTTCATTCCCAATAGATAATCTAGCCACCTTCATTCCCAGTAAATAATCTAGCCATCTTCATTCCCAGTAGATAATCTTACCACCTTCATTCCCAGCAGATAATCTTACCACCTTCATTCCCAGTAGATAATCTTACCACCTTCATTCCCAGTAAATAATCTAGCCAACTTCATTCCCAGTAAATAAGCTAGCCATCTTCATTCCCAGTAGATAATCTAGCCGCCTTCAATCCCAGTAGGTAATCTAGCCACCTTCATTCCCAGTAGATAACCTAGCCACCTTCATTCCCAGTAGATAATCTGTCTACCTTCATTTCCAGTATAATCTGTCTACCTTCATTTCCAGCAAAAAAGACTTGACTGTAATACAACTGTATCACACTTGGAGAGTTTGTATATAGAGAAAAGGCCTGACTGTCCCCTCAAACCTGGACTGGATGGTGGGGAAACTGGGTTAGTAATAGCTGAATTAACAAGGTTTGACTTTTCCTCCATTTATAACAATAGACCTGTGACTGTAAACTTACCATGGCTCGTTTCCGTAGTGGTGACGATGTTTTGTTAGTTCGTTGTAGAAATCTGTAAGTAGTTCCAATGGACTGAGGCCTGGACTTTCAAATTCAGAACCAAAATATGTCTGGAAAAAAAAAAAGAAATATAAATATTTACTAAGTAATCACCTAACGGGTACTATCGATAAGATCTACAATAAACCACTACTATTTCATCTTTCGTACTATAAATCTAAGTTCACAATTTTAGTTACCTTCTTAAATTCTGTCATTTATTAAATGGAAACAAAATTGATATGCTGCACAGTGTACTAAATCTGCTTCAGAACAAAGATTAACTTTGACATACAAATACATATGTATATCAAATCAATTCAGTACACAATCATCGTATAACATGTCACTCATCTATACAATCTTACTATATACAATATATTACTTGTTAGAGAGTAATGTTTCGTTACAACTGGTAACAAATTAGCCTAAATAAAGTAAAAAGGTAAACAGATCCTTTCACCGTAACTGAGGAACTGCAATGGTTGATAAACCCTAAAATGGTAACGTCAATATGGCTGATGTCACAATATGAAACGGCATTCAACAGATGTGACAATATTGATAATGACGAGCAGTTTTGAGTTTTTTTTAATCATTATTGCTGTCCTGCAATACTGTTAACCTACTGTCATAGTGGGGGTATTAATTTACTGTTGTATAACCTAAACTCACGGTGGGAACTCTAAAATTGACATTTGCACCATGCTCCATCATCAGCTTTGCAAGGTATAGGTTTCTGGGGCGCACTCTCTTTTCTTCTTCATCCATCCCACACAAACATATAAACAAGGGGGTCCTGCGGTAGCAACCTGAAATGTTTTTAAAATTACCAACAATTAGTCTGGTTGATGGATTATTGAATGACAATAAACAGAAAGGGAACTAAGTAAGGAAAAATCGCAAAATATAATGTAGTGTGTATTTTTTAAATGCCCATTATAAATGCAGAAAGGACATTTTGTTATTATACAACAGTTTATCATAAAAAAAATATTATTAAAACTGTTAACCATTTGTAACATGTTCTACATGTTTGTGTTTTAACATGTTAGAATCACTTTCCTTACTGAGAAAATCATTGCACATGAGCATTGAAGGTATATGGTAACAATTTCTTTGATACATAAACTAACATGAAGCTCATGTGTAAAAATTAATTTGTATACATTTCTAACTTGCTTTTTGAGTGCTGCTCATGAGATTCCCATGTGCAAAGGTTAGACTTTTCTATAAAGGATTTCAAAATGAATACCCTCATCTAAGTAGGATGGATTGTTGGTGTCCCTGATGATTTTCTCTGCAGTCACAAAATTTCCCTGTTCCAGAGCTCGGGTCAGGTTGGTCTCATTGATTCCAAACTCCACATGAAACACCCCACCTGCCATTGTGTAACAAACACACCCTAGGACCTGTGTGCCACTCCTACAGGTCTAAGTACTCTGGAAAAAATAAAAAATAAATAAACTATGAAAACTTTAAAAAGCTCAAGTCAAATCAACCCATAGCACCATAAGGATGTTATTTATGGCTGCAACACTATGAGTGCTCTGACATATGATTCTGGCTGATTATGAGGTGGTCATGGGTTAAAATTATTAGCCTGTCCATGTTTTGATTGCAAGATATGGCATACCTACCTGTAAAGAACAAATGTTTCCAAAAATATAGAAATAAGCACATGTGCATTTGAAACTCCCACACACTTTCTGTTTACTGTTCAGGTCTAAACTAAATTATGCATCATCAGATGTTTGCTATTGATCAATTATTTTGGAAAACATGGCATTCTGAGGTGTGATTTTATCCAATTAGAACTGTATTTTGTAAAAACAAATGTAGTAATACATGGTAAATAAATATTAACTATATTCAAACAGATTGCTGCATTTGTCTTTTTCATTGTAGCGGAACTGGACTGTAGCAATAGTCAGCAACAAGATGGCTCAACTGGTAGTGTGTAAGTCAAAAGAGTTCGGAGAGTCCGGGGTTTGATCCCCGGTCTGAGTGGCCGTGATTTTTTTCTGTTCCTGTTACATTCCATGCATATGACCAATCCATGTTTCAAGTACTGGGTGAATGCTTGACAATTAAGGGGATACCCAAACGTGGGTTGTAAATAGTGTTGTCTTCGGGGTCGAAGACTAAGTAAAAGGAGGGAGGAATGTTGTGGAAGTGGACCGGGTCGATTGTCAGCGACCAGGTAGCTCAATTGGTAGGGTGTCTGTCTAGAGTTCAGAGGTTAAAACCCGCAGTCTGGCCATTCATTTTTCTGCGTCTATTGCATCACCAAAATTAATTTATAATATTTAAACATCCATGCAATATCCAAGCATGGCTGCCTTTTCCTAATTGCTTTGCTATTGCTTTTATGTATTTACATTGATATATGTATTTACATTGATATATGTATTTATAAAGGCTCTTTAACCACATTCAGTGTAACATAATTCATCATTATTGATGGCTTGATGGCTGCACATTAAACAGATGCAGATCAATACATATTCTGTGTCCTAGGTGTTGTTTCTCTGAGATGACATAGTAATAGGTGATATAGTGTTTAATAACATAGCAGCAAGAATAAGTAATAAAAACGTTTTTTAACTATTACAAGTCATTACAGAATTATTATCAATAACAACTAAAATCTAAAGTAAATGTAGTGTTGCAGTAACTACTGTATCAAGCCATCAAGCTCAAAGCAATAGATATTGGACTCATCAATCAGTTATCATTCATTGCTCATTAAACCAAATCACAAATGAAAATTCAATCTCAGTCACTTTCAAACTCACGATATTATCATAGTGTATATATGGTATTGATTTGCATACATTAAATGTCATACATATGATGTATTAACATAAGAATACAAATAATAATTTCAAATTTGAATAAATCACAAGAATCACAGCAAAACAATATATACACGAAACGTGATTTTTTTAAATGCTGCACATGTCAGGTATGTTAGTCTAGGCCTAACGCAATGTGGTACGTTAGAGCAACAAATCACATCCAAATATCATAATATTATGTCATATGGCCACCTCCAATGATAGTTGATTAGCATGCGGATCAGTGTGATTTCTTTGTGGAGACGCACCTCTTTGTGTATGTGACAGATCATCAATTTTGTATAGGCTGCTCCGGTGTTACAACATCATGATACCATGACACACTTAGCCTACCTGTCATAAACAAAGATTCCCTGCTTCTCCTGACATGCGCATACTCAACATAACAAAAAGTTAGCATTTCCGCTACTTTCGTTTTGCAAGGTTTGCCTCCCTTGGAGCACCTGTTCGAATAAGCATTTTTTTGTGTAATTTGTTTAACTCATCTAATATTGTCTACATATTTTACCTATTCGCATATTTTTTATCTTGACAATAAAAATCAACAAAAATCACGAGAGAAAGATAAAGGTTTAAAAATAGTCATTATAAATAGGGACCTTGGCAACACGATGACGCCGGAAAGTGTATGTTGTTTTCTCTGTCTGTGATAACCTTCGACATTATTCATGTAATAAAAACCTATTTAAAAGTATTTTTATACAGAATAAATAAACAAAATATAATGGAACGAACAAGATCGTTATAAAACAATATTGGCATGTTATTTGTGAAAATTTAAAGTTAACTATTGTGTAACTATTAATACAATTGTCTTCCAGTGTAATATCTCCCGAGTGTATTACTAGAACATTTTACCTGCTGCTTTCCAGACGAACGACAATTATTTTTCACCAGATCAACGGCCCTAACCGGCACGATGGTAAGATTTTCACTTTTGTTATCACCGTAGAGTTTCATAATCATGCTATAATGATAGTGAAATATCTGTCTTGGAATGCCAATAAATAATGAAATCTCGCATAGATGAGCAGACACCACACGAGCGAGCTCATGTTCATATTTATCTATTAGCATGCTACAGTATAATTTATACAAGTAGAAGGTTTAACAAGTTTTACAAGTAGAAGATTTAAATATATTTAAATACTTTTAACACGCTAAATCACAATAATTAACGTGCTGCCCATCAAGTTTTTAATTCATAAACGATCTTTCATAATAAATGTACTGGAGCGGGTCCTGTAAAGAGTTAATAACCATGTAGGCCTGCTGAATGGAACATGAAAGTTGACTATTATAACCTTTAAACAATTCGGTAGAATATGATATATGCTTTGCACATTTAAAATTCTAAAATATGAGCTCAACGTCATATGGTTCTGCAGGAATAAAACAAATGTAGTCATATCCCAGCTACTAGAACCTCATCTGTCAATACCCCAATAATATAAACTATAGTTTTATATCATAGGTGTACTGACAGACAAAGCTAACACATTACGTCACTGTAGTTTTTTTTGTTGTTTTTTTGTGGGATTATACATCCATGTAACTGCCAAGGTCATATCAAGACTGGCAACTTTTAAAGTGTCATCTTACTGAAGTTTCATAACCCGAACACAGTATCATGACACGTCACATGATCATATTATACTGGCAAGGTTCGGGCAGATCAGTCCGTGGCTAGTTGACCTCACATGTAAAGGTGAATATCAGACATGCAGAGAGCAGTAAGTATTCACTTTTGTGACTTTCGCTTGTGTCTGGGTCAAGGGAAACATTATCCACAATCTTCCTTGCTTGGGCTAGCGCTCAACACCAGTTGCAAAGCAGAAAGCAGGATATTATATATGAGGAATCCATTTCTTTGTCTCATGTGCTGCAAAAGCACCTGTGGGAAGCTTAACACATAACAGTTGTAGTTGTATGCTTTTTTCAAAGTGTTGGGAGTTACTTCCCCTCACAGGTTAAAACCGACAACATTGCCATAGGTGCCAAGTATATTGTCATTTGTTTGAAAATAAAGCTCTCCAAAACTTCCATTCTAAGAAATTTTGGCCTCCACTGCTAGCTATGGGATATATAGTCTCTTGGACTCAGTGAATGTCACAAGCTGTCTCCAGAATTTCCATTCTAACTTTGGTCTGTCCAACACAACAGTCAGTTTCCTGAAGTACAATAACAAAGAGCTGTTTCTAGAACTTCCCTGTGAGCTATGCCAATCTCCAGGAAAAATGGTCTCCAGCTTCTTCTAGAACTAAATGTAGGTTATATGGCCTTTCTAGTACAATGACCCTAGCTGATTCCAAAAATTCCATACTTGCTATGACCTGCCAAACACAATGACAATCTAGCTGTTCCAAAACTTCCGTTCTTGCTATGGCCTCCCAAACACGATGACAACCTTATTGTTTCCAGAACTTCCCTGCTTGATTTGGCATCCCCAACACAATGACAACCAATCAGTTTCCAGAAATTTTGTACTTGCTATGGCCTCCCTAATACAATGACCCTAGCTGGTTCCAGAATTTCTCTGCTTTGGTAATTTCAGAACTTCCCTGGTAACTATAACCTTTTGAGCATGATGATTACCTTGCTGGTGTGAGAGCTACTTCCCTGATATACATATGGCCTCTCCAGGGCTGACTCCAGTACTCCCATACTGGACAAGACCTCTCCAGGGCTGACTCCAGTACTCCCATACTGGATATGGCCTCTCCAGGGCTGACTCCAGTACTTCCATACTGGATATGACCTGTCAAGGGCTGACTTCAGTACTTCCATCCTGTATATGACCTCTACAGGGCTGACTCCAGTACTCCCATCCTGGATATGGCCTCTCCAGGGCTGATTCCAGTACTCCCATACTGGATATGACCTCTCCGGGGCTGACTCCAGTACTTCCATACTGGATATGACCTGTCCAGGGCTGACTTCAGTACTTCCATACTGGATATGACCTCTCCAGGGCTGACTCCAGTACTCCCATACTGGACATGACCTCTCCAGGGCTGATTCCAGTACTCCCATACTGGATATGGCCTCTCAATGGCTGACTCCAGTACTCCCATACTGGATATGGCCTCTGCAGGGCTGACTCCAGTACTCCCATACTGGACATGACCTTTCCAGGGATGACTCCAGTACTCCCATACTGGATATGGCCTCTGCAGGGCTGACTCCAGTACTCCCATACTGGCTATGACCTCTCCAGGGCTGACTTCAGTACTCCCATTCTAGATATAGCCTCTCCAGGGCTGACTCCAGTACTCCCATACTAGATATGATCTCTCCAGCAAAATGGCCCCTACCTAGATCCTGTTAAAGGATATTTGAAAAATGTAAAGAAATATCCAAACTTGAATATATAATACTTCAACAAATGTATTTATGCTAATGCATAGCAGATCAGGGATGAATGACACAGGACAGTAGTGTTACATATAATCATTTTGTACAGTGGAATAGAAGTTCTTGTTCTTCTCATATACCACAACTTGTTTTTATATTATAGTCATAAGAGGGTCAGTGCTCCAGATAACCTCTTTACACATGTGTATAATAGCACAACTTTTATACATGAGGAGTAAAACATTGGTTTTACTTCAAAGTAGGAGTAAAATATCTAGTCTTTTACCGCATGTCATCTCACAAATAATTTCATTAAAAGTATCGCCACAGATTCCTGCAGTGAATAATTTTCAGATGAAGCCAAAATTTGTGTCTTAATTGTTTGCTGTCTCAATCTGTGTACATAAAACACAAGACTAATTGACAGCAAATATTCTAAAATCTTACACGGATCCGATATTCTGGCTGGTGTAACGCAGTGCTTGACAAGCTGTGTAATGTTGTCATGATAATCAATGCTTAATCTGTAAGCAGTATGTTTCATTTTGATGCACATCTAGCTAAAATCGATGTGTAAATGCATCATGTAAGCTGCTTAACTGGAGCAATGTAGGGTGACAGCCTAGGCACTGCCAGCCCCTAATGAATGCCATGTCAGTCTGCTACATCAAACATCAATAACCAAGTATTTCTTGCACCAGGCCACCCAGAACAGTTTTTTTCTGTGGTAGCTGATGCTTGCTGTTTTATAACCTACCTAGTAGACACTTGTAATCATACATCAATTTCCACCAACTAATGGCAACTGAATTAGACAATGAGGAAGTAACAAAACAGTACTCTCTCATCTGTATAGTGTAAAATAGACAAAAGGTGACATGTAATATAACTAAGATCACTGCTATAATGAACCATGTGCACATCCTAAGCTAGTTCGCAAACTTTTCCCTTTGGCTATGGCATTGTAATTTTCCATTGACTATATTAAACGTTTATAAGAGGAAATAGGAAAGTCTAGACATATCAGAAGGTACATTTACATTAACATAAAACTTCATAGTAAACAGAATATTGGCCTGGTATTTTATTAAAAATTGTCGTGATTCAGATAACATAACAGCAAATGTGATAAAGGCCCCCATTATTTACACTTGTATCAGATCTGTGATCTGTATTGTCTCCATGGAAACACTCAAAGCAACGTTTTTACTATTTGTTTTTAATCCTAATTGCGTGCAGGTCTGCTGATTAAGACCGAGATAGAGATGGTGAATCTTTGTTGGGTAATGTTCTGGACTTGTGTGGGAGTTAATACAGAGCACATTTTGTCTGCTGAAGGTGTTGCAATTATCAGAGTACATTTTGTCGGGTAGGATTTATACTATATCAATAGTGATTCTTGTTGATCTTTGATGTAGATTAATCATATCTTTTAGAAGTTAATATAATACTATAATCCAGATTGAGAACCTTATCTGTACAATTATCTTGTATTCTAATATTATGTTTAAAGAGACAATAGAATAATAGGATAATGCATTTGTTTATGTACATACATGACATTCAGGGAAAAGTACTGCAGAAACTGGAAAGATTGTATAATGATTGTATGTAATGCAATTTACTTAATTGATTTCAAAAAGAAAAACAAAAACACATTTAATTGAAAGGTGTTGCATGTCTGGTAAGGTAGGCTTCTCGGCTTCCTAGAATTACAAAGATTAATTATGTGTAGTCACACCCTTAACTCCACAATATCTACAGAAGCTGTCAGTTTCAGAGTTTATACTGACTGTTGAATCAGCAGCTTCCATGTTAGGGTATATTTTTCATGGTTTGTCCGAGTCAGTTCTGGATTGTACCTTTCTGAGAACTGAATGGCTAAGCTTGTTTCTATGTTCTCTGTTATTAGAGATTTAACAATGACATGCTTTTCTGCTCAAAGATTGTATTTGTAAAGTCTGTTTATTAATATTGAAAATATATTAATAAAAGATGTTTAT